TTATGACGACCTCAGCTGGTTTCCAACAAGCAAAGTCAATGGGGGAAGCGGATTCTCTAAGGACAGTGATGATTCACTGAACAGCCATGGCATCACAGGTCATAAAATAGGGCATGACTCACTTAATGACTGCCCTGCTGAGCAGCAGAAGTTCTGGTCCGCATCAGACCAGATGTAGTCATAAGTCGAGGACTACCTGTAAAATGTGTTCTTTTCCCAAGCAAAGACTTGATCATAGTAACCAGATTCAGCTGGAAAAAATGAATTGATCCCATCTTTCTGTGGTTAGCAATTTTATTGGTATATGTTTGTGTGTTTTGGGAGGGGGAATCTTCTTGGCATTTAAAGGAAAGAGATTTCCCATCTGAGCAGCATGTCTGCGAAAGAAGGTAAAAGATTTTTATTCTTTTTGTCTTTGGCCTAAATATGGGTCTTAAACTTTGCATAAGACTATAAAGCAGTAATGTCCAATATTGGCAACTTTAAGACTTGCGGATATGATCAGCAATATGATTGCCAATGTCCGATGGTGGATATGGCAGAAAAAGAGGAGGAGGAGGAGGAGGAGGAGGAGGAGAGGGAGAAGGAGAGGGAGGAGGGGAAGAGGAAGAGGAAGAGGAAGTGGAAGAAGAAGAAGGAGGAGGAGGAGGAGGAGGAGGAGGAGAAGGAGAAGGGGGAGGAAGAGGAGGAGGAGGAGGAGGAGAAGAAGAAGAAGAAGAAGAAGAAGAAGAAGAAGAAGAAGAAGAAGGAAGAAGAAGAAGAAGAAGAAGAAGAAGAAGAAGAGAGAAGAAGACCAAGACCAAGACCAAGACCAAGACCAAGACCAAAGACCAAGACCAAGACCAAGACCAAGACCAAGACCAAGACCAAGACGACTACGGTGGACTTCAACTCCCAAAATAAGCAAGAAAAAGAAATTACACCCTAGTAAAGGGCCAAGAAAACATCAAGTGCATACCTACTCACATGCTTTTTACGCACCATACAAACAGTACTAAGAAAATCTATCCTACAAGCAGCATTACCTAAGATTTACCTCATGCCTGCTCCTTAGAGATTCTACCAACATTCGTACTGAAAAGAACATTAAATATGTGCAGCTTGCCAGGTAAACCGATTATTTTAATTAAACTGGTAACCTATCAAAGTCTTAGCAAAGGCCCCTGGACAGTGTACGCAAATGTCTCCCAGGTTGTCACCAATGTTCTTCCAAATCGGCCACTTTAAGATGCATGCTGGCTGGGGAATTCTGGGAGTTGAAGTCCACAAGCCTTAAAAGTTTGTCAAATCGGGTACTCCTGCTATAAAGCATATACATTGCCTCATCCAATTTTTAGCAGTCCTCCAGGCTTTCAAGTTCTCTCTTCGGTTTCTTTTCTCTTTCTCCCTTTTGCGTGCACTTAGTTACAGCATCAGTTGGCAGTCCCAGACTCTCTTCGTTTTGAGGGGTCCATAACTCAGAGGCTTTAATTTGCAGTGGGCGAAATAAAACTTGGCAGACAAAGAGCCAATTTCACAATCCAGCCTGCAAGTTCTAAATCTAAACGCCACGGCAGGAGATGCTCCCTCCAAGAATTAAAATATTGTTCCAGCCATCTCTTTGGATGAGAGCTTTGACACAATCTGCTTGAGGCTTGGCACTGCCTCCTAATTTCTTTTATCCAAAGTTATAATTTAAACGCTTAATCGGGAACTAAAAGTTTATCAAGACAAGTGGTGAAATCCAAATTTTTTTACTACTGGTTCTGTGGGCGTGGCTTGGTGGGCATGGTGTGGTGTGGCTTGGTGGGCGTGCAGGGGAAGGATATTGCAAAATCCCCATTCCCTCCCCACTCCTGGGGGAAGGATATTGCAAAATCCCCATTCCCTCCCCACTTTGGGGGCCAGCCAGAGGTGGTATTTGCCGGTTCTCCGAACTACTCAAAATTTCCGCTACCGGTTCTCCAGAACCTGTCAGAACCTGCTGGATTTCACCCAGTGGTGGGTTTCAACATTTTTTATTACCGGTTCTGTGGGTGTGGCTTGGTGGGCGTGGCATGGCTTGGTGGGCATGGCAAGGGAAGGATACTGTAAAATCTCCATTCCCACCCCACTCCAGGGGAAGGATACTGTAAAATCTCCATTCCCACCCCAATCCAGGGAGAGGTTACTGCAAAATCCCCATTTCCAGCTGGGACTCGGGAGGCAGAGAATAGATGGGGGCGGGGCCAGTCAGAATTTTTACTACCGGTTCTCCCAACTACTCAAAATTTCCGCTCCCGATTCTCCAGAACTGGTCAGAATCTGCTGAAACCCAACTCTGGTTTCACCCCTGACCAAGACCACAGAACTGGTCACATTTTGGTAGCAGATGCCCTGCTTGAAAGGATAGATAGGAAGCTTTATCTTCTGCATTCAGCCCAAATTTTTTTTTGGTATTCAGCCCAAAATTTATATTGCTCAGTGAGACAGTTGTTAAGTGAATTTTGCCTCATTTTATGACCTTTAGTAACACAATTAAGGGAATCTGGTTTCCCCATTGACTTTGCTTGTCAGAAGGTCACAAAAGGTGATCACATAAACCCGGGACACTGCAACCGTCATAAATATGAGTCAGTTGCCAAGCTTCTGAATTTTGATCACATGACCAGGGGGATGCTGCAATGGTGGTAAGTGTGAAAAGCAGTCATACGTCACTTTTTTCAGTGCCGTTGCAACTTCGAACGGTCACTAAACAAACTGTTGTGAGGACTAGGAATTCTATAATCCAGTTATTGAATTAAGTTTGGTGCTTTATGCCTTATTTGTTTACGCTTCTCATTTACTGGCTGAACAAACTGCAATCCCATTTCCTCCTCTCTGTTTGTAGGTAGTCCTCGACTTATGACTGTAATGGAGCCTGAAATTATGGTCGTAAATCACATCAGTCATTAAATGAGTCACCACGTGACCGACCTGATTTTATGACATTTTTTTGTGGCGGTCGTTAAACGAATGCTACTGTCATTATGCAAACCCATTGCTCTTTTGCCAGAACCGGAAGTAAATGCTAGTTTCCATTTTTTTAAAAAAACACCCCATAAATTACAATCCTGTGACTGTGGGATGCTGCAAACAGCCATAAATATAAGCGCATGAGATTGGCGGGAGAGGAAAGAGAGAGCCCACTGTCAGATTTTAAAATCTGGATCATAAGTACCTTTTGGGAGTTCTTTATAACTTTGAACATTCACTAAGCAATCTTCCCTGATAAACAAGACTTGCAGCATCCCCTTGAGAAGGACTGATTGGCAGATTTTAGCAGATTAACAGAGTTGGAAGGGACCTTATATAGGTCATCTATTCCAACCCCCCCCTCTCAAGCAGGAGACCCTACACCATTTCTGACAAATGGCAGTCCAATCTCTTCTTGAAAGTCTCAAGGGATGAAGCTCCCACAACTTCCGAAGGCAACTTCTGTTCCATCGGTTGATAATTCTCACTGTCAGAAAGTTCCTCCTCATTTCTAGGTTGAATCTCTCCTTGATCAGTTTCCATCCATTATTCCTTGTCTGGCCTTCGGGTGCTTTGGAAAACAGCTTGACCCCCTCCTCTCTGTGGCAGCCCCTCAAGTATTGGAAGACTGCTATCGTGTCTCCCCTGGTCCCTCTCTTCACTAGACTAGTCAGGCCCAGTTCCTGCAACCGTTCTTCATATGTTTTAGTCTCCAGTCCCCTCATCATCCTGGTTGCTTTCCTCTGCACTTTTTCTAGAGTCTCAACATCTTTTTTATAGTGTGGTGACCAAAACTGGATGCAGTACTCTAGGTGTGGTTTTAGGTGTGTGTTTAGAAAACAGTGGGGGAAATTGCTCTCCGAAATAGCCTCCCCCCCCCACCCCCACCCCAAGATTCATCTTAGCCCTGCAGTCCAGAAGGCTGTAAAGCCTTGGCTTTTCCCACTGTGGGTGTATCTTATGAAAGCCTTACGTGCTGTCTGAGTTCTTGGTTTTTTTCCCCCTAGACCAGTGATGGCTAACCTTTTTGCCGTCACGTGCCAAAAGTGGGGTTGCGCGCGTGTGTGTCAACACCTATAATTCAATGCTCCGTGCCCCCCCCCGCACATGTACGTACAACCACGCCACGCTCCCCATGCTTTTGGCACGCGATGGCATGGTGGGCCTGGTAGGCCTGTTTTTTTGCCCTCCCCAGGTTCCAGAGCCTTTCTAGAAGCCTGGGGAGTGCAAAACAGCCTTCACCACCACCCAGAGGCCCTCCGGAGGCCAGAAACGGCCTGTTTGCTGACTTCCGGTGGGACCAAAAGGCCCGTTTTTCGCTCTCCCCAGGCTCCAGAGCCTTTCTAGAAGCCTGGGGAGGGCTAAAACGGCCTTCTCCACCACCCCCACCCCCCGGAGGCCCTCCGGAGGCTGGAAATGGCCTGTTTGCCTGACTTCCGGTGGGCCCGGAAGGCCCAAAAATCAGCTGGCCGGTGCGCGCATGTGTGCCAGAGCTGAGCTAGGGCAATGCTCACGTGCCCACCGATATGGCTCCATCTGCCACCTTTGGCACGCGTGCCATAGGTTTGCCATCACGTCCCTAGACTGTATTGTTTTACTCAGTTATGAATGTTTATATTGTCTTTGTAAGTATTGTGGGCCACCCAAAGGTATGCACTTAATATCGGCAGCTATAACATTTTTGAGGGGTTCTTGGTGCTCTCTGAGCTTGGTTGTTTTGTTGTAGATGTTTCATTACCCAACTACATAACATCATCAGTGCTTAATGATGCACTTTTGAGTAATGAAATGTCTGCAAGAAAACAACCAAGCTCATAAAGCACCAAGGACCCCTCATTTCAACTCAGAGCTACAAATATTCTCCTTGATCAGTATACCAATTTTCCGAATTATTAAATACACCTTAGGGTATATGATAACAGTTTTGCTCTCAGTTTTTAGCACTCACCATCAAAGAAGGCTGCCCCACTCACTTATTTGATTTAATGTCTCCCCATTGATTTCTGGTTTATTGCAATTTTCTTTAGGTGGACCTACCATGACTTCTTAAATCGGTATCGGGTGCTTATGAAAGACAAAAGTATTTCGAAAAAGAAAGACAAGATACTGATTTGTAAAACGTTATTGGAAAGCCTAATTAAGGTAAGATGTCAGAGCTACTGCATATTATTAGATCAATCAACCAACCAATCAAATTGGCACATAATCCACCATCGCTATAGTCCCAAATCCATAACCTCTCCTTTTAACTATAGTCCAAAGCACCTGAAAAACCTTTGCAACTCATTCAAAACCATTGCAACTTCTTTGTCAGAAGACTAGGAAAGAATGATGGGATCAATGGAATTACTAAACTGTCTGGAAGAATCATTTTAAAATAACTGAATTCTGCTCCTTGCTGAAAAAATATTTGCCTATCATCATGTTCCTATTTTAACCATACTTTGTTAAGTGCCATTGGATACATCTTATTTGTTCTACCATATCGTATTTGTATGTGATTCAGCCAAGCAAAACACTTGGATTAGGTCACATATTGCACTAAACAATGGTATGCTCAAATTTGGTGGAAAGAAAGGGAGGGAGAAAAGGAGGGAAGGGAAGAAGAAAAAACTAGGGAGGGAGAAGGGAGGGAGGGAAGGAGGGAGAGAGGAAGGAAGGAAGGAAGGAAGGAAGGAAGGAAGGAAGGAAGGAAGGAAGGAAAGAAAAACTAGGGAGGGGAAGGAAGGAGGGAGGGGAAACTAGGGAGGAGGAAGGAAGGAAGGAAGGAAGGAAGGAAGGAAGGAAGGAAAAAACTAGGGAGGGGAAACTAGGGAGGAGGAAGGAAGGAAGGAAGAAATAGTTTTTAAAACTCTTGGCTTTCCTATTATACTTTTCCAAGGATCCTGACCAGTTTCAGTTTGGACGTACAAAGATCTTTTTCCGTGCTGGCCAGGTGGCCTACTTGGAAAAATTGCGGGCAGATAAATTCCGGGCTGCCACCATCATGATACAGAAGACGGTGCGTGGCTGGTTGCAGAGGAGAAAGTACAGGAAAACCAGGGAGGCAGCTTTAAGTATCCAGAGGTTCACCCGAGGATATCTGGCACGCAGGTAAGCATAAAGCGAACACTTTCCCCAAGAGAATTTTGCTTGCTAGAAATGTGGGAATTTCTTCACCTAGCATAAATGGGGCAGCATTGCAGCTCACTGCTTAAGACCCTGGGCTTGTTAGCTGGAAAGCCGGCAGCCCAAGTTCAAGACCCGAGTGCAGCACGATGGGGTGAACTCCCATCCTCTCCCCAGCTCCTGCCAGCCTAGCAGTTGGAAAGCATGCAAATGTGAGTAGATAAATAGGTACCACTTTGGTGGGAAGGTAACAGTGCTCCTTGACATCATGCTGACCACATGACTACGGAAATCTCTTCATTTCATTCATTTCATTTCATTTATTAAATTTTTATACCGCCCCTCTCCCAAAGGACTCGGGGCAGTGAACAGCCAGGATTAAAAAACATACAATATAAACATTAAAATACTTTAAAACATAATTTATTTATTTATTATTTATTATTCGAATTTCTATACCGCCCTTCTCCTTTCGGACTCAGGGCGGTGAACAGCCAAAATAAAAACATTTATACATAAATACGATTAAAAATAGATTTAAAATAATTAAATTTGGCCCATAGTTTAAAATTTATCAATTTAAAATCCATATCAAAATTTAAAACCAACCATAAAATCATAAAATCAAGAGAGACCGGCTAACTGAAAGAGATGAGTTTTTAGGGCCCGACGAAAGGTCCGGAGGTCGGAGATCACTCGTATCTCTGGGGGTAGATTGTTCCAAAGGGTAGGTGCCACCACAGAGAAGGCTCTCCTCCTGGGGGTCGCCAGCCGGCATTGTCTAGCCGACGGCACCCTGAGGAGGCCCTCTCTGTGGGAGCGAACTGGCCGGTGGGAGGCTATTGGTGGCAGAAGGCGGTCCTGTAAGTACCCTGGCCCTAAGCCATGGAGCGCTTTAAAGGTGATCACCAACACCTTGAAGCGCACCCGGAAGTCCACCGGAAGCCAATGCAGCTCGCGCAGGAGAGGAGTCACATGGGAGCGCCCCGTCGCTCCCATAATCCCCCGCGCGGCCGCATTCTGCACCAGTTGGAGCCTCCGGGTGTACCCCAAGGGGAGCCCCATGTAGAGAGCGTTACAATAGTCCAGACGAGAAGTGACGAGTGCTTGAGTGACTGTGCGTAGGGAGTCCCGATCCAGAAAGGGGCGCAACTGGCGTATCAGGCGAACCTGATAAAAAGCCCCCCTGGCCACGGCCGTCATATGCCCTTCTAAGGACAGCCGTGCATCCAGGAGGACGCCCAAGGTGCGGGCCCTTTCCGTGGGGGCCAATGATTCACCCCCAATAACCAGCGATGGCGTCAGCTGGCTATACCGGGACGCCGGCAGCCACAGCCACTCGGTCTTGGAAGGGTTGAGTCATTAAATTAAATCTATATTGGCTTCCCCCAATTTAAAACCCCTTACCCATAAAATTAACCAATTAAAAATTTTAAGCCAGCCCGGCTTGCTGAAATAAAAAAGTCTTCAGAGCCCGGTGAAAGGTCCGGAGGTCTGGGATCAGTCGTATCCCTGGGGGTAGCTCATTCCAGAAGGCGGGTGCCCCCACAGAGAAGGCTCTTCCCCTGGGGGTTGCCAGCTGACATTGCCTGACCGACGGCACCCTGAGGAGGCCCTCTCTGTGGGAGCGTATTGGCTGGTGGGAAGTTATCGGTGGCAGAAGGTGGTCTCGTAAATAACCGGGCCCTAAGCCATGGAGCGCTTTGAAGATGAGAACCAATACCTTGAAGCGCACCCGGAAGACCACCGGAAGCCAATGCAGCTCGCGCAGGAGAGGTGTTACATGGGAGCGCCATGTCGCCCCCATAAGTACCCGCGCGGCTGCATTCTGCACTAGCTGGAGCCTCCGGGTGTTCCTCAAGGGGAGCCCCATGTAGAGAGCATTGCAGTAGTCCAATAGTTCGGCCGAAGAAAAAAATGCTTTTAAAAACCTCTGACGATCACAGCTGAGTTGCCTGATCATCAGAGGCTTTTAAAACCATTTTTTTTACAACCTCTTCGGCCGAAGAGGTTGTAGAAAAAATGCTTTCAAAAGTTAAAAAAAAAAAAAAAGTTGGCCACGCCCACGTAGTCACATTACCCTCTCCCCCACCAAGCCACGCCTACAGAACTGGTAATAACAAATTTTACATTTCATCACTGGCACCGCCCCTTACAGTCAGCAATGACTAGCGGAGTAAAGTCCGCAGGGACTCCTTTATATATGGAAACTTATCTCGTTGGATAGCTTCAGTTTTAGAATGATGAAAGAAATGCATTTCTTATCCAAGCAAGGTTGAAAATTAGATATATGAACTATATGAATGGTATAAGAGATCTTAAAGACCGTTTAGTCCCTGAATCCAATTCTCTGCTCCATACAGGAATACTTATTTAAGCCATTCAGACCGATAGTTATCCAGCTTTCCTTGAGCACATCTGGTAAAGCTGAATCTATCATTCACTTGCGGTTATTAAACTGCTGTTCTAAGATTTTTCTCTCTCTCAGTAGTAAGCTATTTTATTCATAAATTGGGAAATGGCCAGGGATGCAGGCAATTTCTATGGCATTTCTTTTCAGGATTCCACCTAACCCAAAAAAAAACAACAATTACTACAATTAACCCAATCACAAAAAAAATAAAAAGAAAGAATGTCAACAAAAAAGGATATATTTTTTTAGAATTACTATATAAAAATTGTTTTTAACAACAAATAAAACCTTGACCTGCAAGACTTTTTTACCTACTGGTAAATGATAAAAAAACGAAAGCGCAGAGAATATTATTCAGTGTCCTGCTCTCTGAACTGCCACAGGTACTAGAGTAATAAAATTCTCTTTATGCTCACGCTACCACAAAGGAAATAGAAGTAATTGCTAATGCCCCCAGTCATAGTTTTCAGCTCATATCCTTGCCTGGTGCACTGGGGAAAAACCAATGTGACAGTTGCTGTGATGGAAAGTACGCAAAGAAAGGTCATTTGTAAAAAATATAGGTAGAAATGTTTAAATTTTTGAAGATCTTCTGAGTTCCTTGCTACCATTCCTCTGCTGCAGGGGTCCCCAAGCTGTGGGCCACGGCCCACTATTGGCCCGTGTCCTATTCACAAGTGGCCGTGTAAAGGCCCGGGTAGTGTATGCCAGGGGTGAAATCCAAATTTTTTTACTACCGGTTCTGTGGGTGTGGCTTGGTGGGAGTGGTGTGGCTTGGTGGGCGTGGCTGGAGAAGGATACTGCAGAATCTCCATTCCCACCCCACTCCAGGGGAAGGATACTGCAAAATCCCCATTTCCTCCCCACTCCTGGAGCAAGGATATTGCAAAATCTCCATTCCCATCCCGCTCTGGGGCCAGCCAGAGGTGATATTTGCTGGTTCTCCAAACTGCTTAAAATTTCTGCTACCGGTTCTCCAGAACCTGTCAGAACCTGCTGGATTTCACCCCTGGTGTGCGTACATGTGTGTGCACACAACCCCACTCACACACAAGCGTCACAGGGGCTCAGGACCCCGCTCACGCAAGCATCAGAAGCACTCGGGCCCTCATGCAATCATCATGACTGGCCCTGCCCCATCTATTCTCTGCCTCCCAAGTCCCAGCTGATCGGGAGGAAATGGGGATTTTGCAGTATCCTTCCCCTACCATGCCCACCAAGCCATGCCCACAGAACCGGTAGTAAAAAAAATTGAATCCCACCACTGCCTCCTCCGTTCTGGACCGCCAACCCGGAAAGTTTGGGGAACTCTGCTCTGCTGCATTTAGAAGCCCTGTCAGATGTATAGTGATCTGATAGCTACCATTTTGTCCAGCTAGTCCTTGAGTTAAGTCCAGTTGCCTAGCAACCGTTCCAAGTTAGAACAGACCCCCCCCCTCCAAACCACCTTATGATCTGATTTCAAAGTTATGACTGCTGCCCTTCCCCCAACGGGGTCACATGATCACATTTTGCATGCTTGGCAACTGGCTCAGTTTTATGGCCTTGACTGCAGTTTTTTTATGGTTGTTTTTTTGCCGGTTTCTAATATTTGCTTCCGGTTTCTGACAAAAAATCACTCATTGGGTAAAATGGATTCGTTTAATGACTGCAGTATTCGTTTAATGACTGCAGCATTTTTTAAATGATTTTTAATGATTGCTGCAAAAAAAATGTAACATTGAGTCCAGTCACATGATGACCTGTAATAACTTACTAACTGCAATTCTGGGCTCAGTTATGGTCATACATTGTGGACTATCTGTAACCAGACATTTTCCACAAAAGTTGAGACCAAGATTGAATGTTACTATAGCGGCTAAATCGGCGTGGGAGAGATACATTCAGACAAAATGCAATAAAACTTTATTGGATGTAGTGATGGAGAATAATGGCTGCCTTGAGTCTAGAAAATAGGGTTAAAATAGTAAAACTTTTCACTGACAGAAAAACGAATTCTCCACAAACTTTGTAGAGCTAGAGCAATTCAGAGGAAAACATCTTCAGTGGGGCTGCCATTTTTATTAATTCAATGTTTGATCTAGTGATTAAAGCATCAGGCTAGAAAGCGGGAAACAATGAGTTCAAGTCCCACAGCCATGAAAGCCAGATGGGTGACTGACGTTGGGCCAATCATTAGGAGACTGAGAGTTCTAGTCCCGCCTTAACATGAAAGTCAGTTGGGTGATTTTGGGCCAGTCACACTCTCTCTCAGCCCAACCCACCTCACAGGGTTGTTGTTTTGGAGAAAATAGGAGGAGGAAGGCATGTTGGATATGTTCACTGCCTTGAGTTATTTGTAAAAAATAATAAAGGCAGGATATAAATAAAATAAAATAAAATAAATAAATAAATAATACAATAGACGAGGCTGTGAGATCAAAATTAATTTTGAAGTAGTACAAGCAGTGGTGTGAAAATATTCAGAGAGAGGTCAAAACATTTTTTTTTTAGAAATGGAGAATGATTATTTCAAAGAAGAATGAGAAAAGCTATGCAGATCAGTGTGGTGCAATGGTCAGTGTTGCGTCAAGCCCAGGAAAACCTGGGTTCAAATCTTCACTCACTGGATAGCATTGAACCAGTATCTGACCCTTAGCCCAATCTACCCTATGTGCTTAATGACATGGGGCAGTCCTTCCAAGCTGAGTGCTTTATTGTTTGACACCTATAGATCTATAATCTTGCCAGACTGAGGATTCTACTATCTGCATCTACAACCTACTTTATGAGCTGCAGGGAGTGCACGACTTGCAACAGTTCATTCAGTGACCATTCAACGTTACAATGGCACTGAAAAAAGTGATTTATGACCATTTTTCACACTTACAACCATTGCAGCTTCCCCACGGTCACCCGATCAAAATTTAGAGGCTTGGCAACTGATTCATATTTATGACGGTTGCAGTGTCCCGGGGTCCTTTTTGCGACTGTCTGACAAGCAAAGTCAACGGGGAAGCCAGATTCAATTAACAACCGTGTTACTAATTTAACACCTGCAGTGATTCACTTAACGACTGTGGCAAGAAAGGTCGTAAAATGGGGCAAAATTCATGTCAGAGTTTCTTGCAAAAATCAAATCCAGAAGCACCCACAGATAACTGAATCAGCTGGATTCATTCACTTCTTTATATTCATAATAACACATAAAGTATATTCACAATACCGACAGTTGGTTCTTCAGCTCAGCTCAGCAGACATGTTCACGCACACAGAGTACAGCAGAGAGACTAACACACACTCACTCTGAATAGTTTCAGTTTCAATTCTCTGCACAGAATCAGAAGCTGCAGTCTAAGACACGCCCTGGCTCCAGTATGTCTCGGCTCCCAATTGGCTGACTTAGTTGCTATGCCTATTCATTGGCTGATCTTGTTACCATGTCTTCCCAATCATGAATATTCTGACCATTCACTTAACAAATGTCTCACTTAGCAACAGAGAGTTTGAGCTCCATTGTGATCGTAAGTCTGTATTAGGGAGTCTTTATTCTTTTTTTCTTACAACACACACACGCAACTCTGGGCTGAGTTGCCTCTTACTCTTCTGGATTGCAGCCCCTCCCTCCTAGGAATCTACTTCCTTGCTATATTCCATCACATATCATGAGCCTAAGATGAAGCATCAGACACTACTACTCTCTGTGCAGTATATGGCTTTGAGCTTCTGGAGAAGAAGTAGGAAGTGAAACAAATAAATAAATGAAGTGGAAATTGGTTTGTTTGTTTTTATAACTGTTATGGCTGTTATGCAATTGGGGCCACTATTGACTTATTGTCAAAACCAAGGAACATGAAGAAGGCAACAGCACACTTAAAGGAATTGTGGGCAATAACACACTTCCGCAAAAGTTGTCCATTCAGGAGCAGCCACAATCCATCGCCAACAATTGTTGAGTCTCTGTTGGAAACAAGCTGCAGTAAAAATTGGAAGAAAGAACAGCAGAGTGACAGAAAATCAGTATAGGAGCACTTCTGTTAGGAACAGTTGGTTTGTTTTGTCCTTCTTATTTGTCGTTGCTAAACCTTTATCCCCTCTCGCTCTTCCGCAGATTGGCGGATCATCTAAGGAAAACAAGAGCTGCCATTATTTTCCAGAAACAATATCGAATGTTAAGGATACGCCGGGCCTACCAAGCCATCCGTCAAGCAGCTATCACCATCCAGTCCTTCACCCGAGGAATGTTCGTTAGGAAGAACTATCAAAAGGTTTGTTTCTTTGCCTTTGCCTTCAGAACACACAAATATATTTCAGTAGCCCTCTTTTTTTCTGATTCATGCTTCATGGAAGTTGGATACAAGTCGTCCTCGACTTATGACCAGTCATTAAATTGACCATTTGGAATTATGGCTTCAGAAAGAGACTTCTGGGCATCATAAAATGTTGTGCAAATAAAGAAGGATGTTTGTAGCTCAGGGTTGCAATGAGGGACCCTTGGTGCTCTCTGAGCTTGGTTGTTTTCTTGTAGACATTTCATTACCCAACTTGGTAACATCATCAATGCACATTACCTAGTTTCAGTAATGAACATCTGCAAGAAAACAACCAAGCTCAGAGAGCACCAAGGATGCCTCAATATTGTGCAGCCCTATCCAATCACTTTGTCAGAAATGGTGTAGGGTCTCCTGTTTGAGCGGGGGGGTTGGACTAGATGACCTATAAGGTCCCTTCCAACTCTGTTAATCTGTTACTGTTACACAATCTACTTAGTGATCACATGACTAAATTTTGAGTACTTGGCAACCAGCTCACTTTAACAACTGGTTGAAGTGTCCTGCATTTTTTTTAACGACAGAAACACTCATTAGGGTGAATGGATTCAGCCCTAAGACCATTTGAATAGCTCGACAATAACCAATGTAAAACAGTCATAAAATTAGGTCCATGTCATGCGGGGGCCTTGATCTTCATAATGTATGACTGAAATTCCAGTCCCAATTGTGGTAATAAATCGAGGACTATCTGTATGACCTTTAGTGCGAACCAGGTTCTTATATTACATGGATACATGCCAACAAATCAAATGCTGGATATATTAGTTAATTTTCTTGTGAAGGAAATTAAGAGAGTTCATCCTTGGTACTGTGAACCAGGGAATGTACATATATGTTTTGCATAACATTGTTGTCTTAGTTTTGTTTAGTATTTCACAGTCAATCACAAATATAGTAAAACAGATTGAAAACAAATACTCTAAAAACAACTGCTGAAAAGGAGCAGATAGGTGTTAGTATAAGTATTGGCCAATAAATATCTGCCACTTTTTTACCTCTTTAGTTCAAGTTGGATTCTATTGTAAATCTGCAAAAATTTAATTATGTTAAAGATAGATAAGGATTTTGAGGGCCTCAACAATGCTACCAGACCATCAATGTCACTTTTTAAAAAAATATTTAATCTGTCTTTAATACCGTCTTCAATCCTGCATAAAATTTTGCTTCTGAATTCCTGTTGTCTTCAAGTGTAATTTAAGCTTCTTACTCCTCATCTGGATTACAAATCTTGACTTTATTCAGAGCTAGCAAAATCACCACACTTGGTTGTAAATGTCAAATTTCAAAACATAACGTGTTTGCTATGTTGCGTCCCTTAGTCTTCGTTCTCTAATTGTATAAGATTGGTAACAGAATGGTCATCTCAAAATGAGATACACTGGGAGTCAAAGGAGTAAGTGCATCTGGCCCAATCCTTATTCTCAATCCTTATTAGCAGCTCCTGTCAAAGCCTTAGATAGATGTCTTCTCCATCAGCTTCCATGGTTTGAGGTATCTCTTCCTGTTTCAATGGTAATTAATCTGGAAAGTCAGCCATCTGTCTTATATATAAAATCTGAGCCCAACCTTGGTTATTAATCCTGTAATTTACAGGTTCGCTTTTGAAATCTTCAGATGGATGTCATCCTGTCCAAAGAGTACAAAGGTTTTATTTGTTTAGAAGTAACCTTCAAACTGCTCTTGAAGGATTAACTAGTGACATACTCAACAGGCTATATCCAGTGTTTCTTAGAATACAAATAGGTAGCCTATTGCTATAGAGCTAGATAGATTGGTTGTTTGACAGGTGAGGGCAAGACGTTCTAAGAATAGCAACTCACACCCTTGTTAGCTCTAGAACAGATTATGGCCGTGTGATATACCTGGGGCTGGCCTTGAAGATTACCCAAAAATTGCAGTTGAGGCAAGAAGCAGCAGGCCCTCTGGCTACTGGGTCAGAGCTTGATTAACTTTACAGTATCTAAGCTGTAGGAACTCACCTTGACTTTCAGTAGGTTTCTGAGTAAAACTCAAGAGGTTGGTAATAACCCATAAAACAACTTGAACTTGAGGCCAGATATCTTCAGGACTTCTGCGAAGAGGTTTATTATATCTGGGAGTAGATGCTCCAGGCTTTCTCAGCCCAGGAGGGTAGAAGCAGAGCTTTGTAATGGTTGTCTAGCTTCTTCCATAAATCTCTCCATTGAGTTCCAAATGGTTCCCTCCCATGGGTATGTCTAGGTGTCAAGAGTTGGCTTCTTTGGCAGGTTCTTAGAGACCGAATAGCTTGTCTTTGTATTCTCACATTATTCCTGTTTTAATTTAATATTAATTTTATTTTTAACTCACTGATGGGAGTATTTGAATTAGGTTCTAATTTATTATGTGTTGAGATGCTGCACGATCTCTTTGCATCTATTAGCTGTTTTGACCACTCAGGCCAAACTGTAGGAGAAGAGCAGGCAGGTGGTGGAATTAAGCAAGTAATCAGCCTAGAGTCCTTACGTTCCCACAAATGGTCTAAATCCAACCTCTCTTGAATTCTGTTGACTCTTATCTAGCATCAATTTAATCCTGACAGTTAGTTGACTAAATTTCTCTGCATAGGCATGAACAATAGATCATCTTAATTGGAATAGCGGTAGCACTTAGACTTATAAACCGCTTCACGGTGCTTTACAGTCCTCTCTAAGCGGTTTACAGAGTCAGCCTGTGGCCCCCAGGAATGCGATGTATAGTCCTGATTCTTCACACTTGAATCATAGTGTTTAAAGACAAAGGAAACTTGTGTTTGTCTTTTTCCTGACAAAGTAGTTTAAGATGAAAGATGCTCTTCGTGATTTTCATGTATTTCTGAGTGAATGCATCTAATGAAGCTCAGGGAAACGTTCACGGATACCAGGACAATCTGTTCTCTGCATCCAAGAGAAACTGTATTATAACCATTTACTTCTTTCTAATGAGACATTCTGCTAGTTAACTCCTCGGAATAAATTCAGCACTAATGAGGGACCCCCACTGAATTCAAATGATCGCGAACATTGAATCCTTAGAGTTTTCGTAATTTAGCAATCTATAAGTGTTTGGAAATAAGGAAGAAGTTGAGAAAACATCATTTGGAAGAATTTGCTGTAATTAAAGTGGGTGGCCTGTATATGTACTATATAGTCTGGGGAAATAATATATATAAGAAAGCTCAAATCTTAACTTATCGAGGCACTGTTGTTCCATAGCTTTTAGTCTTCCCTTCCCTTTTACTTTTGGCATTATTTAATAATGTATGATGGCACCTAACAGGAAGAAATTCCTAGACTACATAATAATATTTCATCTTCACCTATTAAAAGACATAACTTGTTAGTGTACCTCACTTATGTTTCATTGATATCTTCTATTTCTTCAGTAACTCTTTATACATAGGGTTAATGTTGGCAGCATTTTTTGATCGTTATTGCTAGGTCTTTTCTCTCCAAGCATTTTTTTCCCCTCTCTCCTCTCCTCCTCCTGACTCGGAACTTAGCTCACTTTCAGAGTACAGAAGCATAAACTGTAGATATTTCAATGTTTAAGCTACACAGACAGAAGCAATTTTTCTCCAGTTCTTCAGAGGGCTAGCTTAATGAAGCCACACAGAAAAGAACCTCAGGGCAAAATGGAAAGATTATCTAACATCAGGCTAGAAAGAAGAAACTTCACATTTTCTGAGCCTAAAAGACGCATCTCAGCAGTTGCCATTTTTATTAGTCTTAAATCAGAGTGTCCAACCTTGGCAACTTTAAGAATTGTGGGCTTCAACTCCCAGAATTTCCTAGCCAGCCATGCTGGCTGGGGAATTCTGGGAGCTGAAGTCCACAAGTCTTAAAAGTCTATGGACATTCTCAGTCATCCAGGCCATGGTTGTCCCAAAGGTTCTTTTTCAAAAGACAACTGGACTTACTTTGTTCTTCCTTGAAGACGTTTCGCTTCTCATCCAAGAAGCTTCTTCAGTTCTGAGCTTCAGTTCTTCAGAACAGAAGAAGCTTCTTGGATGAAAAGTAAAATGTTTTCAGGGAAAAACAAAGAAAGTCCAGTTGCCTTTTGGAAAAGCACCTTTGGAACACAAAGTTGCTAAGGTTGACATCCCTGTCTTAAACTAACATTTTAACCACTGCTCCATAGTAGTGAATGGATTCTATCGTTTATTCGATTTTATCCCACCTTTGTGCTTTTAGGGATATAATAATGAACTATCCCCTTATTGATTGAATAGAATAGAATAACAGAGTTGGATGGGACCGTGGCGGTCTTATAGTCCAACCCCCTGCTTAGGCAGGAAACCCTACAATGGTTATCCAACATCTTCTTAAAAACTTCCAGTGTTGGTGCATTCACAACTTCTGGAGGCAAGTTGTTCCACTGATTAATTGTTTTCACTCTCAGGAAATTTCTCCTTAGTTCTAAGTTGCTTCTCTCCTTGATTAGTTTCCACCCATTGCTTCTTGTCCTGCCCTCAGGCCCTTTGGAGAAGTACTACTGAGTATTCAGTAGTAGAGCAATGTCAATCTTTGATCATTTGGCCACTACAGAAGTGCATACATGTTAATAGCTATTCACCGTTCACAATTGCCACAAATAGTGTGAATTTGCATTCCTCATATTCATGTCAAGTTAGAAACTGTTGTGTGAATAATACCAGACACTTGATTTTAATACAATTATTTGTTGGAACGGATCCAGTTGAATGTAATGTGAAGATGGGGGGAAAAATAGATCATGGTTCTACTGAGACAAATCACTGGACTATTTTTAATAGATTAAATTGTTTACTGGCACTTTGTTTTAATAATAGCACAACTGAAACAGTGACCCATATTTCTATATAATATCCATACCTGTAGTCAGTGTAAAGATGATGTATGGATTTAACCCAATTTTTGGAATGGTTTGATATATTCAGCCACAAACGAACTGTACAGAATACATTTTCAAAGCATGTTTAGCTAAAATGGAGAGGATTAATTTATATAGCTTGAATATTAAAACTTTGGACTTATGGCAAACCAAATATAGATTTGTGTTTATATAGCTTACAAATTATGGGCCCTTTCTTATGTGATACCCCATTTTATTGATCTCGGGGTTCTAGTAAAACAAAGATGACCTTGCAAGTTTTATACCTGATACATATTCATTTGTGATTTAATTCACCAATTTGTACTTCGCTGCAGGAATATCCTGTGCAGAGAAACTCAATAATGTGCCTGTTTCCATTTTTGCACATTTTATAACCTCCTAGCCTTAAGTTGATGATATAATGTTGACCTTGCCACCTCTGTAGGCACCATAATGAATGTTACAAATATTTGGAGGTTTGGTGACTTGTTAGACAGTGGAATGGACTGCTAAGGTCAAAAAGTAATATTTCCTTAGTGCTATTTCTTCCTCATCACACAAGTGCCAAAAATCAAAATGTGGCCAAGCAATAAAGCATTGGTTGGTGATGAACGTTATATGGCAAAACTGAACTATGACCATCAACCTTCTCTAAGTAGATGCATGAATTTGTCCCACAGACCACTTCGTGGTGGGTAATTTTCTTTCCACTCTGGTGCTCTCATGATGTATTGAATTTCAACTCTCATAACCAACCACAATGCAAGCAGGGGATTATAGAAGTCAGAAGATATCGAGAGACCACTAGATTAAGAACGGCTCTTGTATGTCAACTTTCTGATGCCTTTGCTACTCAAAAACTGAGATGTTCAAAAGCTGTATATCCTCTAGAAGTGTTATCTTAATCTTATCAGGACGGCCATCACTGAAAACATTGGGAGCATTTTTTGATTATGCTCTGTTGAAAAACAACCAAATTCATATTTATCATGAGAGAATAATCAATGACAACTAGAATCTCCTAGATGCTATTCCGCTACGTTGACGTATGCTACCCTATTTTTTCCCCTGTCTTCTGTATGTTGCTATGTGTTCATGTGCTTTTAAGATACTTATGGAATACAAGGCCATCATCCTCCAGAAACACACTCGAGCTTGGCTGGCTCGGAAGAATTTCACCAAGTTCAGATGTGCGGCTGTGATTATCCAGTGCTATTTCAGGCGCATGAAAGCCAAGCAAGAGCTGAAAGCTCTGAAGATCGAGGCCCGGTCAGCCGAGCACTTGAAGAGGCTCAACATTGGCATGGAAAACAAAGTTGTGCAACTACAGAGAAAGATAGATGAACAGGTAAAATTCCTCGGAGTCTTACTCTGTTGTGTGAACCCACATCTCCCCAGTGTTCTGCATGGAACTATTTGCTAATGGTTGCCTCCATTTTGTTTGCCACCATATCCATAGAATATTGTCCAGCTCTACAACTTGATAGAATAGGATGAAAGTATGTATGAAATTGTCAAGCTTTTGTCTTTTTCAGTTAGTGCTTTAGTGAGAATTTCTTCGTTTTCTTTTTTACTACTAGTTCTTAACCTACGACCGTCGTTGAACCCAAAAATTTCTGTGGCTAAGTAAGAAAGGGGTTAAGTGAATTTTCCCACCATTTTACATCCTTCCTTGACACGGTTGTTAAATGAATCGCTGCAGTTGTTAAGTTAGTGACATGGTTGTTAAGTGAAACTGGCTTTCCTTTTGACTTTGCTTGTCAGAAGGTCGCAAAAACATGTACCAGGGACACTGTAACCGTTGATAAATATGAGTCAGTTCCAAGAGTCCAAAATTTCATTATATGTCCATGGAGATGCTGCAACAGTCGTAATTGTGAAAAACGGTCATAAGCCACTTTTTTACAGTGTTGTAACTTTGAATGGTCACTAAATGAACTGTTGTAACTCAAGGACTACTTGTACCTGCATCGCCCTAGTGTTCTGAATGGAACTATTTATTAATGGTTGAGGTTTTTGTTTTGTCTCTCTATCCATAGAATATTATCCAGTTCTACAACTTGGTAGAACAGGATGAAAGTATAAAATTGTCAAGGCTTGGTGTTTCCCTTTAGTGCTTTAGTGAAAATGTCTTTGTTTTCTTTTTCTCAACCCTCTTTCCATTTAATGACGAAGACTTTGCTTTGCTAATTTCTCCCATATCCCAAATCATAGGGACAAGTTTCTTTCTTAAGAAAATAAGAGTACGTTCGGTAGTCACAGGTTACAGAGCTGTAGGCAGGGGTTGGGATTCAATAATTTTAGCAACCGGTTCTCTGCCTGGTTGCTGGGTGGGCGTGGTCTACTCGGCCTCCTGCACCACGGCGTGGAGGGGGTTGTTTTCGCCCTCCCCAGGTTCCGGAGGCTTTCCTCGAGCTTCCAGGAGGGTGAAAATGGCCCACACCGGGCTCCGGAGGCCCTCCGGAGGGCAGAAACGGGCCCATATCTGGACTTACAGAACTTCTGGGAGGCCTGTTTTTCCCCCCCTAGAGTCTCTGAGTGGGCCCTGCACTTACCTGGCATTCAAAATGGGCCGCATGGAGACTCCTGGAAGGGGAGGGGCAAGGTAGGCGGGGCCAGCCATTCCTTGCAATTACCGGTTCGGTGAACCAGATGTAAACCTGGCTGTAGGTGAGATGAGTCTTTTATTTCATTTTTGGAACTATGGGCTAGATAATTTTGGGTGGCAGGGCAAATGGTTGCCAAATTTTGGACTACTGTTTCTCAACCTTATCAGTTTTAAGAGGTGTGAACTTCAACTCCCAGAATTCCAGTTGAAGAGCATAGGAGCATGAACTTCTCTGAATCTCTTTAAAGCAGCTGCATATCTGCAAGTAGATAAATAGGAACCACTTTGATGGGAAGGTAACAGCGCTTCATGACGTCATGCTGGCCACCTCTCCGCGGAAATGTCTTAGGACAATGTTGGCTCAATGGTCTTGAAACGGAGATGAGTGCCACTCCCTATAATCAGCAATGACCAGCGGAGTAAAATCCGTCAGGACTCCTTTTACCTTACTTTGGTCTAGGTCAGGGATCAGCAAACTTTGTGTAAGGCTGGAAGTGGATGATGATCCCTGTGAGTGGATGATGGGCCTCCTTCTTTTAGTGAACCCTGACAATTCGAAGGTCTCTTTGGGCCAAACCATAGGGACAGGTTTTTTTTTTTTAAGAAAATTAGGTTGTTTCATGTTTGGGATAAAAGACTGGAAAATGTTGGATGGTAGGGCCAAAAGTGGCTTGCAGGCTTGCAATAAGTTGCCAACCTCTGTCCCACTGTTTCTCCATTTCATCAACTTTAAGAAGTCTGGACTTTAATATCCAGAGGATGCTGTTAGATTCTGCCCAGTGATTATTGCTACTGGAAGATTTGAACTTAGCTTTTATTTTAGACCAGTGTTTCTTAACCTTGGCAACTTTAAGATGTGTGACCAACTCCCAGAATTACCTAGCCGGCCCAATTAGTTTTCTCTAATCTTCTTTTGTATTGCTGCTGCTTTTATTAAGCATCTCATTTCTTTTGATTATTGTTACTATTTTTTTTTCTTATCATTTGTTCCTTGACTGTAAATCTGGGCATTTTGCTATTTCTGCCAAATGTTAGACATATGAATTAGGTAGTGCTGTTTGAAACTAAGAGTGCAGATGATGGAACTTAAATCATAATTTATCCCCCAGTCATCTTACTCAGGAATGGAATGGAATGGAAAATAGAGTAGAGTAGAGTAGAGTAGAGTAGAGTAGAGTAGAGTAGAGTAGAGTAGAGTAGAGTAGAATAGAATAGAATAGAATAGAATAGAATAGAATAGAATAGAATAGAATAGAATACTTGGAAGAGACCTTGGAGGTCTTCTAGTCCAACCTCCTGCTTAGGCAGGAAACTCTAGTCTATATCATTTCAGACAAATGGTTATCCAATCTCTTCTTTAAAACTTCCAGTGTTGGAGCATTCACAACTTCTGGAGGCAAGTTGTTCCACTGATTGTCCTAACTGTCAAGAAAGTGCTACTTAGTTCTAGGTTGCTTCTCTTCTTGATTAGTTTCCATCCATTGCTTCTTGTCCTGCCTTCAGGTGCTTTGGAGAATGTTCAATTTGTGTTATCCAGAAGATGATTAAAATTAGGCTCCATTCCCTGTTCTACATAGTCATACCAACTTTTAAGAAGAAAATGTAATTTTTGGAAGTACTTGGAACCTAAGATTGTATCTATTGTAGCTATTGTAAATATATAAAAAGAAAGGGGAAGGACATATACTATAGTAGAAAAATAATAATCTAATTGACTATAATACAATTATTCTTGTAAAGGCTGGTTTTGAACTTACGCCATGTTATCTAAAATTATTCAGCTGAATTTTAACTGAAGAACAATGTGTTCAATCTGAACAAGCCAAAAAAAGGCATTATTGGATATTTGGGACAGAAACACAATAAATGTGATGTGATTGAATCACATGGAGTTGGCATAACTGTGCAATTCTTTTTCTTGTGAAGTTATTCAGCAGTAGCAGGCTGGGGATGAAATAATACACTGAAAATATTGGAAAAGAAGGGCATTATAACCTTATTATATAATCATGACCTAGAATAGTTTCTTTGAGCTTGAAACATTCAAGAATTATTGGACAACTTCCATTACCTCATATCAACATGGTTGTTGAATGATGGCCAATGTAGCTCAGTGCATTTCAGAAAAAGGACCTACAATACTACAAGTTCATTTCCAAGACTTAATGCAGGTCAGCCCAAATAGGAAGTTTGAGACAGGAATTGGCAAAATAATTTGGAATCTTCTTAGATGTGTAATTGAGAGTTTCTGAGTGCCAATCACACTATGCCTTTTAGATAACACTTTAATCTTCTACATAGTCTTAGACCAGGTATATTCAACAGAATGACTTTCTTTCCATGGAAAGAAAGACATTCCATTGAGTAATTATTTTATCTGTCAGAAAGTTTCTTCTTAGTTCTAGGTTGGTTCGTACCTTGATGAGTCTCCGTCCATTGCATCGCGTCCTGCTTTCAGGTCCTTTGGAGAATAGGTTGACCCCTCTTCTTTGTGGCTGCCCCTTAGATATTTGAAGACTGTTATCAAGTCATCCCTAGTCCTTCTTTACATTAAACCAGACATACCCAATTCCTGTAACCATTCTTCATATATATTAGCTTACAGTCGCCTAATCAACTTTGTTGCTTGCTGGGGAATTCTGGGAGTTGAAGTCCACAAATGTTAAAGTTGCCAAGGTTGGATAACCCTCTCTTAGACTAAATAATATATTTCTGAGAAATCCTTTTTCCTTTGTATTTCTGAATTTACCTACTTGCCTGATATCTCTTTGTGTCTTCCCTATCATTGTTAAGTTTTGGACCTGAGCATCTGATGCTGGTTTGCTATGGTTTCATCCTAAAACACAGTCATTTGGGAGTAACTTTCTGTTGTTTATTCCACTGATATTTTCAGTACTTCAAAGACCATTTTAGTAAAGGGTTTGTGTCAAGGGTGAAAATGAGCTACAGAAAGTTGCTTGTGAGGGCATTTCCACAAAGAACAGGAGTTCAAAGATTTTGAATTCTTATGATTTGAGTCTGTAAGATTTTTCATGTACAGAATCAAAATTTCCAGATTTTCAGTCTTCTGTTCCAGAATCACAAAATGCCCAGAGTTTTCCTTTTTGAGAAACTTGAAAAACCATTTTACCATTGGTTTAATTCATATAGTAGTTTCAAATTACATGCACAGGTAATTTATGCAAGATATTGATTTATTTGTGTAAAGAACAAAATTAGTCTACTTTTTTTTGGTAGTTAACTTCCAAATTCTTGACAGAAACTGGTATGAAATTCTATGGTTGGCTTCCAAAATTTGTTTGTTTGTTTGTTTAGATTTATATGCCGCTCTTTCTCCGAGAGGACTCAGGGCGGCTCACAACAGTAAAACAGAAAAATAAAACAACAACTCTGGGTTAAAAGTTACACATAAAATCCCTAAAATCAATTAAAATCCATTTTAAAACCCCCATCAGTCCAGGCCGGCCAGGCGAAATAGCCACGTTTTTAGTTCGCGGCGGAAAGAGCGGAGGTTGGGGGCCATCCGGAGCTCCAGGGGGAGCTGATTCCAGAGGGTAGGTGCGCCCACAGAGAAGGCTCCCTAGGGGTCGCCAGCCGACACTGTCTCGCCGACTGCACCCCGAGTAGGCCCTCTCTGTGGGAACGCACCGGGTGATGGGGAGCTGTTGCTGGCCGCAGAAGGTCCACCAAATACCCCGGTCCTAAGCCATGACACTGGCTTATATAAAACCAGTATGGAATAATTTACCTTCGCACATGTATAGCTGTGTAGACATAGCTACACATCTAATGTATTTTGGAATATTTTTTTATTATTTTTATGTCACCTATCAAACAAATTCTGTGGACTACTCACCAACTTACAAATTAGTAAACTGATAAGATAAAATGATAACAATATAGCTTTTAATAGAAGGGAATGTATGTAGTTCAGTTTTGAACTGCATAGTTCTAGGTGCTCTTTGAGTTTGCTGGCTGATGATGTTACCTATTTATGTCATGAAACATCTGAAAGCAAATAACCACACTTAGAACTCCACAATATAACTTTAAAAAAGATTTGAGAAGATAAAAATGTTTCTGTGGAGGTAGAGAGATTTGTATCACAGGCATTGCCACTGAACGTTTTTCTCCCAGGTTTCCATTTCCTTCATTTCATTGCTTTGAAAAGAGCCTCTTAGGAAGATTGTTTTAAACTCTACAGGTATACACTGACGGTTCCATTTAGGGCAACGTTTTGAATTGATCTTTAATTTAGAAATGCATGTCTATTAGTCTTTCTAAATTCTTATATGTCTTTCAGAAGCGGGAATTATATTCTAATTCAGGGGTCTCCAACTTTGGCAACTGTACGACTTGTGAACTTCTGGGAGTTGAAGTCCACATGTCATAAAATTGCCGAGGTTGGAGACCCCTGTTCTAATTCCACACAGTCTGTTTAGTGCAGATCTGGGCATTTTACAGCCCCCGGACCATATCTGGCCTTTGGCTGTCCCTGTCTGGCCCACGTGAGGTCAATTGGAAATTAGAAATCTAATGTAAATTAAGTGTACACCAAGCATTCAATACAATGGCATTGCTTTTATTTTGAAGGCGACTGCTTCCCCCCTGCCACCTTACATATTTGTGTGCATATGGGCCTATGTATCTTCACAGGCCTATTGGTTCGGCCCTCCACAACGGTCCCAATTTCTCATGTGGCCCCTTGGGAAAATTAGTTGCCCACCCCAGTTTAGTGGATAAATCTTAGAAGGAAGAGAAAGTAACAATATCAACTACAGCAGTGGTGGGTTGCTCCCGGTTCAGCCCGGTTCGGCAGAGCCGGTAGTGGTGATGATGTGACATCACCGAACCGGTTCTCTGTGACTGGGAGCTGGGCCCTCCCACCCTTCCCCCGCTTTATTCCTATCTTTATTTCTTGGTTTTTAGCCCAGCTGATAGGCACGGCAGAGTGGATTGCCACACCTCAGCTGACCAGAAACCTAACACGCTTGCACGGAGCGCAAGTTTGGCGTGCATGCGAACAAAGCAAGCATGAGTGTGGTGATCATGCGCAAAGCGGGTGCATGAAGAGAACTGGTAGTAACACCAGTTGGAACCCACCACTGAACTATAGTCATCAGCAGTTTGAGGCCATGGTGGAGGACCAGTCAGGATTTAGAAGAATGCGTGCTTCTGTTGCCATTTCCAGATTGCTGTTGTGTTCTTACTGCTGGCAGTCACACAACCTGGGGTACACAAGCATTTGTAAAGCTTTTGGTATGCAAACTAGTGTAAAAACGTCTCTTCCTACATGCCTCATCCTGTTCTCCTTCAATGAGGAGTTAAAATTAAGTTTTCTTATGCTTTTAGTGTCTGGTGTTCGTTAGGTGGGCTTTTTTTTTTTTTGTATTTTAACTTTGGAAATGAACTAACAATTTGTAAACAAAAAGCTTTCTTACTATAAGAACTTTCCAAACCATAACTGATAGGTTAATGCAACTGAGAAAAGTCTTTAAATTTCAATTTCAGTGTGCTGTTGTTGTTTTTTTGTATCTTTGTGACGAATACTTCTATCATGACAAAATCATTCAAGATTTTGATTATATTAGTATATTTTCTAATATACCTCGTCCATTAAAATGTGCGTCATGCTGGCTGTATAAGGTAAATTTAATGTACGTTTTACCACAACATTCATAATTAATGTAATTGGAACAGAGTAACATGAATATTTGTGGAAATTACCATTGCTTTACAATTTCACTGTATTGTGAGAATTGGAGGGTGATGCTTAACTTTGGGAACTGACACAAGCAATCTATCTATATACTACTAAAACTCTCGTTGTCATGACCCTAACTGGGAGAAATGGTGCATCATAGGGCAACAGTTTTTGAATCAAGGTACCTCAGATGGGTTAACTCACAGAATATGTTCAAAATCCGGGATCCATGATGATTCCAAGGGAATAACCGTTGGGGAAGTTGTGGGTGATTCAGTGCTACTAGCTGCTGGGCTACTGCTGCGATCATGTGATTTTTATTTTCAACATTCCATGACAGTTTCCAAGCCAGTCACGCAATCCCTCATTCCTTCTCCAATCCAGCAGCAGCTTCCCCGATCCTGCATACTTACCTGCCTGCTGGAAAGGGGAGGGAAGGAGATTTCTGATGTTCCCTGCCAGATTCCCTCAAGAAAACTCACTGGGGAAGCCAGCAGGAAGTTGGAAGAAAGAACTCCTGCTCCTCCTGCTTTTTTTGATCACTCATGTTCATTCTGTTTCTCTGTTTAGGTACAGAAATACTTCTGAAACATATCAACAGGGCGCGGATGGTCTAGTTATTTTTAAAACGGCAGAGTTTACAATTTAATTTTACAATTTAATTTTATTCTCTGAAGTGGCGAGTGGTGAATTCACTGTTTTCCTGCTACCTCTTCCTCTGCAGAACAAAGAATATAAGTCTCTCAATGAGCAGCTCTCCACAGCAGCCTCTGCTCATTGCACAGAGATTGAAAAGCTGAAGAAGGAACTGGAACGCCATCAGCGGAAGAAGGGAGACACGAATCAGCTTGTGAGCTTGCAGGAAGAAATTGATTCTCTCCGGCTGGCCCTGGAGAAGGCTCACGGGGAGCGGAAGATCGTCGAAGATACGTATGCCAAGGAGAAGCAGGTGCTCCAAAAGGTAAATACTCTGTGAGGAGTTGCAAGCCTTCTGTATCCAATGACTGTGGGCATAATAGGGCCAAGCCATGGTTTATTTAACCATAATTTATTGGGGGGGGGGAATTAACATTCACTTGGATGCCATACAAGCTAAGTCATAAACTGGGGTTTAAACTATCACGTTTAACATCAATAGCTAAATTAAACTGACCTCACAATGGCTTTGCTTCATGTGTGCACTGTGTGCAAAATCACGTTTTAGCGAGATGGGGTCTATACCGCTTCACAGTACTTTACAGCCCTCTCTAAGCGGTTTACAGAGTCAGCCCATTGCCCCCAACAATTTGGGTCCTCATTTTACCCACCTCGGAAGGATGGAAAGCTGAGTCAGCCTTGAGCCTGGTGAGATTTGAACTGCCAAATTGCAGGCAGCCGGCAGTCAGCTGCAGAAATAGCCTGCAGTACTGCACTTTAACCACTGCACCACCACCGCGGCTAAATAAAAAATGGTCAGCATTCAAATGTTTTCAAGTCCTTCTACATTGAAGGTCCTTCTCAAAAGACACTGATTACTTTCGGATTATTGTGCGTGGTTTGTATCATTAGTAAGGACTTTTCTAAGGACACTAAGACTGGTTTATGTATTTCAGAGTTGATCCATTCAGTTAAATTCTCCCATAGACCGGCATTCATAACTGGGTATCAGAAATGGGTAGCATGAACCCATCTGTTTAAAGTTCACAAGGCTTCATTTTGTCTTGAATTTCTACAGGGAGAAGAAATAAGTGCACATCCAGCTTTTCACAAAATGTCTTTCTGTCATTATTGTGCTTACTGTTGGTAGAGCAGAGACCAGAATTTAAATGATCATTCATAGCAAAATTTAAGGATCATGCAGAAATACTTAATAACCGAATGCAAATAACAATATTAGGCTTTGAGGTTCTTATTAATGGCAGTCAAGACATGCATTGGTTGACTGGTTACATGGATTTGTAAGACAAATTTGTTGTGTGGGGACAGCACAAGTCATAGTTGGCTGAGATTAAATTCATGACCTTTAAACGGGCAAACGTTTAAACTGTTAAGAGTTGTATTCCTCAATCAGTTTCTCTTATTCTACTTTGGGAAAATGTGTGGATTGATCTGAGACTTCTCTTGTTTCTTGCCAGATCATTGAGATAATCTAAATAGTAGCAATATCTGGCCACTATTAAAGATTGCATTTTGCTCTGGTTTTTAACATAAATCCAGAGACAATGAGATTTGCAAGGGTTAGGATATTCCATGCTATTAAACATGAAAGAAAAGGAAGAAATGAGGTGAATTTTAATAAAAAAAATTGTGGAAGGAAAGAAGGGCAGTTACTCTGATCCAGATTTTAGTTTACAACTTTCCAATATACAGGCTTATGTTCTCTAACAGCAACAGAATATGTACCATTTTGCATGAACTATATACCCCCAAAGGACTAATAATAGTAGACAGCAACTGATTGTGCCATCTGTATGGCAAGACATTTAATGTTGATGGATCCTCAACATTTCACTCTAGAAGTCAGCTGTAGTAGAGTTTTTTACATCCTTATGTTTGTTTATTGTTTAATTTATTGCATATACAGTATAACGTTTTAGCCCCTAAGATTCTGTCAGTTTATAGCAATCAATATATTCACTTGACTATACAGGTAGTCCTTGACTTATGACCATAATGGAGCCCAAAATTTATGTTGTTGTGAGATATTTGTTAAGTGACTTTTGCCCCATTTTACGATCTTTCTAGCCACAGTTGTTAAGTGAATTAATGCAGTTGATAAATTAGTAACCTAGTTGTTATGTGAATCTGGTTTCCCCATTGAGTTTGTTTGTCAGGAGGTCACAAAAGGGGATCTGGTGACCCTGGGACACTGCAACAGTCATAAATATGAGCCAATTGCCAAGCATCTGAATTATGATCACATGATTATAGGGATGCTGCGAAGGTTGTAACTGTGAAAAATGATCGTAAGTCACTTTTTCCGGTCCCGTTGTAACATTGAATGTTCACTAAATGAACTGTTGTAAGTTGAGGAATACTCGTGCACACATAATACAGTAGAATATTCAAAATGTATTAAAAATAATATGTGACATTCAACTCTAAAAGAAAAAAATAAAATGGCAACTCGATCACCATAACATCATGCAGCAGTATTCAGAATCAAGCTCCAAACACCCATTGAAACAGCATACAGGCAGTCCTTGACCTATGGCCACAACTGGGATCAAAATATTCATGGCTAAGCAATGCAGTTGTTAAGTGAGTTGCAGCTGATTTTATGATTTATTTATTTTTACCATGCTGGTTTAGACAATCACTGCAATTGTTAAGTGAATCATGCGGTTGTTAAGCGAATCTGGCTTTCGCCGTTGACATTGCTTGTCGGAAAACTGCTGGGAAGGTCACAAATGGTGATCATACGACTCCAGGACAGTGCAACTGTTATAAATGCATGCCAGTTGCCAATTATCTGAATTTTGATCATGTGAGGATGCTGCAGTGGTCATAAGTGCAAGGACTGATTGTAAGTCTCCTTTTTCAAGGCCGTTGTGGCTTCGAACAGTTACTAAACAAATGGTTGTAAGCCGAGGACTGCTTGTATTTATGCTACGGTGATCCAAGTCATCTTGAAAGTTACATGCAACTTCCAATTTGCAACAATGCTGAAGACAGAAGCCGTAGCACACCAAGGGCAAAATTAATGTACTGAGATGTTGAAGATTAAGCGTGTTATTTTATTTTTAAACAGTTTTTACGGACCAATAAAGGAGAATATTTGTAGGTCAGGGTTGAAACAAGAGATCTTTGGTGCTCATTTGAGCTTGCTTGTTTTCTTGCATTACCATCAGGAACTGAGCTCAACAATGAATTCCTTAAAAATTGAGGGCTCCTTGGTGCTCTCTGAGCCTGCTTGTTTTCTTGCATTACGTTTCATTACCGTAACTAGGTAACATCATCAGTGCTAGCGATTACCTAGTTAGGGTCATGAAACGTCTGCAAAAAAAACAAGCAAGCTCAGAGAGCATCAAGGAGCCCTTAATTTTTAAGGAATTCATTGTTGAGCTCAGTTCCTGATGGTTTCACATACCATATTTTTCGGACTATAAGTGTTCTGCCCCAGCTACGGACCCCAAAGAACGCAGCACACACAAAGTCTGTACAAACCTTAGTTTACTAAATTAAATCAGTCTTTTTCAAACAAAGGCTGTTAATGAACTTTCTTAACAGCCTACAAGAATCTAAAGAGTAAATAATCGTAATCTTACTATGGTTGGCAGAAAGCCCAGAAGCAATTTGCAGGAAACTGATAAGAGAACTAAGATCAGGACGTGAAGGAGAGTGAATGAAGTTGTTCCCTGCAAATTGCCTCAGTCATCCTTCCTTAAATAGGCTAAGGGAGTGGCCAATTAGCCCCAAGCCTTACTCTCGAGGAGACCTCTTCCTGAGGAGCCACTCCTGCCTTTTGGCACCTCTGCACGCCCGTGCATCGAGAAGAGGCTCCTCCTCTTCTTCCTCTTCACTTAAGGGAGCTTCTGGAGGTTCTGAAGGCTCTGGCTGAATCCCCGCCTCTGGCACCACATCTTCTCCAGCCTCCTCATTGTCTGACTTGAGTGCCAGCTGCACAGGCTGCTGGCGCAGCACCACACCAGCCTCCTCGTTGTCGGAATCAGCTACTAGCTGCATAGGCCGCTGACGGGCCACAACACTAAGATGCACCTAAATTTACAGGAGGAAAACAAGAAAACAATAGTTTTTGGCCTCTGCACGTCGTGTTTTCATCCTCTCAGGCCCCCAGAAACACTCTGCAGTGCTCTGCACAACCCGTTTTCATCAAAAGCGGGGCCGTTTTTACCAAAAACGCTCCTGTTTTTGGCCTGCAGATGCACGGAAGGCTTGGGAGCCTAAAAACAGGCCTGTTTTTGGCTAAATGAGCCATGTGGCGCACTGCAGAGTGTTTCTGGGGGCCGGGGAGGATAAATATGTGATGCGTGGAGGGTTCGGGAGGCCAAAATCACCTGTATTCAGTCTATAAGACACACCTAAATTTTCACCCACTTTTAGGGGGGGAAAGGTGCGTCTGATACTCCAAAAAATACGGTACTTGTACTTTTCTCTGCAAATTTAAAGTCGGTTTACCATTATCGTCTTCTAGGATTTTTTTTAAAACAACTTCTCAATTTAGGCTTAAGAATGGAATTTCTTGATGGTCTCCCATCCTGGCATCTAACAACTTTGATGTTATTTCAAGCACATACAGGATCTTATGTTGTTTTTGAAATCAGCCAACGTCATCAAGGTGGTACCATCTAGCTGGGCACTGGAATTAAAAAGCTGCTCTAATTTTGTTGCTTTCCGGGGAGTTTTCTTTAGCCTTTCCCTTCTGTTTTTTAGCATATTGAGTAATTCATTACAAAGCAGCTTGAACCTCTTTCGTTCTGAAAGTTTCTTCCCACTGCTTCCTCCTTTCCATTTCTGCTTGCTTTTAACATCATGTGCAATTACTGATAAAATGCCTCTGCAGAGTTTTCCTGCTGAGAAAAGTGAGGGGAAATGTATGAACATACATTAAAAATTAGACAACTGTACAGATGCCATAAATTGCTACTTTTACAACAAAAAACCTTTATGATATGAGGCACAAAAGCCTTCTTTTGATAATTGCTCAAAATCCTCATACAATCTGCATTTTGCAATTTCCCCAAATTAAACTTATCCCAGTGAGCTGCACTTTTTGTTACGCACAATAAAATTTGGAGTGTCAGGCTGTGGTCCTGTGCACCCCCATGTAACAGAATAATATTGCTTGCACTAAAATGATTTGTCCAAAGCAATTTAGGGCAGTCAAACTGTAATGGGCAGAAACCACTTAGGGGTCCTTGATGCTCTCTGAGCTTTCTTGTTTTCTTGCAAAGATTTCATTACAGTACCCTAACGAGGTAACATCATCAGTGCTAGTCCTGATGATGTTACTATTGTGGCCCAACAGTGGCCAGCAGAGCTGGCAGCAGATTCGGACAGTGAGGAGGTTGGGGAGGAACATGGGCCAGTCTTCTAGTCTGGGGAAGCCTCGGACAATGGCTCTGAGTCGGAGGCAGAGAGGAGGCCAAGGCCATCTGGTAGTTCTTTGCTTCCTCCGGAGTGTCCACAGTCTGACATCAGCGAGGCAGAAGAACAGTGTGAGCCTGTTCCCAGTGTGCGCATGCGCAGAGTTGCCAGGAGAAAGGAACAATTAAGAAAACAGGGTCGACTTGGGAGTAAGGCTTGGAGATGATTGGCCCCTCCCATAAGACATAAAGGAGAAGTAAACAGGACGTGAACTTTTGCAGGAAGCAATTAGTTCATCTGGTCGGTAAAAGCTGTGGAAAAGTTCTGTTAGACTCTGTGCTAAGTTTGGCCTTGCCCTGCGTGTGGCAATTAGTTCTCTGGCAACATTCCAAGGGAGATTTAATTTAATTTAATTTAATTTAATTTAATTTAATTTAATTATTTAATTTCATTTCATTTCATTCATTTCATTTCATTTCATTTAATTTTAATTTAATTTAATTTAATTTAATTTAATTTAATTTAATTTAATTAATTTAATTTAATTTTATATACCGCCCTTCTCCCGAAGGACTCAGGACGGTGAACAGCCAGAAGTAAAAAACATCAAATACAAAATATAAAAACAATTTAAAAACGAATTAAACAATTTGGCCCGACAGTTAAAATCCCCCATTAAAAATCCAAACTAAAATACACAATTGGAGAGATTAGGCCAGCCCGACTTGATGAAATAAAAAGGTTTTGAGGGCCCGACGGAAAGTACGTAAGTCTGGAATCGTCCGTACCGAGATAAGGTAAGTGTTTGTAAACACTCCCCTGCAAGACTGTTTGATAAGCCTTTCGGACTGGGAATGACAATAATTCACAGCCATATGAATTAAAGAAGTTTGCCGGGACTAAGTTTGTGTTGTATACTGTCTAAGGAAGTCTAGGTCAGAACAATTACTTAGTTACAGTTACAGTTACTTAGCCTCTTTGGGTATGCTAATTTGTTATTTGGAGAGTCGGTTCGGTGTAGTGGTTAAGGAACCAGGTTAAAAACCAGAAAACCATAAATTCTAGTCCTTCCTTAGAACATGAAGTCAGCTGGGTAACTTTGGGCCACTCTCTCTCTCACCCACAGGAAGGAGAAAGTGATGCCAAACCAGTTCTGAAAAGCTTGCCAAAAAATTGCAAGGACTTATCCAGGCAGTTGCTACAAGTCCACAACGACACAAAGGCAAACACACACACACACACACACACACACAATTATTCATTTAATTGGTTTGATAAATAATACATGCAGTCCTCAACTTACAAACAAAATCGAGTCCAAAATTTCCATTGCTAAGCAAGACAGTGCCCCATTTTGCCCCATTTTACAATTTTTCTTGCCACTGTTTTTAAGTGAATCACTGCAATTGTCAACACAGTTGTTAAATGGATGTGGCTTCCCCATTCTTGTTCGCTTGTCGGAAGGCTGCAAAAGGGGATCATGTGACTCCAGGACACTGCAGCCGTCATAAATACAAGTCAGTTGCCAATTGTCCAAATTTTGATCACGTGACCATGGGAATGCTGCAAGGGTGAGAATTGGTCATAAGTCACTATTTTCAATGCTGGTGTAACTTTGAATAGTAAATAAATGAATCAACATGAGCCTTGTTGGGTCTCCCGAATGGGCTTGGCTCAACATGCCAGTTTTTTCTGGTTGGCGGACAGACTTGAAATAATTGTGAGGGAAAGATAATCCTCAAAGATGATAAGTTATTCATGCTGTACAAGACTTGTTTTGCATCGAGGATGGTTGGCTTCGTAGAGAAGGTAGGGCTGATTCTCAAAAAGCTTGTAATCCTAAACAGCAATTACTCCGGAGAAAGAAGAAAAAAAAAAAATAGGGAGGGCATTTGAAGAGAGAAAATTTGAAGGTATGCAGGCTTTTGAGTTGCACAGAAGTCTTCATTAAGCGTGCCTGCATATGACGTACGTTGCTATTTCTAAACAACCACGATGTTTATGATGGCTTTTTGTTTGATGTATGCTTCATTATCACGTCCCTTTTCACGTCCCTTTAAAAATTAATTGTATTTCTCTTAGTAGCCTTCATTTTTTTCCCCCCTTGATTGCCCATTTTGAGTGAAAATGCAAGATGAATAGCTCATCTGGTAAACTATAATGAATTCATTCTTGTAGGTGACAGGATGTATTAATAGAATGTTTACCAATGTAGCAATTTTAAATCTTTCTGCGGTAAGTAAAATTTTCCCCTCATTGACTCATTTGCCAAGAAAAACTTGAAATATATGGTTACAGGTACATTGTACGAACAAAGCAAAAGTGCATTATATTGTACACAAGGGGAAAAAAATGATTTGTAAACAAAACCTTTAAACCTTATGACACAGAATGTTGCTCTGAAGTTGCCATCATGTTGTTTTAGAATTACAGGTTGGTTGATCTTTATGAAAATCGATCCACAACTATTGACCTTTTCATTAATAGATGTGGATAGATTTTCCCAAAGATCAGCTAATCTATCCCCTGTAATTCTAGGACAATAAACTATCTATCTAGATAATCTATTCCCTGTCCTAATTCTAGGACAATGAAAGCCATGATCCCTTGGAATATAATTAGAAAATCTCACTATCTCAAACATAGATTTAGATACATGTAATGGAATAGTACAACAAAGGTAGAAGGGAAGCTTCAATGCTGCCACTTAGTCCACCTGCTCAGGCAGGAAACCCTATACCATTTCAGTCAAATAGTTGTCCAATCTCTTCTTAAAAACTTACGGTGTTGGTACATTCACAACTTCTGAAGGCAGGTTCTTCCACTGATTAATTGTTCTGTCAGGAAATTTCTTCTTAGTTTTAGGTTGCTTCTCTCCTTGATTAGTTTCCACCCATTGCTTCTTGTTCTGCCCTCAGATGCTTTGGAGAGTAGCTTGACTCCCTCTTTTATTTTTTTATTTTTATTTTTATTATTGAATTTCTATACCGCCCTTCTCCCTCAGGGTGGTGTACAGCCAGAATTAAAAAACATGCAGTACAAATATTAAAAAACAATTAAAAGATATATAAATTTGGCCCAATTAAAACACACTACCAATTAAAACATTTAAAACATTTAAAAATTTCTTCTTAAGCCAGCCCGGCTTGCTTGAAAAAATGGGTTTTAAGGGCACGACGGAAGGCACTGAGGTCTTGGATTCTCCTTATCTCTGGGGGGCAGCTGATTCCAGAGGGTAGGTGCCCCCACAGAGAAGGCCCTCCCCCTGGGGGTCACCAGCCTGCACTGTTTGGCTGATGGCACCCCGAGGAGTCCCTCTCTGTGGGAGCGCACGGGTCGATGGGAGGTCGTCGGTAGCAGCAGGCGGTCTCGAAGATAGCTAGGCCCTATGCCATGGAGCGCTTTAAAGGTTATAACCAGCACCTTGAAGCGCACCCGGAAGACCACCGGGAGCCAGTGCAGCTCGCGCAGGAGCGGTGTTACATGGGAGCGCCATGCTGCTCCCGTCACTACCCGCGCTGCTGCGTTCTGGACCAGCTGGAGCCTCCGGGTGCTCCTCAGGGGGAGCCCCATGTAAAGAGCCCCTCTTCTTTGTGGCAGCCCCTTAAATATTAGGACACTACTATCATGTCACCCCTGGTCCTTCTTTTTATTAAACTAGACATACCCACTTACAGCAACTGTTCTTGATATATTTTAGCCTCCAATCCCCTAATCATCTTTAATCCTTGAATTATGTCCACAATTGAGCCCAAAATTTCGGTTGCTAAGCGAAAGATTTATTGTGAATTATTCCCCATTTTATGACCTTTCTTGCCACAGTTGTTAAGTGAATCACTGCGGTTGCTAAGTTAGTAAAACAACTGTTAAGTGAATCTGACTTCCCCATTGACTTTGCTTCTCAGAAGGTGGCAAAAGGTGATCACATGACCCCTGGACACGTCATAAATATGAGTCACTTGCCAGGCTTCTGAATCACATGACCATGGGGATACTGCAGTGGCCGGTCATACATGTGAAAAACGGTCATAAGTCACTTTTTTCAAGAGCCGTGGTGGCGCAGTGGTTAGAGTGCAGTACTGCAGGCTACCTCTGTTGATCACCAGCTGCCAGCAGTTTGGCAGATCGAATCTCACCAGGCTCAAGGTTGGCTCAGCCTTCCATCCTTCCAAGGTTGGTAAAATGAGGACCCAGATTTTTTGGGAGCAATATGCTGACTCTGTAAACCGCTTAGAGAGGAAGCTGTAAAGCACTGTGAAGTGGTATATAAGTCTAAGTGCTATTGCTATTTTATTAAATTTATTTATTATTTTCAGTGCCAATGTAACTTTGAATGGTCTCTCAATGAAACTCTTGTAATTCTTCTTGATAGTAATTACTCTTGTTGATAGTAATACCTGCACTATCAACATTTGCTAATTTTATGTCGTGTTCCTCTTTAACGTACCACTGAAAACAATTGACTGGCATATGCTTAGAGCAACATTATCATTGTTTCAATAAAGGAAGGAGGAAAGAACCGGTTTTCCTATAAAACTCAGCCAAGGTGAAACACAGAATCGGTCTGCAGCAAACAGTGACCTCCAATTGCCCAACATTGTGGACGTTAACTTAGTTTTCTTATATTTTCTTCAGAGGATATCTGATTTAGAAGAAGAGAATGGCCTCCTGAAGGAAGAAAAAGAGGCACTGAACAACAAGATATTGGGTCAGTCAGAAGGTAGGCAAAAGTAGCAGATGGCTTTATTCATATTGATAACTAAATGAAAAGGTTTGTATTTTTTTTTTCAAATATGTGTTTATGAGTCCTTTCTCCTTGGCTCCACTGTAAATGATAATCATTTTGGTAAATTTCAAACAGGTTGTCTTTTTCTCCATCTCAAACATATTGCTTGAAATTTCTCCATTGAAGGTGGAGGATTATTACTATAAACTGATTTTAATCACTGGAGTTCTGCAGAGGGGAGGGAATAGTATGGAATGAGACATCCTATGCTAGACAGATCCTTTGCCTTGAAATTGCCTTGAAAAGTTGGCAGACGATTTAAAAACAGCAACGTTCAAACCAGAATATATTCGGTGTATTCAGGAAATATGGGAGCAACCCGGTAGAGTATCAGTTCAACATAAAACCGAGTTAAACATTAACAAAGTGAAAGAAAAGTAAAAAACGAAAACATGTCTGAAATGTAAGCATTTGATGTTGCTTTATTGAAGCATTGTAGTCTGAAAATTGGCTAAAAGAAATGCATTTTCAGAGGCTTCATTTAGACATCAATTGGCTCAACTGACCAAATCAATATTAGTTGAACTTTGGAGCTAATTTGTACATTGTAGGGCAAGGATATTGAAGTATTCCTTTCTACTTCAGAGGAAATTCATACAATGTGAAAGTCAATAATACTGTAGAAAGATGGCCTCTTCCTTTTTTAAACAAAGTAAATGAAAAATAACCACATTAAAAAAAGTGTACCTGATATAATTGGCCTTTTAAAAGTCTTTGTTGGACTATTGTTTTAAATTGTTCTGATTATAGGTTACTGCTCTGTTGTGAAGAGGCTCTGGAGCCTATTTATTTATTAAATTTCTAGGCCACCCATCTCACCAATAAAGCGACTCTGGGTAGCCTATAAATGTTCTAAATCCGCAGTCCCCAACCTTTCCAGCTTGGCAGCCTGGCCCAGCATGGAGGGAGGAGGAGGGGGGGCGTGGGAGTGGCAGGTGCATATATATGTGCGTATCTCTATTTGTGTGAGTGGCAAACGTGTGCGCCCTCCATTCGCGCCAATAGAACTTCACGATTGAACGGAGGCTGTTTAAACCCACATGCGAAGCTCTACTTGCACAAACAGAGGGTGGTTGTGTTTGCAGGCAAAGCTCCATTTGCGCGAATGGAGCTTTGTGTGCGAGGGCAGGCACCCTCCGCTCGTGCACACGGAGCTTCGTGCACAAGTGCTACTTCCCTCCGCAAAAGTGGACCTTCATGCGCATGAACGCTTGCCTGCCATTTGAGCAAGTGGAGGTTCACATGCGCTCGCTTGCCCATCTCTTCCTCGGCCCGGTTTCGAACAGGCCATGGCCCGAAGGGGTGGGGACCCCTGTTCTAAGTTATGTATAATGCTAGCAAAGTAAACCATATGCCTAAGAATATAAGCTGACAGAAGGTTCATTTTAAGAGCACTAATCGGTTTATTTCCATTCTGGACTGCAGTTATTTTATTTAGCAAACAGCATAGTACATGGATAACACAGTAATAAAATTATATAGAAGGAGCACATAATACTGTGGTACATGTATGATGGAAATGTGTAATCAATTTTGTAAGGTTTGAGGAACTCACTGGATTTGAGGAAGTCACTGGACTGCAGTGAGCATTACCAGTAGACACGCTGTCTGGCTAAAAGCTAAATCCACAGGTTACTCTCCAGATCAGGGAGGGTGATTCACTGTTTTCAGTGCCCTTCAAGATTCTTCCTTATTTTTTTATAAGATGAATTTGCCAAAAATGCAGTTGAAGAAAACCTGATGAAGAAGGAGCTTGATGAGGAGAGAGCACGTTACCAGAACCTTGTGCAGGAATATTCAAGGCTGGAGCAGAGATTCGAGAATCTGAGTGATGAGATGACTCTCATCAAGGTAATGGGAAATTGCTTTTACCTTAATGTCATAATGAGATGCCTATGGATAGTACTCTGTCATTTTGGGTAAGCTCACTATTAATTAGCAATAGCAATAGTATTTAGGCGTATATACTACCTTATAGTGCTTTATAGCAGGGATCTCCAACCTTGGCAACTTTAAGTCTGGAGGACTTCAACTCCCAGAATTCCCCAGCCAGCAAAGCTGGGAGTTGAAGTCCTCCAGGCTTAAAGTTGCCAACATTGGAGACCAGTGCTTTATAGTGCTCTCTGGGAGATTTGCAATGTAAGCATTATTTGCATATTGTCCCCAACAATCTGGGTCCTCATTTTCCCAACCAAGGATGGAAGGCTGAGCTAACCTTGAGCTCCTGTCAAGGGTAAATGCCTTAACTGTGCCAGGGGTCAGCTATAGTGCAGCAGTGCAGGGGTTAATCCAAACTCCCACCTGTCCAGCTCCTCCCACTAACCCCTCCTTACCTAAGTCTCCGCCTTCTGGCATAAAAGGTGGGCACGCTCCTCCTTGCTCTTCAGATCCAGATGTTGCAAGTGTTGTTGAGATGATCCTGTGAATAAAAGAGATTTAGTTAATCTACTGACTCATGTCTTGCTGTTGGGCCTGATCCATGAATCCTTGTAACAATATGGTAGCAGAGGATGGTTGGATGGCCCAATAATCTCCGAACCTACAACGAAGATACATCACTGCCTACGAGATGGCAACTCCACCGAAGCAAAGGGACAGCAACCCAGCAGGATCGCCTAGGAAGGCAGAAACCAAGACTGATCCCAAAGCCATCACAACGGAGGAAAGGAGGGAGACCAACAAAAGGGAAATAACGAATCCCGGTGATCAGGAGGAAGAAAAACTGAGGATCGACGTCCTGAGGCTGCTAAAAGAGCGAGCCAATGACAAGAATCTCCTCGCGGACCTACGAAGCTTCATAATGGACCGCGAGGTGGCGGGGAGCGAGGAAGACTCAGACCCGGAGCCCGAAGAACTGAATTCGGTGAGTGGATCGCCCCAGAACGACCCCACTACGGTCACCGAGCCCCACAGCCCCGCGCTAAATTCAAAACGGCGGCCATCTTTGACCACGTGGTCGGGCAAAATGGCCGACCCCCGCCCAATCAGAAGCCGGGATTCAAAATGGCCGGCGCGCGAAAAATATCCGACCCCAAGCGATGATGAAAACGACTGGGGCGAGGGGGCAGAGTCCGATTCGGGCCGCGGGGACCCCCCAACCGAACGGCAAGTCGACGAGGCCATGAGGACCCTCGCCGCCGCCTTCGGCCCGGGCCTCAAAGTCACAAGAAGGGATCCGGAAGGGCCCAAACGAAAGGGAAGGCGAGGAGAGGGGCACCGGAACGCCCACCCGAGGGTCGACGATGCCCACGCCAGCACACCAAACCCCCTGCGCACCCCAAGGACACCGCGCCGCCGATCGCCCGGACCGCGCACCCCAGAACGCAGGGACTGGGCCAGCTACTTACTTTCGTCGCCGAGACCCCAGCACCGCCAGGATCGTCACCCTGATGAAGCCGCTGCTGACCGCCACCATCCGGAGCGCACCTGGACCCCCAAGACCGAAGTCGAGGCCTACCCAGCCGATGAAGACCTCTACGCCGGAGCCGCGATGAACAGGTCCTTCCTCGACGACGGCAGGGCAGAAATGGACTTCGCGCATGCGCTCTTCCGCCTAGAAGAAGAAAAGAGAAAAAAATCACAAAGCGGGACTTTTAAAATGCCGGCTAGCGTTCCCATGCCGTATTGCTGTTATAGGCACATAAGGAACCATGGACAGCAGCCAGCAGTAAGTAACTTTACAAATAATGCTGGGAACTTACCGAGTGACTTTCCTAAGTTGAGGATGGATGGGGGCAATATCCTAGAGTGGTCACAGCAGCTCCAGGTAGTGTTCCTAAAAGAAAATATGTCACATTTTATTAATGACCCCCCAGAGAAACCTTGGTCCTTGGAATTGGACTGTACGCACCATAGGGCTTTTTACCTTTTAATTGCAAGCATATCTCCCACGATCTATCACTGCATTGGTCATAATCTCACAGTATCTGAAATCATACAGAAAATGTTTGGGTTGTATTACAGTGAGAGTGTGTCCACCACTACCCAGATCTCCAAAGACTTCTTCTCTGCCAGACTAAAACCAGGGGCCCCCATAAGTGAGCACCTAGTGTCCTTAAGCGCTACCAGAGCAGAACTCCACCTTAGGGGGGAGGTCATATCCGATCAGATCATGAAGAGTGTAATAATTAACTCTTTAGATCACTCATGGGACAGCTTCTTATCACACTTAGATACCATTAGCCTAGGCCTGCTATCCGTGGAAAAGCTGTCCAACAAACTCATAGCAGAAGACAATCTCAAGAGGAGGCGCTCTGGCCCCTCCACAGAGCATAAGAGCGAGAAAAGAGTAGTCTTCCAAGAGAAACAACACAACATATCAGAGTGTTATATCTGTGGATCAAGGGGGCATCTCAAGAGAGACTGCCCCAAGAACTACAGGGAGAGAGGCAGACCTGAACATAGGTTCAGGCAAACAGAGAGACGCACCTCTGAGGAGAGATACAGGCGCAGAGATTCACCCAACCCCAGAGATAGAAGAGGGAATAGAGACAGCTCACGTGACAGCAGAACGGGGTCATTATATGGGATAGGAGAACGCACTCACATAACACATCAGGGCAGAGACACCAATTCATGGCTCCTAGACTCTGGAGCCTCCAACCACACCACATACAACCAGAAACTTCTCTCATCGTTCCAAAGAGAGGATTTCTCAATCAAGGTTGCAGACCAAAGCGAGGTTAAGGTAACAGGCAAGGGGACAGTTATATTGCCAGGAGTAGGGGAAATAGAGGGGGTACTGCTGGTCCCGGAGATACCCCACAACATATTGGCCGCAGTAAAACTCAGCAAGGAATCAGGGATTAAGGTGACCTTTACGGAAGGGAATGTTCAAGTCAGCAAGGGCGGAAAGGACATAGGGAGAGTGACCATCAGTCAAGGGTTACCCCATGTAACGTTCTTTGAGGGTAGCACACACAGCATATACGCCAGCTCGGAAAGCATAGAAGACCTTAACCAGAACAGAATTGAAGGAGGACAGGTAGATGAGGGAGAGGTAGAGAACAAGAAGAACACGACACTAGAGACACGACACAGCAGACACACTCAGAGAGGGCCCTCGATAGGCAAGCCCATGCACGACGACTGTGCACACCTATTACACAGGAAGCTAGGGCACGCAAGTTTCCCCGTAATCCAAAAAATGGCCAACTGTACCGAGGGCATCAAAATAAAGAGCTGTGAAAACTACCTCGAGTGCTCGGTGTGCAAATGTTCTAAGTTAAAGGTCAAACCCAGGCCTAAGAAGTCATCACGCGCCGCCAAACAGATATTCAATTTAGTCCACATGGATTTGGTAGGGCCCCTAAGGCCATCCATAAAATACAAAAAAAGATACTTTCTCACCATCGTGGACGATTATAGTCGATATGGCTTCGTCTATACCCTAAAGAGAAAGGATGAGGCCTTCCAAAAATTCAAAGAGTTCTACAAAAGGGTAGAGACACAGAACAACGCCCAAATCAAGCAAATCATGACTGACAGAGGGTCCGAGTTCCTATCAAGGGACTTCTCCCATTGGCTCAGATCCAAGGGCGTGCTTCACTTTACGTCGTCCCCATTTTCGGCCTTTCAGAACGGGGTCGCAGAACGACGAAACTCAACGCTGCAAACAATGGTCAGGTGCGCCTTAGAGGACGCGGGCATTGGCCAACACTTCTGGTCTGAGGCCTTGGTTTACTCCAACTACACACTTAACAGAACATGGTCCAGTGTGATAGACAAAACGCCATACGAGCTCATGTACAACAAAAAGCCACAAATAGCACACTTACACGTATTCGGCGTAACCGCCGATGTCCACATACCCAAACAGCTGCGCAGAAAAGGGGACAAAGTATCCAGAAGACTGAGGTTCATGGGGTATGAACCGGGAACCAAGGGCTACAGGTTTGTGGACAGTAACGACAGGTTCGTGGTATCTAGGACGGCGGCATTCCATGAGCAAGCCAACTGGTCCAGGATACATTTGAACGAGGTGCCCAACAAGCTAGAAAGTAGGCCAGACGAGCAAGCACAAGACAAACACGAAAAGGTGAATAGACAGGAAAAGAAGGGACCCAAACCCAACCTCCAAGGCATCAAAATTGGGGAGTGGAAAGGGAACCATCCCAAGATAAGTGTAGACTCGCTGACACAAAGGGAGGCCAGGTACTTACATGACACCGAACAGACAATAGACAGACCGGTCAGGTCAACCAGGAACCAGTTGCCAAGGAGGCTAAATGACTACGTGATGCACATACACACGAACCACGTCACACCAAACTCATACGAAGAGGTATTAAGGCTACCTCAAGAGGAGAGAACAAGGTGGGAGTCCGCCATGGCCAAAGAACTGGACAGTCTGAGAGAACTAGAGGTCTACACCCCAGCCAAGGTCCCTGAGGGCAAAAGCGCGATAGGCACCCGATGGATCTTCAAGGTCAAGAACCTTGAGGGTGGCCAAAACCTATACAAAGCCAGGCTAGTGGCCCAGGGGTTTGCTCAAAGGTTCCCAGAGGACTACACTGACACCTACTCACCCACCGTGAGGACAGAGAGCGTCAAAAGTGCCCTGGTCATCGCCTCCCTACTAGGACTAGAGGTACACCAGTTCGATGTGCAGACAGCTTATCTGCACGCCAACCTAGATAAGGAGATATACGTCAAGGCGCCACACAGTAAAAGGACCAACAGGGGGGACACCTGGCTGCTTCGCAAAAGTCTGTACGGACTTAAACAGTCAGGTAAACGCTGGTATGAGTGCCTGGTTGAGGTCTTGAAGTCAATGGGATTCACAGCAACCGTGGCCGACAACTGCTTCTTCACCAGGAGAGTGGGGGACTCGCCAGAATACATCCTAGTATACGTGGATGACATTCTCTACATCAGCAAACACGAAAAGAATCGCAAGGCCTTCGCCAACAGACTAAGCGAACACTTCACCTTAAAATACTTAGGAAGAATAAACCGGTACCTGGGCGTGCAGGTCAGTGAAACCCCCAAGGGCTTTCAACTGTCCCAAAAAGAAAAGATAGAGGAATTACTCCACAAATGTAACATGGCAGATGCCAAGGGATGTGATTCACCCATGCAGCCGGACTTTCTGAAGAACATGCATGACGAATCACCTGAGTTTGAAGACAACACGCTGTACAGGTCAGTCATAGGCTCACTCCTGTATATCGCTAACTGGACAAGGCCAGACATTGCGCTATCAGTTAATCTATTGTCCAGACACGTAGGCAGACCCACCACATACCACTGGGACGCAGTGAAGAGGGTACTAAGGTACCTGAAACAAAGCGCCAATGCGTGCCTAATCCTAGAACCAGAAGCATCTGACGAACCTGTCCTCTCCTGCTACGCCGACGCTGACTGGGCTGGAGATATCAAAAGTAGGAAAAGCACATCAGGATACATATTCTACTTGAACAATAGCCCTGTGCATTGGTACACAGGTAAACAAATCTTGGTAGCCACCTCGACCACTGAGGCAGAATACATATGCCTCTCCAAAGCCGCCAACAACCTTATCTGGTTCGACGACCTGCTCGCCAGCGTGTGGAGAGAACCAACTTACCCGATAAATATCTATGAAGACAACAAGGCCGCCATAGAAATATCCATGGCCGATGCCGTAGGGCAAAGATCAAGACATATCGACATAAAATACAAACACGTAAGACAGCTCTCCAGAATCGGGTTCATAAAGGCCATTCATTGTGACACAGAAGAACAGACTGCAGACATACTCACAAAACCACTGCAGGGCAAACAACATTCACACCTAGTGTCCAAACTCAATATCCGCCCCGGAGTGCCAATCAATCAGTCAGGCATACAGACACATGTTAGGCATTTAGAGGGGGATTTGTCAAGGGTAAATGCCTTAACTGTGCCAGGGGTCAGCTATAGTGCAGCAGTGCAGGGGTTAATCCAAACTCCCACCTGTCCAGCTCCTCCCACTAACCCCTCCTTACCTAAGTCTCCGCCTTCTGGCATAAAAGGTGGGCACGCTCCTCCTTGCTCTTCAGATCCAGATGTTGCAAGTGTTGTTGAGATGATCCTGTGAATAAAAGAGATTTAGTTAATCTACTGACTCATGTCTTGCTGTTGGGCCTGATCCATGAATCCTTGTAACAGCTCCATCAGAATTGAACTCCAGGGTGTGGGCAGAGTTTGTCTAAAATACTGCACTTTAACCACTGTGTCACCAGGGCTCTCTTGACGTTGTAGCCGTGGCCTGTTTGCAATTTTTAGGGCTAGTAGTACTAATATTTAGTCCCTAGTGATAGTCTAGTGTCAAGCAAAGATGTTATGCTATGCTTTGATTCAGTTGGATGGAAGAGAACCTGAAATTCTGAAATTCCTTTCTGAGGATATGATTGGATCAGTGAAAACATAATGGGTGGAATAGGATGATAATTAATTAATTTTACTCCATCCTGATTCTTAAGTTATTCAACTTAAAGGATCACAAGTTGTGTGTGGTAAGCTTTTTGTAGATCAATTAGCATTGGCAGCATGGCTGTATAAATTATTTTATAAGGATAACCTAAGCCAGTGGTAATATATGCTTTATATTGAGTTGTCCAACCTTGGCAGTTTTAAGACTTGTGGACTTCAACTCCTGGAATTCAAGTCCACAAATCTTGAAGTTGACGAAGTTAGACACTCCTGCTTTATATGGTCTAACCCTAACAGCTGTGGACTGGCCAGTCAAAATGCTGCCTTCATCTTGGTTTGATTGGTTCGGCTAATCAAAATGTTGCTTTCATCTGCCCACAAGAGTCCTGACCAGCAGCCAGGGCAGATCATATGCCCTTGTGACAGCACAGCTGAACTGCAAGGCCATTCTTGACCATCTTCTCATGGTGAGATAGCACCATGGCACTCATGGCCTTTACCATGACTTATATTTGGTCTTCCACTTTCCCTTTGGAGACCACCAATTGGCTTAGCAAACATCTGGTGATCACCTGTTTGGATTCAATAGCCAGACAAGCAGCTCCTTCTTCTCATCCATGTACTGTCTCCATTCAAAAGTGTCAAGAAAATCCTTTGCCTCCAGCCTTATATTAGGCGGCAGTTTGATTCGACTATTTTTTTTCTGCTTGGTGGTGGTGAAGTGGCTTCATCCCTTTTAAACAATTCTTAAGAGAGCTTTTTCTGGGTAGATTCATAGAAATTATCTGCCCAAAGTCTCGGCTCCCAAATTTGGTGAAGAATTTTAAAAGGTCATTTCAGCTGAGCTCTTATTTTAATTACACCCATGGCCTACATGCCTTTATCCTCTGCTGCTATAAATATATTTGAACCATCTCCTAGATATAGTAAATTAAGCATCTGAATGCCTGACACTTTATCACTTGGGACTTCCTTGGTCACAGTTTCATCTGCCGTGATGCTTGGATGGTGATAGGAGGCCCATGTGGAATACAAGTGTCAACATGTCCTGTGATGTGGGTTTTGTGCTTCAGCCAAGTGACCTCACATCAGCCTACTGTAATGTTAACAATGTTGTCTTCTAAAAAAGAAAATAGAACTCCTGCCATTATGTCTAAGTAGAAACGGTCACAATCTCAAGAGAGATCAACTTGACAATTGTTTTTCTTGCACCGGATGTATCAGCTCACAGCTGATAATACCCAACCTCCAAATTGCATCTGTTTTGCTGATCCAGGATTTCTCTGGATTCTCTGTTTTCGGGGAATTTTAAGGGTGCAGCTAAGACTGGACCCCCTGAGCTGAAGACAAGGATCCCACAATGGGGAAGAGATCCAGTTGACATCCAGATAACAGCGGGACATGGGTAGATAATGATCATCCTAGGCTTAAGGGCTACCTGGTTATGGATGGTTGGTGCATGAATACATCCATCGTACATATACCCAAGATATAACTGTAGAGAGACATTTAAGTGTTTTAACTTGGAAATATATACTGTCCTTTTCCACAATCAAAATAACACCCCAAAACAGATGTCACCATCTGAAGGAGGTGAGTTAATGACAGGACAGGTGCATAATTGCCAAGTTGCAGTGTACAGTTAGTCCTCGACTTACAACCACAATTGAGCCCAACGTTTATGTTGTTAAGTGAGACATTTCTTAAGTGAGTTTTGCTCCATTTTATGACCTTTCTCGTCACAGTTGGTTTTTTTTATAAAAGTTTTTTTATTTTATAGACAATCATACAATACATAATCAATCATTCAGTGTATCATCTGAGTACATCTTTTGTGTCTTCTTCCTACTCCCCCACTATTTATCATATCTTAATATTATCATTTCATTTGTTATAACATTTCTCCCACATTTCTTGCTTTTCTATTAATACATTTATCTATCTTTCTCTTCTTTCTTTCTTCACTCATTTCATTATAACATTACCCTTTATATATATCTTTTCTCTAACCAATGATAAAATTTCCCCCGTACCTTAAAGTACTCCGATTCCTCTCTTTCTTTAATTGTCAAAGTCAATTTATTCATTTCTGCACAATCCAATATTTTCTTAATTACTTCTCCCTCTGTAGGGATTTTCTCTGCTTTCTTGTCACAGTTGTTAAGTGAATCACTGCAGTTGATCAGTGAGTAACCAGGTTGTTAAGTGAATCTGGATTCCTCTTTGACTTTGGCTTGTGAAAAGGTTGCCAAAAGGGAACACATGACCACGGGACACTGCAGCCGTCATAAATATAAATCAGTGGCCAAGCATCTGAATTTTGATCATGTGACCATGGAGATGCCACAAAAGTCATAACTGAAAAATGGTCATGTCACTTTTGTCAGTGGCGTTGTAACTTTGAACCGTCTCTAAATGACCTATTGTAAGTCGAGGACTACCTGTATTCCCGGCACACAGATTTATTCATTCATAAAATGCTTGTTTTGTTGGGCATCATTTTTTTAAAACCAATCTGCGTTAGAGTAGTAATTGGCCTGTCTTAGTTCTGAGTCCATCTAACACAGTTTTCCCCTTTGGATAGCAAAGTCCAGGACACAGAAGAAATCCATCAAACCAAAGCAGCTTGGAATCGGATTCCAACTACCCATCCATTTCTACATCCGAGATAGGAGACACGGAAGATGCAATACAGCAGATAGAGGTATGGAATTAGAAATAAAACAGAATTTCTTCTGCAGAGGTAAAATAAATGTGTTTGCCATCCATGTTATTTTTGGTGACCTCGATCTGCTGAACTACAAGCTCCCCCCCCCCCCAGTTCTCCCCCAACATAGTTCAGATGAAGAGGTGAAGAAATCTAATTTAAAACCAACTATGATGATTTAAAAGTGCCGTTATTAAACTATACCAGTGATGGCTAATGTTTTTGCCATTGTGTGCCGGGAGAGGGGAGGGGTCCCGCCGGAAGTTGGCAAATGGGCTGTTTCTGGCCTCTGGAGCGGGGATGGGGAAGGCTGTTTTTGCCCTCCCCAAGCTCCTAGAAAGGCTCTGGAGCCTGGGGAGAGAGAAAAACAGGCCTCCCCCACCAACGTCCTCCGGAGGCAGGAAACAGCCTATTTCCCTATGGGCCCAGAAGGCCCGAAAGTCAGCTGGCCAGTGCGCACATGCGTGCCGGAGCTAAGCTTCCGTGCCCACCGATATGGCTACGCATCAGTGGTGAAACGTAAAATTTGTTACTACCGGTTCTGTGGGCGTGGCTTGGTGGGGGGGGTGTAATGTGACTGAGTGGGCGTGGCCAACTTTTTTTTTTTTTTTACTTTTAAAACCATTTTTTCTACAACCTCTTCAGCTGAAGAGGTTGTAAAAAAATGCTTTTAAAAGCCTCTGACGATCCCAGCTGAGTTGCTTGATCATCAGAGGCTTTTTTTTTCTTTTAAAAACATTTTTTCTACAACCTCTTCGGCCAAAGAGGTTGTAAAAAAAAATGCTTTTAAAAGCCTCTGACGATCCCAGCTGAGCCGTGCGATCATCAGAGGTTTTTTTTTTTTACTTTTAAAAGCATTTTTTCGGCCAAAGAGGTTGTAGAAAAAATGCTTTTAAAAATAATTTAAAAAGCCTCTGATAATTGCACGGCTCAGCTGTGGGGGGAGCAGGGATTTTTGCTACCGGTTCTCTGAACCACCCGCCGCCATCGCTACTGGATCGGGTGATCCGGTCTGAACCGGGAGCATTTCACCCCTGCTACGCATGCCACCTGTGGCACATGTGCCATAGGTTCGCCATCACAGAACTATACGATTGAACAGAAGATAAAATCCTGGAGCAGCAAGCATTGCAACCTCAGCTTTGCATTGAGATAAATCTTCCTGGCTCGGTTTGGTTTTTAATTAGCCAATTATGGAGGATTACTGTTTAAATGAATGCTTTTCCTAGAGATTTAAGGCTGTACATAGAGCACAATAAGCAATAATGTCTTTAGGAAAAAGAAAGGCCAGCATTTGCTTGGGATATATTTACATAACTTCACTTTCCAAAGAATTATAGGTTCCTTTCTTGCAATGTTTGCACACAAGGCATTCAGGTGTCAAATTCCAATATATCTTAGAGCTTTTAAAAAGCTTCTACTTTTGAAGTTTCAGGCACAAAGCTTGTGTGAGTTAAAATTACTTAGAGTTCCTCATTGTTTTGGTTCTCTTGTCAAACTTGGTCTTGAAACTGTGAAATTCTGCCTTGCAGCTGGTTAGAGAATCCCTTTCCGACCCACTTGATTAATTAATATGGCCACCCATCTCACATACAACACTGTTTTAAAACAGAATGAAAGCACAACCAATAATTAAAAGCATAAATAACGTAACAGTGTAAAATGGCATCCAAGAATAATCACTTCAAAATCAATACAAACAAAAAAGCAGGTCCAGCCACACTATCAAGGCCCCAGGATTGATGGCAAAGCTAAGTTTTTAATGCTAGGAGACTCGAAACATTAACACTTGTGGGCTTCAACTCCCAGAATTCCTCAGCCAGTCAAGTTTGGACCCCTGCACTAGAACTTTGTTTTTCAACCTTGTCAAGTATAGTATAAGATGTACAGTAGTGGCCAAAATTGTGGAAACCATTTGGGAAAAGTGTATTTTTGAGGTTTGATTGCTAATAACACCACATTTTTTTGGAGTTTCAAGATAATCATATTCCACTGCTGGAATGGCCTGGGAAAAGCCCAGACCTTAACCCAATTGAAAATCTATGGAGCCGACTAAAGAAACTTGTTAGTCAGAAGCAACCCAGCAATAAAACCCAGTTAATACAAGCAATCCTTCAATCTTGGTTTCACATGATAACAGCTGCAGAACTAAAAGACTTAGTTCACTCCATGGGAAGACGTTGTAAAGCCGCAATTCATGCTAAAGGTTACCCAACGAAGTATTAAATGACATGGTGATCATTTTTGTATATCTTGTTTTTTCTATGGTGATAATTTTTCTATATATCTTGTTTTCTACATATTTCACTTTTCTTCTTTATACTGTAACTGCTATTCTAATAGCAAATCCTTCATAAAAGTTATTGCATTACATTCTTGATTAAATTATCTTTCCATTGATATATAATTTTATGGTACTACTCCCAAAAAAAATGGTGTTATTAGCTAGTTTTAGAAAATATACTTTCCCCAAAAGGTTTCCACAATTTTATCCACTACTGTATGGACCTCAGCTCCCAGAGTTCCCCAGCCTGCATGGCTGGCTGGGGAATTCTGGGAGTTGAAGTCCACACATCTTAAAAGTTGAGTATTGACCAGATGGCACTCTCTTGCAGATCTAAAGGAATGAGTAAACACCATGGGGGAGAGATAGTCCTGAAAGTGACCTGGCTCCAAGCCACACATGACACATGAATTCTTTTCTTACATACATACATAACACTTTTATTAAGGTCTTACATCTCTTTCACAACTTTGATGTGTATGAGCCTTCCTCCTACACATAGGAGACCACAGTAATAGGATAAGCACTTAAACTTATATACCGCTTCACAGTGCTTTACAGACCTCTCTAAGCGGTTTTACAGAGTCAGCCTATTGCTCCCAACAATCTGGGTCTTCATTTTACTGACCTCGGAAGGATGAAAAGCTGAGTCAATCCTGAGCCTGGTGAGATTCGAACTGCCAAATTGGCAGTCAGCTGGCAGTCAGCAGAAGTAGCCTGCAGTACTGCATTCTAACCACTGCGCCACCACCACTCACAGGAGTTACAGAGAATACAAACAGGTATGGGAAGCCTTCCCCATATTGGAAATGTTGTCGTAGTCACCTATAGGGGTGAAATGCTACCGGTTTGCTCCTATTCGGGCGAACCGGTAGTGATAAAAACTTCCGGTAGCTTTTTAAACGTGCAGCACACATTTGGTATGCACTGCACACGCAGCATACGTTTGGTGCACATGCACGCATACAACACACATGCTCGGCCAGCAAACCGGTAGCAAACCGGTTCAGATTTCACCACTGCAACATGGTGCATTTTTGACTTCCTGTTTAGCCAAAAAGGGTTGAACTACCTAGAATCTGCCTGCAATTAGTGCGAGTTCAAATCTCACCAGGCTCAAGGTTGACTCAGCCTTCCATCCTTCCGAGGTAGGTAAATTGAGGACCTGGATTGTGGGGGCAATAAGCTGACTTTGTAGAAACACCGCTTATGGGAGTCCAAAAGCCCTAATAAGCAGGTATATACAAAAGAATGAAGGCTATTGCTATAAGTGCATTATAACCTGCCCTGAGTCTTCGGAGGAGGGCAGCATATAAATTGAACAAACAAACAAACAAATGAAAAAACAAACAAACAAATAAATAAACAAACAAACAATTCGAGATACACATAAACTACCTCTTCAAAGATACACAGCTATTCTTACTTCAAGTCCCGTTTTGCAAAAGAGAACTGAACTGCATATTCTTTCTCAAATGAGTTCTGCTTATCTGTAGGTGCTTCTCAATGATTCTCAGTATTCCCCAAGCTTCCTGAGAGCTGGTGTCTTCTCTGTTGCTTTACCCTTCTTTCTTATCGTTAGCTATTCCTATTCCTCCATAGGAAATTGGCTTGGAGAAGGCAGCCATGGACATGAATCTCTTCCTAAAACTTCAGAAGAGAGTGCGGGAACTTGAACAGGAGAGAAGAAAATTGAAGACTCAGCTGGAAAAGAAAGAGAATGAAAGCAAGAAATCTCAGGTAGGGCCAGAATTGATTTTGACTTATCATTGGCACGTCTGGAAAAAAATTAAAATGCGTATTGTGGGTTTACAAATTGAACCACATATTGTAGTGAAAGAACCCCCCATCCTATATTTAAGAATGCCTCTAAAAATGAAAAGAAATTACTTTTCTACTTTTAAGTTTACTTTTCTTTGTTCTGGCATTTCAACAGGTTCCCTCTAGTCCGGAAGTCCATTCCAAGGTAGCCTGAGTGGAAGGAGGGAGAATTCATAATATCCCCTGTAATTATTATAGAAGGAGAGCGGTTGGGGATAAGTACCCACAACAGCTGACATTTTAATTATTCATTTTCCTTAGTGAGTTGAGGTTGTAAATATTAATAAAGGTAGACTTGACTTACAACCATTTGTTTAGCAATCGTTTGAAGTTAAAGTGGTGATGAAAAAAGTGACTTACAACCAGTTCTCACACTTATGACTCATTGTCCTGTGAGAAAAATTCTGGCGCTTGGCAACTGGCATGTATTTATGACAGTTGCTGCATCCCAAGGTCATGTGATCACCATTTGTGACCTTCCCATGTGGCTTCTGAAAAGCAAAGTCAATGGAGGAAGCCAGATTTGTTTAACAATCATGTGATTCACTTAACAACTAAAGCAATTCACTTAACAACCATGCCAAAAAAAATTGTAAAAAATTTGGCGCAACTCACTTAAGAATCATCTTGTTTAGCAAGTTCTGGTCTCTGTTGTGGTCATAAGTCAAGGACTACCTATAAAGGACCACTAGAAAGTGTCAATATACTTTTGGAGGAACAGTGAGTTTTACACCACGGTCCAAAAATGTTTTGAAAATCAAATTCCCGAATGATTAGAAACAATTCTTTAAGGACCTAATGTCAAGCACTAGGGTAATCAGGATATTCAGGCAGTTCAAATGAGTATAAAGATTTATTGCAAGCTTGCTACAAGAATCCGACCAACTAACAGTCAAGGGAAATGAGCGGGAGATAAGAGGTGGACTAGACTTAGAACTCTTGCCGGCATACAAGGGGACTCTTGACTTATGACATGTTTGACGCCACCCTCACCACATCAACAATTGCATTTCATTGTTTTGTTGCAGATTCACTTCTTCCTTTACATCCTATCTTGCCTCTGCGCTTCATTCTAAAGTAGCAATTGCTTTTCCTGTCACTCCTATATATGGATGATGTCAGGGAGCCGAGCAGCTTCAGAATTTGATAAATAGAATTTGCCTTCATTTGTGAGAAATAAATAAAACGATGAATTTACAATCACCGTTGAGCCCAGAATGGAAAACGGATGTAGCGTAGATTACTGTTGAGCACAGAAGAGAAATATGAATATGAACGTTTGAGAAATCTTATAATTGAAAACGGTCCAATACTCTAACCTGCTGTTTATTTTTTATTTTTTTTCTAAAAAATATCGGAGAACCGGCGCTTTAGAAAGAGTTCTGCCATCTCCTCAGATGCCTTTCAGTAAACTGGCGCAGTGCTGCCTTTTGTAGCAAGCAAGATTAAAAGTACAGGGTACAAAATGAACTGAATCTAATGATGCTGTTCCAGTAGGCTTGGAACTGCCCCATTTGAGACTGTAAATGAAAGCTCCATGCTGAAATACGTTTGCAACCTCAGCATCTCTCTCCCCCAAAGAGCTTTCTTTTCACCAAGCTTCTCTTCCAGAATATTATTCCAGGAGTTGAGAAGGATGTTTGTTCTCTTTATAATATGGGGAGGTCTTTTCTTTCCCGTTGCCCCATCCGTAATATCTGGGATCCTGAGATGTCTACGCTTTAGATTTGTGATTGTTCATTAGAAATACATCCAGAAATATGACCGTGAATTCTGTTGCTGCGTCTTCTGGGCAGGAATGCACAGTCTCTATTGAAATGATTTATCTCGCTATAGAGTTAATGAGCTTGGCCATCATTCCTTAGCTGTCATGAAATCCAAGTTATATCAGTTGTATTTCCTGGCCATTGGGAAATTTAGATCTGACTCTTGCATTGGCTCTTGATAGATTGAGGCCAGGTGATGAAAAAGGCAGCATCAAATTGAATGCCTGTACTTGCTTTGCTGCTTGCAGTTGAATTTTGCAGTAGCTGGAGTTTTAAGATGCAGCATTTTGAGGACCCAGATTATTGGGGGCAATATGCTGACTCTGTAAACCGCTTGGAAATGGCTGTAAAAGCAGTATGGCGCGGTATATAAGTGCTATTGCTATTTTATTAAAGGAAATATCCAGCTGCTCTTGCAAGAGTTATGTAAATAGGGGGCATTGGTCTTGTTCATTTGAAGCATGTTGGATTTCTCTAAAAAAGATTCAGTGTCGAAGTTGGGTTGCATCTTCTGGCATCTTAAATTTTTTACATTCATGTTGGAAGCACCAAGGCGCTTCCAGGTTTAAAAGAGTAGCCGGTAAGTAGAACAGCTAGGTGGGGGGAATCAGGTGTGACGCGTGATTTAGCTTCGCTAGAAAGCAGGATTTCCTGCTTTCTAGCAAAGCTAAACTGCATGGCACAGCTGATCGTTGGAAATACTAGTTCGGAGGAACCGGTAGCTTTTTTAAACTACCGATTCGACCAAACCAGTAGCTAACTACCGGTTCACCTGAACCGGTAGTTGTTTTTTTTTTACTACCGGTCAGTGGTGAAATCCAATTTTTTTTACTACCGGTTCTGTGGGCGTGGCTTGGTGGGCGTGATGTGGCTTGGTGGGCATAGCAGGGGAAGGATACTGCCAAATCTCCATTCCCTCCCCACTCCTGGAGGAAGGATATTACAAAATCTCCATTCCCACCCAACTCTGGGGCCAGCCAGAGGTGGTATTTGCCAGTTCTCCAAACTGCTTAAAATTTCCGCTACCGGTTCTCCAGAACCTGTCAGAACCTGCTGGATTTCACCCCTGCTACCGGTTCGCCTGAACCGGTAGTTTTTATCACTACCGGTTCGCCCAAACCGGAGCAAACCGGTAGCATTTCACCCCTGTACCTATCTTTCTACTTGCGATTGCACACTTTTGAACTGCTAGGTCAGCAAGCGCTGCAGCGAATGACAGGAACTCACCCCATCACACAGCAGCATTCAGGTCTCGAATGCATGCTTGTTGATCAGCAACCCAGAGTCCTAACCATGAGTGATATTTGTATTATGTGAGCCACGAGACATATTTGTATTAGGACTTTTCCAAATGATACTATGTCAGGTTGGTGTAGTGGTTAAGGCCTCAGGCTGGAAACTGGAAGACTGTGAGTTCTAGTCCAGCTGAGTGATTTGTTCATGTCCTCTTACAGTGTCCTTTTTATGATGCCCCCAAATGTGGTCTGATCTCTCCATCTCCAAATAGGAAATGATTAGAGAATCACTTTTTCTCAGCTCCAAGAAAGAGGCAGTGGCAAGCTACTTCTGAAAAACCTTGTGTAGGGGCTTGCAGGTAGTCCTCAACTTACAACAATTTGTTTAGCGACTGTTCAAAGTTACAACAGCACTGAAAAAATTGACGACCGTTTTTCACAGTTACGACCTTCCCAGCATCCCCATTATCATGTGCTTGGCAACTGCTTCATATTTATGACAATTGCAGTGTCCCAAAGTCATGTGATCGCCTTTTAACGACCTTCTGACAAGCAAAGTCAATGGGCAAACCAGATCCAGTTAATAACCAGGGTGCTAACTTATCAACTGCAGTGATTCACTTAACAACTGAGGCAAGAAAGGTTGTAAAATGGGGCAAGATTCACTTAACAGAAGTTTTGGGCTCAGTTGTGGTCATAAGTTGAGGACTACCGGTATTTCATTGAGAATTGAGTGATGCAGAAGGTTGAGAATAAGCAAACGCAAAAGGTGAGCTCACCAGGACTTTTCACCAGTACCAGGGCAGAAGGATGGAAGAAACCTTTGGCTAACCCAGGGGTCTCCAACCTCGGCAACTTTACGACTTGTGGACTTCAACTCCCAGAATTCCTCAGCCAGCATGCGCTGGCTGAGGAATTCTGGGAGTTGAAGTCCACAAGTCGTAAAGTTGCCAAGATTGGTGTTCTGTCCCCGTCTCACACACGCACCCCCACAGACAGTCAATAGTGAAATAAACCAGCCGACAAAGGTTTCTCTAAGAGCAGAATTGGCAGCAACCCAGTGGCTGGCTGCCAAGAGTCTTTTACTTACGAAGGGAGTGTTTTTTCAAAGCCAACACACAAAAAATAAGAGAATATTCAAAAAGCCCAGCAATGCAGAGAGGTTTGTTCAATATCAGTTTTTGCTCGTCACAGAGCTTGAACCGCCACCACACCCCCTTTTATACCCTGTGGGGTGTGGTCCAGTGACTCAGCCTAATCCCTGGCACGCCTCTTCCCCTGCTGCGCGCGCTTATCTCTGCGACGCTGTCGAGGGTCCAGCCAAGACTCATCATCATCATCATTACTGTCCACCTGCGGCTGCATGGAAGTGCTTGGCCCCAGCCCTATCTTTTGGCCTTCGGAAGTCACCGGAGGCATTGCCAGAGAGGAGGGTCCTGGAGAGGGAGGCCTTGCCAACTCCTCTCCTTCACTCTCGGAGTCCTCTCCTGCTGATAACACAGGCTCGGTGATCAGAGCCACAACAGTTGGAGACCCCTGGGCTAATCAGCTTCAGTAGAAGGAATAAGTAATGGAATTTAGTAACAGCACATATTGTCCACCTGCCACAGCTTCGATGACAAATCTAACCGCAAGGGGAGGTGGCTACAACTCTGTGGAATAAGCCCTCATTTTAATGCAGAAGACTGCAGATTTAAGCTCCAGCCCTACAGAGCTAAGCTGTATTTTTTTTTCTCCAGATAAAAGATGGGAAGAAGCAGCCGTCCCTTAGATTTTTCTAGTCCTGTGATGGCGAACCTATAGCATGCGTGCCAGAGGTGGCATGCAGCGCCCTCTCTGATGGCACACGAGCCATCGCCCCAGTTCAGCTCTGCTGCGCTTGCACGTGTACCTCCCGCCAGCCAGCTGGTCTTCGGGTCTCTGCCACGCATGTGCGGGGGCCGGGGCGCATGTGGGGGGCCCATGTGTGCACGCACGGGGGTGCGTGCAGGGGCCCTGTGTGCATGCAGGGGGCATGCGTGCTTGCATGGGGGCAGGGCGCATGCACAGGGGGGCGCACACGCATGCACTGGGGCTGCGTGCGCATTTCATGTGGGGGGTTTGGGCGCACACGCACACTTTGGGCACTCGGTCCGGAAAAGGTTAGCCATCACTGTCCTAATCTGAGCTCTCCAAATGCATCAGGATTTCCGATTCCAGGATTTACAGGCAACACCCCTCTTGTAGTCCCAAAGCACAAGAAAGGGACAAAGATAGAGGAAATTTAAGATTTAGTATTGGGCATAGCAGTTTTCATAAGATGAAGTCCACTGGGCTCACTCCAGGAGCATCACCTTTTCCTGCAATGGTAAAATAGTAAATTGGGGTTGACGGTTCTTGACAACCTACATTTGCTTCTCCAGAATTGATATAACTTCTCTTGGGAATCAAGTAAACCAGAGCTTGGCCTCCACTCAGAATGTCTCCGCTGCCTCTTAATCAATCCTGACAGGCTGAAAAAAGAAAGTCCTTTGCGTGCTTCCAGATTTCTTATCTCTCTGTGAAAGTCAAATGTCTTTTTGCGATGTATTATGGATGGTGGCAGTTCTGCTCTACCTCCACCTTCCACCAGTCAACTTTCTCCTTCAGTGGCTGACCCTTCCTTTTGGGAGACGCTCTTTTTAGAAGTTCTGCTCGTCCTACGCATCAGTCACTTCTGTTTGTTTTGGGGCTTTTTCTGGCGCCAAAAGCATCATTTATTTAACAGAACGCTCATCACAATCGGAGTCCTAGGAGAGCAGCCTTTCCGCTTCTTTTTGTGATGCATTTTTTATTAATGTTGACAAACAGGAGCAACAACAGCTTAAACTGGAAGGGAAAACGCCCTGCAACTTTTAAAGGCGCCATTGCAGAAAATCAAATTGCTTGGAGTGTGAAGTTGTAGAACTCAAGATATCATCATAAGCCCTACTCCTGGCAACCAGCTGTGTTGGCTAAAGCAGTTGCAATTGGAAGCTTAAAAGTTTCCTACTCCTGCACGTAACTCTACAGTAACTCATAACTCTAACTCTAAAATCCCAGAAGGATTGTCACATTTCCTGAGTCGGTTGCAGTAGAGTTTATATAATATTAAAGACTAACATGGGGTCACGATGGGTCGGACATGACTTTGCAACTAAAAACAAAAACAACAACAACAACAACAACAACAAAGACTAACAAAGTACAGTAGTGTAAGAGTTCATGGAATCAATCTAACTCACGATGTTAATGGTCTTCCAGCAACAGTTCTTGAAAGTCAATTTAAGAATATTCCACCCAGTAGAAGACTGCAATGCAGTAGAAATACTGGCACATATTTTTATGAAATATCAATTCTGTATCGGCATATGTAACATTGTGATAGTTCCCAACACAAAACTAACCAGATTTTTTTTTGACAACTTCTATATAGCAATAGTAATAGCATTAAGACTTATATACCGCTTCACAGTGCTTTACAGCCCTCTCTAAGCGGTTTACGGAGTCAGCATCCTGCCCCCAACAATCTGGGTCCTCATTTTACCCACCTCGGAAGGATGGATGGCTGAGTCAACCTTGAACCAGTGGGGATCAAACTGTTGTGGTCCACCAGCAGCCTGTGGAGCTGGCAGTGGAGTCAGAAAGCGATGAGGCTGAGGAAGAACATGGGCCAGTCCTGGAGGCTGAAGAAGGCCCGGATGAGGGCTCTGCGTCAGAGGCAGAGATGGGGCCAGGGCCATCGGGGAGTGATGTGCAGACTTCGGAGCCTCCAGAGGCTGACAGTAGAGAGGCAGAGGAACAGGAGGAGCCTGTTCCTAGTGCATGTATGAGAAGAGCTGCCAGAAGACAGGAGCAGATAAAGCAGAGAGGATGACTCAGGAGTAGGGCCAAGAGATGACTGGCCCCTCCCATAAGGCTTAAAAGACCAGCAATGGCTCTTGGCCTCTTTGCCGGAAAACAATGTTGAGAGAATTGCTTCTTGTTTCACTGTATTAATTTCTTGTCGGCGTCTTCTGCTTCTGAACTTTTGCCAAGAAAAGCCTTTGGCAGTTTGCCTAATTATCCCAAGGTCGGTGATAAACTGAGGAATGGTGTTTTGAAGAATTTGCTTTAATTTAGTTTGGACTACGCTGAGAATGAGTTAATTCTCAGCTGTTCTAATAAAGTCTGTTTGTTTTGGAACTGTTTGCATTTAATACTAATGCCGGCAGTCAGCAGAAGTATTTTGCAATACGGCATACTAACCACTGGGCCACCAATGTTAATAGAGATAGTCCTTGACTTACAACCATTTGTTTAGCAACATTCAGTGTTACAACAACAGCACTGAAAAAAGTGAGTTATGATCATTTTTCACACTTACGACTATTGCAGCATCCCCAAGGTCACGTGATCAAAATCCAAACACTTGGCAACTGACACATATTTATGACGGTTGTAGTGTCCCGGGGTCATGTGAACCCTTCTGACAAGCAAAATCAATGGGGAAGCCAGGCTCACGTAACCATTGTGTTACTAACTGAACAACTGCAGTGATTCACTTAACAACCGTGGCATGAAAGGTTGTAAAATGGGGGTAGGGGGGAGTTCACTTAACAACTGTCTTGTTTAGCAATGGAGATTTTGGACCTAACTGTGGTTGTAAGTCGAGGACTACCTGTACTTAAAATGAGGGATCAGGAAATCCCTTTGCTTGTATTTCTAATATTATCTCACACCATTGTTTATCTTGTCCTCAGATTGCTCTGTTTCCTAAATGCCCTTTATTTTCAATATCCTTTTCATGATCAAAGTGCTATCAATGGCAGACAGTGTAAGGCCTGCGAGCAGAAATCCACTGTTACTTGTTGTCAAATCAGATGTCTCTTTTCTTGTCTTCCCAATCCATCTAGGAAATTGAAACGAAGAATGAAATGGATTTGGACCGAGATACAGATCTAGCATACAACAGTCTGAAGGTAAAAGAAATCTCCTAACCAGTTTCCCCCCTCCTCACAATGCCAGGTATCCGGTGATGGTGCTAATAACCTGCAAGAGCTTTACGGTTATCAGTCTTTATAAATCTCTCTTGCAGGAGCATTCTATAATATCTGGTCATACTTTACTAACTTATAGTTTTCCTTTTCTTGAATTGGGGGTAGTGTTGTTTAGATTTCTGAGTGGAAGCTTACTTCAGTTTTCCTTTGCTTTATAAACCCACGAAGGTCATAAATGTGAGGAATGCTCAGAAAATTACATTTTCATCACTGTGAACTGTCACTAAACAAAGCGGTCGCTAAATGAGGGCTTCCTGCATTCAACAAGGTGTACCCTTCTATTGGTTGATACAATTGACTAGGGAGTGGAATTAGGATGTGTGCATGTAGAAGGATGTTTTCTGTGGATAATATTAATAGATAGGGAAATAAAAAAGCTTGCAAAATTAGAGAAGAGCCTTGGTGGCGCAGCAGACTAAAGTGCTGTTAAGTAAAACCAGCTGCCTGCAATTACTGCGAGTTCCAATCTCACCAGGCTCAAGGTTGACTCAGCCTTCCATCCTTTCAAGGTAGGTAAAATGAGGACCCGGATTGTGGGGGCAATAAGCTGACTTTGTATAAAAAAGAACACCGCTTAGGGGGGCCCGAAAGCCCTACTAAGCAGGTATATACAAAAGTATGAAGGCTATTGCTTAACACATTGTAAGCCGCCCTGAGTCTCCGGAGAAGGGCGGCATATAAATCGAACTAATAAATAAATAAACAATAAATAAATAGAGACAAAGCTGTAATAATAGAATTCTATTATTACAGTTTTGTCTCTAATTTTGCAAGCTTTTTTATTTCCCTATCTAGTAATATTATCCAAGGAAAACATCTTTCCACACGCACGCATCCTAATTGGAGTTGGAAGGGACCTTGGAGGTATTCTGGTCCAACCCCTTGCTCAAGCAGGAGACTTTATGACATTTCAGACAAATGGTTGTTCAGTCTCTTCTTGAAAACGTCCAGTGATGGAGAATCCAAAATATCTGGAGTCAAGTTTTCCCACTGTTTAATTGTTCTCACTGTCAGGAAATTTCTCCTTAGTTGTAGGTCGGACCTCTCCTTGATAAAATATTCAGAATTGGTAAAACAAAAAAATCAATCAAAAAAGTTCCTCATACCATTTTTAAAACACAACATGCAACATAAAAACCTGAATATATAGAAAGATGTTGCTGTTTGGAGTTTGAAAGGGATTTTTTTTCCTAGTTTTTTTGTTCTGTTGGATACTGGAAGAAAATTTTAGGTGGATAGGTCCAAAATCTCTATTCCAGGATTTTAGGGCCACAAATTATTCTAGGTACTCAGTAACTCAGAATTTGACTAAATCATAGAAAGGATACCAAGTTGATTTGGGAAAAAATAATAATTTAAATGGATCTTAGAGCTGTTCCATCTTGTTGCAGAGACCTTGAAAGAAAGTATAAAAAAGAAAAGTCACATAGCAACTCTTATCTGTTGTATTCAGCCAGAAGAGCATGTTCTCCTTGACTGTCAATTTCCTACTGTTCTTCTTAAGAAATGTTGCTGCTGAATATTAACCATGCCCATAGAAATGACTGTTGCAATATCACATAGAAAGACCTAAAGGAATTAATTAGGACTAATTAATTAATAAATTAGGGTGCATATCTCCTCTGAGCGAAAAGGTGAATCCAGCCATTGCCAAAGTTACTTTGAATAAAAGAAATCGAGAGCATCTACAGAGCATTTAATTCTAGGATTTATTTCTGATTTACAACCTATCAATTTGGAGCACAGTAGGACTCTCCAATATGGAATGGGAATTAAAAATCTACAATAAATTTAAAACACAACCACACCGTCTTCCTATGGAACTGGGAATCATGAATAAAAACATTAACACTAATCTATTAAAGACTCAGTTTTTTGACTCAGGAGGCTGTCACCACAATTCAACCTCCCCTGTTACCAAAAATGGGAATTTTTATCTTAATAACTAATATTCTTCTGGGTTTATAAGCTAGAGAGTTGAATACCTGTGCAAATGAATAACTTTGGAGATGAAATCTCAAAATGATGGTGTAGAGAGATCAGTAGTCTGATCCCAAGTTTCGGGTAAGGGATAATTTGTACCCCAGTTTGGAGATGATGATGATTTATTTATTTGTATCTAGCTTTTATTATTTTTTACAAATAAGTCAGCAAACATATCCAATACACCTTCCTCCTCCAGTTTTCCCCAGAACAACAACCCTGTGAGGTGAGTTGGGCTGAGAGGGAGTGACTGGCTCAAAGTCATCCAGCTGGCTTTGATGCCTAAGATGGGACTAGAACTCACCGTCTCCTGGTGATTGGCCCAATGTCATCCTGCCAGCTTTCATGCTTAAGGCAGGACTAGAACTCACCATCTCCTGATGATTGGCCCAAAGTCATCCTGCCAGCTTTCATGCTTAAGGCAGAACTAGAACTCACCATCTCCTGGTGATTGGCCCAAAGTCATCCTGCCAGCTTTCACACTTAAGGTGAGATTAGAATGCAGACTCCTGTTCTAGCTTGATGCTTTAACCACCATCAAGGGCAAGACAAGTAATAGCCCAACCTTTCCCAACTCTGTTGGGAAAACCCTGCAAATATGTTAGAACCATTCTCAACACTTGGAATTCTCATCTCAATGAAGACCCAGACTGCAGAAAATTGTCAGTATAGTCCATTTCCTACCATAAGTTATCACCTACGGATTTTTCCATTTTGTGTGCAAAATTCCCTAAGGACAAAGGCATAAATAGAATCTGCTGTTTCTTCTTCTTTATTTTTTACTGACATAAACAGTTTTCAGAGAAATGATTGCATTTTGAACCATTTTTCTAAAAAAAATATTATGCTCATGATTAATGCAGAGGTGCTTGGAATTTGAAAGTATTTTTTTTTCTTTGAGGAAAAATCAAGATAGTGGATAGAGGTCATTGGTAAATTGTTTCCTTTAGAAACAATAAAAGTTTAGCAGGGAGTAAATCAGTAGCCTCCTTTTCCTTCACTGGCGTTCCCCCTGCTTTTCCAACGCAAGTAAGAATAGGAAGTTTCTACTGTATCTTGCAAGTGAGAGCCAATTTGGTGCGGTGATTAAAACAACAGAAACCAGGAGACTGTGAGTTCTAATCCCGCCCCCCACCCTTGGGCAGAAAGCCAGATGGGTGACCTTGGGCGAGGACCTCTCTCTCAGCCCAAGGAAGGAGACAATAGCAAACCACTTCTGATATTTTGCCAAGAAAACTGCAAGGACTTGTCCAGGCAGTCAGCAGGTGTCAAAAGTACTAAAACCCCAAGACACTTTGTAAATAGTCTGTGCTGATTCTAGAATTAATGGGAAAAATTAATGGGAAAAGAATGTATATGAGATCAGAAATCAACCAAAAGGAGAATATTGGTACCACGAACACACATGAAGAGAGGTGGAGTGAAGCACACTGTCTAATCTCTTCTTAAAAACCTCCAGTGATGAAGCATCCACAACTTCTGAAGGGAAGCTGTTCCACTCATTAATTGTCTCACTGTAGGAAGTTTCTCCTTAATTCCAGGTTGCTTCTCTCCTTAATTAGTTTCCATCCATTGTTTCTTGTCCTGCCTACAGGTGCTTTGGAAAATAGAGCATCTTGCAATCATGCAATCAGTTTCCAGTAAAAAAATGCCCATTGGGGAATCTGGGTTCACTTAACGAACACATAATTCATTCAACCATTGTTATAAAATTGGGTCTGACTTGATTTATGACGCAACAATTTACAATAGAAATTCCGGTCCCAGTTGCAACTTGAGTACTACCTGTAGTCATTTTTTTCCCCCCAGAAATCAGAGATAGAGATCCATTTCAAATATTGGTAAATGGACAAACTAGAAAAATGAGGCTCTTGGGAAATCAAATTTTGTGAAAGAAGCTAAGTTTAGCTCAGAATTTTGGTGATCATAGAAGACGAAACTTAATTGGCAAAACATACTTGGGCAGTATTGCAATTTTAGAGGACTAGAAGTAATACCTCTGCAGCGAAAACAACAAAGATTCGTGATCACCGAGGTTTTCATGGGTCTTGCAAAGTCCTCCAAAGCATATAATGAAGTGTTATTTACTGAAAGCACGTTAACCAATTATTGCATCCAGTTTTGGTCATGACATTACAAAAAAGACGTTGAGACTTTGGAAAAAGTGCAGAGAAGAGTAACAAAGACGATTAAAGGACTGGAGACTAAAACATATGAAGAATAGTTGCAGGAATTGGGAATGGCCAGTCTAGAGAAAAGAAGGACTAAGGGGGACATGATAGTAATAACTCAGTATTTGAGGGGCTGCCATAAAGAAGAGGGGGTCAATTTATTTTCCAAAGCACCAGAAGGCAAGACAAGAAGCAATGGATGGAAACAAATCAAGGAGAGAAGCAACCTGGAGTTAAGGAGAAACTTCCTAACAGTGAGGCCAATTAACCAGTTCTCCTGCTTAAGCAGGGGGCTGGACTAGAAGACCTCCAAGGTTCCTTCCAGCTTTATTCTGAATTGCTCAACCTAGAGGGCTTCTAGAAATCAGTTTCTACCCCATGTCTTATGCCTTAAAAATGTTGTACTAAAGGAATAAAGTGAATAACAAGCCCAGGGGATCAGTTTTTAATTTAGATCATTTTTATAATAACAGCTGGGATGGAAGTAATTCAAAGAAAGGAAGAACAAAACAAGCTGAATTTTCAGTCAGTGGAATCGTCCGAGGTCCTTTTCTTCATTTTCCTTGCAGCTTCTTTTATAGTATCCCTAACAAGCTGTGATGTAAAATCAATCAGTCATGAAATCCGTTGCGAGTTTTTTCTCTTTTGATTTCTGGCACATCCGGATCTCACTTGCCCCAAAACAAGGCAGGGTAAATTAAGTGAGTTTTTCTCAATCCTGGAAAAAAATCTGTCCATTGAGGGAAAAACAAGGGTAATGCCCATGTCTCATTCAACAGTTGAGAGCAATTTCTCAAGAGTGTCTGTATTTAGAGAAGGAAAGACTAAAACTCAAAATCCAAAGGTTTTCTTCTAGCTCTGTTCAGTTGCAAACCATTGTGACTTTTAAGATCTCGAAGTTTTCTCCTTTTTTGTACTTTCCGACGGTGACCACTAGTGGATTCTTCTGAATGTTGTGTTGTTGTCACTGCTGTCCACTCAATACAGCAGCAGACAAGCCCACTTGGGAGATAAATCTGCCTCTTGCATTTGATGTGGTTTGTATATTCTCGCCACCTGCTTTGTTTTACCAGCTGGCCTCTCCAAGAGATGGAAAGGAAATGAAACATTAATTTAAATGTGCTCCCCCATCTGTTTTAAGTTTTATCACCCAGCTCTGTGCATCTAGCTGACCGTTTTGTGTGTGTGTGTGTGTCTTTTTCCAAACACTTCAACACACCTGCCCTCCATGAGTTATAAAAATGTATGGAAACGGGAATCACTTTTCAAATATCCTTTTTAATAGAGGCAAGAGTTAGAATCCGAGAACAAGAAACTGAAAAATGACCTAAACGAACTCAGGAAGACTGTTGTGGATGGCGTAGTCCAAAACAATTCTTCCAATGACGTTCATGACACCTACAACCTACTCCTGAATCAGCTCAAGTCAGCTAGTGAAGAGCTGGAAGTACGGAAGGAAGAGGTGCTCATTCTCAGGACCCAGATTATAAGAGCAGCCCAGCAAAAAGACGCAGGCAGAAATATGGTAACGAAAGAGAAAGCGTGTGCAACTTACCTCACTGTGCATGTGTTCTTTTCACCGCGTTGTCAGCTGTTGTGCACGTCGTATTACTAAAATTACAAAGCCATTTTTGTTGTTTACAAGATGATTGTTCCTCCACTTTTTTTTTAAAGCATTATCTGAGAGAGAGAGAGAGAGAGAGAGAAAGAGAGAGAGGGAAGGAGGGAAACTTCTGATTTTAAATCTGTAAACTGGAAAATGATGCAGATTTTGACATGCAGAGGAAATGTCTACGGCAGGGGTCAGCAACCTGTGGCTCTGGAGCCACATGTGGCTCTTTCATCCCTCTGCTGCAGCTCCCTGTCGCCGGTTGGCTCCATAATTGATAAGGCTTTCAGTTAGGACAGGTAGAGGAAAAAGGATGCTGTGCTAGGAGGAGACTCTATGGTGGGGGAACTGGACTTCTGGTCAGCTCCAGAATTGAATGGGGTGCTTCCGGTTAGGACCTTTGTGGCTCTTTGAGTGCTTAAGGTTGCCGACCCCTGGTCTATGGAGATTCTCAATCATCCAAATCATGGTTGTCCCAAAGGTGCTTTTTCTAAAAGACAGCTGGATTTTTTTTTTTCCAAACATTTTGCTTCTTGTCCAAGAAGCTTCTTCAGTTCTAATTGACTGGATCCTTCTACTCCCCACTAGTCAGGTAGAACTGGAATTGAACTGAAGAAGCTCCTTGAATGAGAAGCAAAATGTTTTCAAGGGGAAAAAAAATCCTACGAAACTCTAGTTGCCTTTTGGAAAAAAACGCCTTTGCAGAGGAAATATGTCCGATGAAGCACTGATGAAATCATCTAGCTCCAAAATTAGTCAAATTGTGGCCTTGAAAATTCTAAAACATTGAATTCAGCTTTGGCAGATAAAGGAATGATGTGCTACTTACTTTTCTTCTGTATCTTGACCACAATGCAGTAATGGAGATTGATGGTGAGTCGCGGTGGCGCAGTGGTTAGAGTGCAGTACTGCAGGCTACTTCTGCTGACTGCTGGCTGCCTGCAATTTGGTAATTCAAATCTCACCAGGCTCAAGGTTGACTCAGCCTTCCATCCTTCCGAGGTCGGTAAAATGAGGAGCCAGATTGTTGGGGGAAATAGGCTGACTCTATAAACCGCTTAGAGAGGCCTGTAAAACACTGTAAAGCAGTATATAGGTCTAAGTGCTACTGCTATTGCTATTGTCCATCTTGAGCCGCAATCCGTAAAGCAAATGGACAGTTCTCAGCTCCAAGCTTGGATCTAGGGTGGGAATAAGAGCTACTCTGAGGTTTCTGGAAGAGCCTCAGGGGGTTTCCCATTCCTAATCTTCCACTGGACTTGGTGGGGCCTTCAGTGCGCTTTCAAACAAACAAAGAGGTTGAAGCAAACAAAGCTATTGATGTAGCATTGAATCAACATTGCACCAGGAATCAACAGAAAAATGGAATTGTTTGTAGGCCATATTGAGATATGTGACAAACCACGAGTTAGCAGAGGACAAGTTTAGCAGGGATGCTTAATTTTGGTTCCAGCATTAAGCAGTGGATTGGCCCTTGGGATTTAAATATGCCATTCTTACTCTGTGATAAGGAAGCTGAAAGATCTGGAGATCTATGATGAAACAGAGGATTCTTGGGCCACTCTGGGCCAAGATTTATGTCTGCTCTAAAAATGTAGATGACCAGGATGGTTCAGGAAAAAGAAATTAGCTGCTTCGGAGGTAGAGTTATGCTAGGGTGTTTTTCTATTCCTGGTTCATGATGGAAGTTTCTGCTGTCAAAAGATTGCAGTTAAGTTCCAGGTGCTTTCCTTAGAAAGTTGCCCAAGTATAAGAAAAGTTTAGTTTATGTCAGGGGTCTCCAAACTTGGCAAATCAAAGTTGTGGATTTCAAACCAAGGATTTCAACTCCAGCCATGCTGGTTGCAGAATTATGGAGTTGAAGTCGACAAAATCTTAAAGCTGCCAAGGTTGAGACTCCTTGGTTTATATGCTCCTCTATTGTATTCACTTGGGAGAAGTCCCTTATATTCGAAAGGCTTTTCTCCCGCTGATCTAATGATGGGCACATTGACAGTATGGTTTTTTTAAAAAAATGATGGCACTGCAAAACATAAAAAAACTGAAGTGAAAGGTAAAGAAATGTCCACAGGCAAGAACCTGGCATTTGATTAACCAACCAGTTTCAGTTGCATCAATACTAACTTCAAAAGAACTGCAAGCGTCAGTAAAAATGATTCGCATCTCAAAGAAGTTGCACTGGGAAAATGTTGATTCAAAAGTCTTAATCAGGGAAAGGCATGGGCCAGAGAATAAAAACAAATTAATATGTATTTTTAAAAAGGCATTTATGCATGTACATTTCAATAATAAAATTACTAACTCCTGTACATACAAACATCAGAGAAAAATGTGTTCAAAGTCATCCAAAGTCATTTTGGATAGAGAGATGGGCAGACATAGATAGATAGATAGATAGATAGATAGATAGATAGATAGAGTATCTATCTATCTATCTATCTATCTATCTATCTATCTATCTATCTATACACTCACAAATATATATACACACACATAAATGTTAGCAAACATTTTATTAATTGAAAAAAAATGCTAATGCAGTTAGGAAAATGAAATGGGTGTTAATTGATTTGCTTATCCGTAGGCTTATCCTAAGGCAATATCAAAGTTAATCCTTCTCCTAAATTATATGAAGCACAGTCTTCACAGTATTTGCGTTGACAACTTTTATTTTCTAAAGCTTTTTGCTACAATGAGAGATTGTCGTCATTGTGATGAATGTGCAGAATTAATATTTGGATTACTTTACAGAACCACAGAATTTCTTCTTTAGGGTTGCATCCCAGGATTTATTTTTTTTAGAATAGGAGAATAGAGTAGGAAGGAATATAAGCTTCACGAGTAAAATTCTGCTACACGTCATTTTTCTCTATCTGCAACAACTGAACTAATACAAAGACTAATTTCTGAGGATGACTTTGGCTATACCTGGTATATTTCCTCCAGTACCGTGATGAATTTTATAACTTTCTCCATTTCACTTTCAGTTTTTAGCCCTCCTAGAAGGGGGCATGATGGCTAAGTGGTTAAAGATGCTCAGCCTTTCAGCTGGAAAGCTGACAGCCTGGGTTTGAGACTCCAGCACCTTGAGATGGGGTGAGCTCCCGTTTCTTCCCCTGCTCCCCCTTCCCGTAGCAGTTTGAAAGCATGCACTTGCAAGTAGATAAATAGGTACCACTTTGGTGGGAAAGTAACGATGTTCCATGCACCTTTGGCCACATAACCATGGAAAAATATCTTCGGACAACCCTTGCTCCCTTTGGCCCAGAAACAGAGATGAGACACAACTGGACAGGGAAACCTTTACCCTTAGATCCCAGCGTTATTCTATCACTGATTCCTTCTCCTTGTAAACTGGCAAACACATTGATTTCATGTTGGTATCATATATTCCTGCTCCTAAATTTGGGAGCAGTAATTTTGTGAAATGAATTATTCGGTATATTTCAACAGAGAATCCTCACAGCTCTCTTTAAAATGCAGGATTCTTTAGAGGAGAGGGAAGAGAATTTAACCAGATTGTTTAATTTATCTAGTCTCTCTCTATCTCTCTCTTTCTCTTTAACTTCCTTTAAGTTGTATTACTTGGGCTTTTTCTGTTAGCTTTCTGTTGGTTTTCATTTATTTTGTGGCTGTGGTAAATGTGCTTGCAAACCCAAATTAGTGCATGCATAATCAACATGTTATGAAAAGTAGCAATAATTTTATAAGGCAAAATATTGATCTTTTGACTTTTTTTAAGGAATCAAACCTCAAGACGCAAACCAGCTGGCCCAATAGCGACAAACATGTGGATCCAGAAGATGCAATTGAGGCCTACCATGGAATGTGTCAAACTAATCGGTAAGCTGTCTTGATCTATCCATTATGAAAGGCCAGGAAAATTAGAACTGGGGGCCTCTTTAAACTCACTTAAACTCTTTAAATTAATTGGAAGGAGTATCACCAGAGCGGATAATCAACAGTGAGAAGACTGTTAAAGAAACATACATTACTTCCTCTTATAAAAACATCACCTATAATCTGGGCTAAATGTGGTGTGCCTCTTTAGAATAGAATAACAGTTGAAGGGACCTTGGAGGTCTTCTAGTCCAACCCCCTGCTTAGGCAGGATGCCCTACACACTTCAGACAAATGGTTATCCAATCTCTTCTTAAAAACATCCAGTGCTGGAGCATTTACAATGTTTGTGGACTTTGTAGATTTTCTGAAGACATGTCTTCATATGTTCGTGTGTTGTGGGGAATTTATCTTATCTTATCTTAACTTATCTTCCTGTGTTGTGGAGAACTTCTGGAGAACTGTTTTGCAGTATCTGGCAACCATCCTAAATAGTAAGAGGAACTGAATTCTTTTTAAATCTCATTGTGGAGAAACGTTGACAAACTTTTAAGTGCACCAAAAGTGCTTTTCAAAAGACAACTGGACTTTCTTGGGTTTTTTTTGTTTTTTCCTTGAAGACATTTCGCTTTTCATCCAAGAAGCTTCTTCAGTTCAGAACTAGCCTGGTGGCTTAACCACTAGACTTTTCCCTCTCTCTCCCTCTCTCTCATCAATATTGAAGGCTAGCTGTTTCTGAAGCAAGGATCTTACCTAGAACCTTGAAAAGGACGAAACCTGGAACCTTTTTCTGAAAAACATCCATGTTTACTACTTTAAGTGGAGAAGTTTCAGTTAGCATTCTTTTGATTGCTGTTTGGGGTATCAACCTTGTAAAATACGGAAACAAAGCAAATCTATAGCTACAATTGTGCCTAGCCATTTCTTCTCTGTGAATGTGAGTCATTCCCTTGTATATATTGATTTTTTCTTTTGTTGGGTCTATAATTCTTCCTTCTTTCTCACACCTTTTTATCCCTTTGGTCAACTCTGCAAGCATTTCTTTGGCTGAGCTTTCCCTCACATTGACTTGCAACTCATTCACAGGCCCTTTCACTTCTGGATTCACAAGTGCTGAATCTAAGCAATATGACAATTATGTCAGAATCACCGGTCTTTTCAAACTGGCCTTGTTCCCCCCATATATTCAGAACCACGGTATTTCTTAAAATGGTGGCATACGGAAACTGAGATTGACTGAATTCCTGCTGCCAATATGCTTCCTAGGACTCCCGCCTCTTCCCAATTTGTGGTCACGTGAGATCCGCACTGGATAACCCACACAGTCCTCAGGTTACGACAGCAACAGGGACTGCCAGGATTGCCATCACTAAGCAATAAGGTCACGTGACATTGTGCATTATGACCATAGTACTTTGCGATAGGAATTCCGGTCCCAATTGCTATCCTAATCCAAGGACTATCTCTAAAGAATCATAGGGCAGGAAGGGACCTCAGAGGTCTTCTAGTCCAACCCACTGCTCAGGGCAGGTGCCCTATACCATCTGAGCCAAATGGTTGTCCAGTCTACATTTGAAAATCACCAATGATGGAACACCACAACCCTGGGAGGCAAGTTATTCCATTGATTAATTGTTCTCACTGTCAGAAAATTTCTCCTTAATTCTAAATTGGCTCCAGAGGTGGGTTCTACTTACCTTTACTACTGGTTTGCAACGGGACAGTGCGCGCGTGCTCGCTTCGCTCTAGTATGTGTGCGCTCTTCTGCTCATGCGCAGAAGCATTTTAATGACGTCGGGGTTGGAGGGCGGAGCCTCCCGCCAGTTTTACTACTGGTTCTATAGAACAGGTGCGAACCAGGGGCAACCCACCACTGGTTGGCTCCTTTCTTAACAGGTTTCCACCCAATAGTCATTAAATCCTCAAGGTTGATTGGTCAGTGTTGGTGGGAAGAAACAAAAGTTTGGAGAATTCACCTGTCCTTTTTTCTCAATGGCTTTGCATCCAGGAAATAAGGATGCCATCATTGGGTGGCATTGCCCCTGAATAGGATCACTAGCAGGGCCAGCAAATCTTGTGCCAGTATAGTTATTGGATACAGACTCATTTGGGAGTTGCTGGACTTGTCTATTTTAAAAGAGCTGTGGTGGCGCAGTGGTTAGAAGGCAGTACTGCAGGCTACTTCTGCTGACTGCCAGCCGCCAGCCGTTCAGGAATTTGATTCCCACCAGCTCAAGGTTGACTCAGCCTTCCATCCTTCCGAGGTCAGTAAAATGAGGACCCAGATTGTTGGGAGCAATAGGCTGACTTTGTAAACCGCTTAGAGAGGGCTGTAAAGCACTGTGAAGCGGAATATAAGTCTAAGTGCTATTGCCATTAAAGTTTCATTTGAAATAGAACTGAACAGCTTGATGTTTAAGGCAGAATAGATTTCGGTCCTTTAAAACAATTTTATTTATTGCATGTGGCCCCCTGCTAGCATCTCATCTCCTGCAGTCTAAAAAGATGTAAATGAACTGCTGTGTCAGGTCATCTCATAAAAGGCAAGGCAATTTCCATTTAAAAGAAAAGATTTAAGGGTCATGCCTCCAACAAGAAACTCTTCACTGATCAATGGAAATATGAACCGTTTTTCCATTTATTTAATAGGGGCCAAGCTGTTACAGTTGCTCTGTGTTTGTAATTTGCGCAATTGTTGAATTCAGTACTAACGGTACCTTTCTTGAGTCACCTTCTTTACAGAATAGGAATTTTAGGAGAGGTTTTGCGAACAATAGGAGAGTCAAATCTGCAATTCTGAATATTTTTTTCCCCAGCCTGTTCAGGAACCCTGCCAAGCCTTATGCTTGATAGTCCAAATTGATCTTCAGTACCTTGTTCAGCAGTTGAGTACTTATGCTTAACAATCACTGCTTTGTAATGTTTAAAAGGTTGTTTCCTAGTTCCACCCCATTAGACGGGAGATTCAAGTTATTTCTCCCAAGTTGTTAGCAAGAGCCTCTCTGTTCCAGGCCAGGATACATGTGGCATTCGTTTGATAGTTTATTTCCATCACTTTAAGCTTTTTTTTCCTTCACAGTTCATTCCTATGAATCCCTAATCCACAAAGCAGGATGGGGGCTTTAGCTTTTTGTGCTATTCACCACAACTCTATTTTTTTTTTTTTTGCAACTATAATTTACATGAGGAAGAGAAAGCTCATTCTCTGGCACAGGTGGGATGTGGTTGCTAGGCCAGAGTGAAGCCAATACGAGAATTTTTACTTATTTCTATCCCACCTTTATTACTTTGACAAACAACTCAAGGCTGCAAACATATCCAAGCATGCCTTCCTCCTCCTATTTTCCTCACAACAACAACTCTGTGAAAACAACTGGCCCAAAGTCACCCAGTCTGCTTTCATGGCTAAGGCGGGACTTGAACTCACAATTTCTTGCTTTCTAGCTTGGTGCCTTAACCACTAGGCCAGGGGTGGTGCAAACTCGATTTCATTGAGGGCCACATTGTTGTGACCTATGCTTACTGAGTCATTAGAATACACAATTAGTCCCAAAAAAACTTATTTTATTGTAACAACTGAGAATTACTATCATTTCCAGCTGAGTCCCAATTAGTTGCCAAAAACAAGTCCTTCGGAAGTAGTCCTTTGGGATAATCACCAACCTTTATCTTCTTTGACACCCTGGCAAAGGCCTTACAAGGCAAAGCCCCACAAAGTTCAGAAACAAGAGATGCCGACTGGAAACAGAGGTAGCAACGTTGCTTTCCTGCAAAAAGGCCCAAGTGCCTTTGTTTCTCTTTTAAGGCTTATGGGAGGGGCCAATCATCTCCTGGCCTTACTCCCGAGTCGTCCCTTTTGCTTTAGCTGCTCTTGCCTTCTGGCAGCTCTGCGCATGCGTGCACTGGGAACAGGCTCCTCCTGTTCCTCTGCCTCTATACTGTCCAACTCTGGGGGCTCTGGAGCCCGTACATCACTCCCAGATGGCTCTGGCCCTATTTATTTATTTATTTATTTATTTATTTATTTATTTATTTATTTATTTATTTATTTATTTATTTATTTATTTATTTATTTATTTAGTATACCGCCCTTCTCCCAGAAGGGACTCAGGGCGGTGAACAGCCAAAATTAAAAAACATACAAATGCAAAAGTTAAGATAATTAAAAGAATTAAATCATTGGCTACCCAAATTTAAAACCCCAAATCCATAAAATTTAAAATCCCAATTAAAAAACCATTTAGGCTAGGCCGGCTTGATGAAATAAAAACGTCTTCAGGGCTTTACGGAAGGTCCGGAGGTCCGGGATCAATCGTATTCCAGGAGGCAGCTCATTCCACAGGGCGGGTGCCCCCACAGAGAAGGCTCGCCCCCTGGGGGCCGCCAGCCGACATTGCCTGACCGACGGCACCCCGAGGAGGCCCTGTCTGTGAGAGCGTATTGGCCGGTGGGAGGTTATCGGTAGCAGCAGGCGGTCTCGCAAATACCCTGGCCCTAAGCCATGGAGCGCTTTAAAGATGAGAACCAACACCTTAAAGCGCATCCGGAAGACCACCAGGAGCCAATGCAGCTCGCGCAGGAAAGGTGTTACGTGGGAGTGCCACGTCGCTCCCATAATCACCCGCGCGGCCGCATTCTGCACCAGCTGGAGCCTCCGGGTGCTCCTCAGGGGGAGCCCCATGTAGAGAGCGTTACAGTAGTCCAGGCGTGACGTAACCAAGGCATGAGTGACTGTGCACAAGGAGTCCCGATCCAGAAAGGGGCGCAACTGGTGTATCAGGGGAACCTGATAAAAAGCCCCCCTGGCCACGGCCGTCATATGCTCTTCTAAAGACAGCCGTGTGTCCAGGAGGACGCCCAAGTTGCGAGCCCCCTCTGTGGGGGTCAATGACTCGCCCCCAATAGCCAGCGATGGCACCAGCTGGCTATACCGGGACGCCGGCATCCACAGCCACTCGGTCTTGGAAGGGTTGAGCCGAAGCCTGTTCCTCCCCATCCAAACCCGCACGGCCTCCAGACACTGGGACATCACTTCGAGGGCATCATTGGGGTGGTCTGGGGTGGAAATGTACAGCTGAGTGTCATCAGCGTACAGATGGCATCGCACCCCAAAACCACGGATGATCTCACCCAGCGGCTTCACATAAATGTTGAACAGGAGCGGCGAGAGGACCGACCCTTGCGGCACCCCGCAAGCAAGGCGCCTCGAGGTCGACCTCTGCCCCCCTGCCAACACAGACTGCGACCGGTCAGAGAGATAGGAGGAGAACCACCGCAACACGGTGCCTCCCACCCCCAGTCCCTCCAGCCGGCGCAGCATGATACCATGGTCGATGGTATCAAAAGCCGCTGAGAGGTCTAACAGGACCAGAACAGAGGAACAACCCCTGTCCCGAGCCCTCCAGAGATCATCCACCAATGCGACCAATGCCGTCTCCGTGCTGTACCCAGGCCTATGCCTATGTTTATACAAAAACCCAGGATTGTATTAGCTTTTTTTGGCTGTTGCCACACATTGCTGGCTCATATTCAAGTGATCGTCTGCTAGGATCTGGTCAAATCACAGATCTCCTACATTACAGTTACTCAATCTGGATTATGTTGATCATATAAACCATGGCTGGCTGGCTGGTTGGCTTGGACCACTTCGGTGTTTTGATGTACCTGTGTGGACATTGCATCATTATGAAAGACTTTGAAAATACCCAGAAACCTCATTCAAATTCAGTTTTGCAAGATAGGATTTTCCCACTGTCACCCTGTAATCAAAAGTTGCCTGCTACACAGCATTCCATGTTTAGTAAGTACAGTACACAGGTAGTCCTCAACTTACGAACCGTAATTGAGACTGGAATTACAGTCATAAATCGTGATGGTCATTAAGCAGGTCCCCATGTGGCTGCCCCGGCTTTTGTGACATTTTTTTGCAGTGGTTGTTAAGCAAATGCTGCAATTGTTAAGCCAACGCCGCAGTCATTGAGTGAATGCCATGGTTGTTAAGCGAACCCATTTTCGCCAGGGAGTACAGGTAGTCCTTGACTTACAACAGTTCATTTAGTGACCATTCAAAGTTACAACAGCACTGAAAAAAGTGACTTATGACCGTTTTTCACACTTAAGACCGTTGCAGCATCCCCATGGTCACATGATCAAAATTCAGATGCTTGGCAACTGACTCGTATTTATGACGGTTGCAGTGTCCCGGGGTCACGTGATCTCCTTTTGTGACCTTCTGGCAAGCAAAGTCAAGAGGGGGAAGCCAGATTCACTTAACAACAATTTCACTAATTTAACAACGGCAGTGATCCACTTAACAACTGTGGCAGGAAGTGTTGTAAAAGGAGGCAAAACTCACTTATCAAATACCTCACTTAACAATGGAAATGTTGGGCTTAATTGTGGTCATAAGTCAAGGACTACCTGAATTTTTGGCAGATTCTGAAAGTGAAAGCCAGAAACCAGTGTAAAAAAAAAAAAAAGAAGAAGCCAAGAATTGGAGTTACATGGCCGCAGAATACTGAAAATGGCTATAAAAGCAAACCAGTTTCCAAACACCCAAAATGTAATCCCATGACTGCAATAGGGGTGCGGCCATCAGAGCTTCGAACATGGGTTGTAAGCAGCTCTGAGGAGATCCATCTTAACTTTGAATGGCGCTAATCAACTAGTCATTAAGCGAGGACTACCAGCAGGGGTGGAATTCAAAAATTTTCTCTGCCCGGTTGCTGGGTGGGTGTGGCCATGATGAGCGTGGCCTACACAGCCTCCTGCACCACAGCGTGGGGAGGGCGTTTTTGCCCTGCCCAGGCTCCAGAGGTTTTCCTCAAGCTGCCGGGAGGGCGAAAATGGCCTCCCCCAGGCTCCAGAGATCCTCCAGAGGCTGGAAACAGGCCCGTTTCCAGACTTCCGGAACTTCCGGGAGGCCCGTTTTTTGCCCTCCCAGAGCCTCCACGCAGGCCCTGCACTTACCTGGCATCCAAAACGGGCCGCATGGAGACTCCTGGGAGGGGAGGGGCAGGGTGGGTGTAAAATTAGCATCCGGTTCACCCGCTCCGAACCGGCTGAATCCCACCCCTGACTACCAGTACAGAATTATGTGGAAAGGTATTATGGCTTTCGATAGAATTAGGATACATGCATAACTGAACACCCAGAGCGGTGACCGACCTAGACAATCAATAGAAAGTAAGCAGAAGGCAAATAAACTGCAAACTTTTGATGCCACACATAAACACTTGACTGAATAATTGAGTAAAAAATAAACAGCTTATCATAGCACTCGCTTTTTGAAAAAGTTATCAAAGCTTATCAAATTGAATAGCTTATCGAAGCAGGACAAAATGACACAGGGCAATTACATTACCTTATCTTTCTATTATCTAGCTAGCGGCTTCGATGTTATTGTCAAGGTGTATAATATCAGGAGAGGGCATTCTCCGGTCTTTCTCTGGCAATCTGCTGGCAGGGAGCCCAGTAACTCACTTCAAGTATTTTCCAATAAAGTTTACTGGGTTGATTCTATCTCCAAATGCTTCGATTGTGCTTTTAGTGAGCATTTCCCTCACAATGGTCTTCTCTTGGCTTCGCTATGACCTTCCTTCGGTACAATAAGTTTATGTGGCTGATCTAAAACAGGGGTGCGGGGAAACGATGGCCCTTTTAAGACTTGTGGACTTCAACTCCCAGAATTCCTGGCTCAGGAATTCTGGGAGTTGAAGTCCACAAGTCATAAAAGGGCCATCGTTCCTCCACCGCTGTTCTGAAAATGTAAGCACACTTATCCATGTGTGTGGAATGGGCCAACTCGCTGCTGCCAACTCACCACAAGCCAACTTGCCCCAGGACAACTCGTCGCGGGATAATTCAACAAATACAAAAATTAAATTAATTTCGACGAAACTCTGGCCAACAATGATAAAATAAAGAAAGTCAACCCAGAAATACAAGAGGTGCAATAATTTTGACGAACACATGGTCACCAATAATAAAAGTAAAATAGAATAACAGAGTTGGAAGGGACCTTGGAGGTCTTATAGTCCAACCTCCTGCTTAGGCAGGAAACCCTACACCACTTCAGACAAATGGTTCTCCAACATCTTCTTAAAAACTTCCAGTGTTGGAGCATTCACAATTTCTGGAGGTAAGTTGTTCCACCGATTAATTGTTCTAACCGTCAGGAAATTTCTCCTTAGTTCTAAGTTGCTTCTTTCTTTGAAGTAAGTGAATGAAACTGTTAATACAGCTTTGAATTGTCTCATGGTGAGTTGGCCGCAGCGAGTTGTCCTAGACCGCTATATGTGAGCCATGAATAAAACTGCACGTAGCAGTATCGTTTGTGGTTCCTGCTTACAGGTTTGTGAATCGCTTGTGACTGAAGCTTTCTTTCTCCCTCTGATCTGCATCTGATTATTACTTTTTGTCTTCGCTTTCTGTCTTCCTCTTCCTTCCCTTTCCTCTGTCCTTTCTTTCTAGCAAGACTGAGGACTGGGGGTACCTGAATGAAGATGGAGAACTCGGCTTGGCCTATCAGGGTCTAAAGCAAGTAGCCAGGTCAAATATATATGTTTTTTTCCTTCTTTTTCTGGTCTTTGTGGGCTATTATTTTCTTGCCTCCCTTTTTCCTGATGCTAAAAATGGGTACAGTTCACAGACTTTTAAACACTGGGTGCTGCTATTATTATTATTTTACGCTCATCCTTGTCACTTGGGTCATGGTCAGTGACTAGCTCTAATATGTGTGTTTGCTTTAAGATTAATCACAGGGTGGCAGCTGATCAGTAGTGGGTTGCCCCCGGTTCACACCAGTTCTATAGATTTTGAACAGTCACTAAACAAGTGGTTGTAAATTGAGGATTGCCTGTCATCTTGTTTGGATGGTTCAACAGACAAGTTAATGTGGGTTTTTTTCACGAGAATATTCACCTATTGAGTTGACTGCAGAACCACAAGGGGGCCTTGCCAGAGTCCTTTTGAATTTCCAAACAATGAATTGTATGGACTATTTTAATTGTGCACCCATAATTATTGTGCACCCACAGGATGCATCAGCCACTGTTGAATGCAATGCTCGTCAGTTCAGCCATCCATACACAGGTGCTCCTCATTGAGCGACCACAATTAAGACTGGCAACTCAGTTGTTAAGTAAAGCAGTCACTAAGTAAAACTGACTGTGCTTATGATTTTACTTCCATTTTCTTTTGTCTTATATACCCAGTTATAAATGCGAGAATTGGTTGTAAAGTTACTTTTTCATCATCATCGTAACTGCGAACAGTCACTAAATGAGGCAGCCACTAAAAAGAGGACTACCTGTACTTTTATTACCTGCAGCATTCAAAGTAATCATAGAATGGATATTTAATTAAAGCAGCTCAATCGGCATAAAGGCCCCAGGCTATATGACTTCTTTGCCTGCTGTAGGGACAGCGTTATGCACTTATCAAATCAAGTTTTCCACAAAGCATACAGATCCAAAACTGGAATCAATTCTAGCTTGCGGCCAGAGTATCTGTCTGCATATCACTTTGAATTAGTTACATTTCTCAACCAAGTCTTCCTATTTTCATTTGTGGGATTGAAGTACCTTGGTATCCATCAACATTCAGAATATGTGAAAAGGCCCTACATTTTTCCCAGCTACCCTATTTCCCTGAAAATAAAACATCCCCTGATAATAAGCCCAATCGGGCTTTTGTGCGCATGCGCTAAAAAAAAGCCTCGCCCAAAAATAAGCCCTCCCCAAAAATATTTAAACGGAGAGCTGGAAACCAGGTAAGACGGCAAGAGGAGTCCCATCTTGCTCCATGTGCCCCAAAATAATAATACCTCCCCAAAAATAAGGCCAAGTGCTTATTTTGGAGTTCAAAAAAAATATAAGACAGGGTCTTACTCTGTTTCCCCTAAAATAAGACATCTCCTAATAATAAGCCCAATTGGGCTTTTGAGCGTATGTGCTAAAATAAGCTCCCCCCTCCGGAAAATAAGCCCTCCCCAGAAATATTTAAACGCATGCACAGCCGGTTCCCGAAAATAAGGGCAAGCACTTATTTCAGGGTTTAAAAAAATATAAGACAGGGTCTTATTTTGGGGGAAATACGGTACATTTATTTTCAACTGAGGTAAAAGATATCATTTATCTGAGGTATAAAGAGCTATGCAGCCAAGAGAGATTTATGTTCAATAAATAAATCCAACGACATCCATCCATCCCATAAAATGCAAACCAGTAGATTTTAGGATAAATAACATGCATTGAAGATATGTTATGTTGTTGCTTAGTTAATAGACTTTTCAAACAAACAAACAAACAAAATTAAAATGGCTTTTCTTGACATCCATTTTTTTTAATATTTGCCTGCATCAGTCTTTCTGCTACAATTTATTATTTTACACAGCTATACAAATGGGTGCTGTTTAACTCAGTACTCTGCCATCTTCAATTTGATATGGTAGTAAAGTTAAAAGAACAATTTCAGCCATTTATCTTCCAAAAAATCTCCATCGTCACTGAGACAACTTATTTGTAGTTTCTCTGACACAAACCTTATTTTACATGCTGTGGAGATGTTAAGTGTGAAGCCTCAGATCAATGTTTAAGTAACTGTATTTAGAGTTGACATTATTTTCATTCTTTGAGTTAAGGGAAAGAAAGGAGTATTTATTTTTATAGTTTGCTAGAAAAAGTGTATGATTTATTAATCACTTCTTTTTAAGGAATGTGTAAGCTGTTTTGTAATTCATTCCAAGGCAACAACAAAGCAGCAAAACAAAAACGACGCAAGAGGATTAGAGCTGAAAGAGAATGTTCTGTACTATAGAAAATATTTCAAAGTTAGTCTCACCACACAGAGGGGAGTCCTATCCAAAGAAACCTTTGCAGAAGTTCTTTTTCCCCCAGAAGAAAATTGGAAAAATAATAATAATAATAGGATTTTCCTGCCCATGTGTTTGGTGGAGAATTTTGAAAGGCCAGTTGTATCTATTTCAATTTAGGAAACGTTAAATAGGAGCAGTGTGGAGAGTCATCCAAGCTTAGATTTAAGGATGGTGTTTGTACGAGGCAGAGCATATACAAGTAAGTCCTCGATTTACAACCAAAATTTCCATTGCTAAGCAAGACAGCTGTTAAGTGAGTCTTGCTTCATTTTGCGACCTTTCTTGCCACAGCTGTTAAGTAGATCACTACAGTTGTTAGGTAAGTAACAAGATTGACTTTGCTTGTCAGAAGGTCATACAAGGTGATTACATGAACCTGGGACACGGCAACAGTGATAAATACATGCCAGTTGCCAAGCATCCAAATTTTGATCATGTAACTGTGGAGAGGCTGCAGTGGTCATAATTGTGAAAAAAGATCATAAGTCTTGTTTTTTCAGGGCTGTTTGAACTAACCTGTAGTTAGTTGGGAAGGTGTCAGAATGGAATGGAACAGAACGGAACGGAATGGGACAGAATGGAAAATATGGAATGGAATGGAATGGAATCGGAACGGAACATATGGGATGGGATGGGATGGGATGGGATGGGATGGGATGGGATGGAATAGGATAGGATAGGATAGGATAGGATAGGATATTTTGGTCATCTCTGCGCACTCCAGTATTTTCCTAGTTATAAGCCAAATTAACCAAATTAACCCATGAAATAAATGATGATGAGAATTCAGAATACTATACTGTGTGGGAAAGGTGGTATGAGTGGATGAATGATAAAATGAAAGGAAGAGAAAAAGGTGTGTTAACTAAAAGCAAAAAGTAACCTAAATGTCACCAGAAATATATTTTGTAGATAGTTAAAAACACTGCACATCCGATATTAATGGAAATATAAATATATATATGTTTATAAATTCAATAAAATTTCTTTAAAAAAAAAACAGGATAGGACAGGACAGGACAGGACAGGACAGGACAGGACAGGACAGGACAGGACAGGATAGGATAGGATAGGATAGGATAGGATAGGATAGGATAGGATAGGATAGGATAGGATCAGGGGTGAAATCCAGCAGGTTCTAACAGGTTCTGGAGAACCGGTAGCGGAAATTTTGAGTAATTCAGAGAACGGGCAAATACCACCTCTGGCTGGTCCCAGAGTGGGGTGGGAATGGGAGTTTTGCAGTATCCTTCCCCTGGGGTGGAAATGGGTTAGGATTAGGGTTAGGGTTAATTAAAAAAAAAAAAGAATAGAATAGAATAGAATAGAATAGAATAGAATAGAATACAATACAATACAATACAATACAATACAATACAATACAATACAATACAATACATTGGGAATGGAAAATATGGAATGGAATGGAATAGCATAATAACTTTGTCACTTTGAATGTACATTAATGTGCATACATTAAAATAAATCTCGTTGGTATACAGCTCTCAAAGGATCACCCCTCCAATATACACTACACTGCCTCCTTCTACCTCCTTGCTTGAGACATGTGCCAGCAGCTTGCTTGAAAGCTTTGGGTGTCATTTGCTAATGGGATCAGGGACCCTCCTGTGATTGGAGGTGGGTAGGATTGGTGGGAAGACAATCTTAAAGTGTAACAACCACAGGAGAGGCATATAGGACAATAAGGAAAACCCAGCTGGTGCTATTGAGCACACTCACAACCAGCATCTCCCTTTGCTGCAGTCCAAACATAGTCATAATTTGTGGTATGGTTTACAGGTAGTCCTTGACTTACAATCACTTTTTTAGTGACCATTCAAAGTTGTAACAGCACTGAAAAAAGTGATTTATGAACATTTTTCACACTCACGACTATTGGTCATTTTGATCAAAATTCAGCCACTTGGCAAACCTGCATGTATTTATGATGTTTGCAATGTCCCCTGGGTCATGTGATTCCCTTTTGGGACCTTCTGACCATCAAAAGTCAATAGGGACGCCAGATCCACTCCACACCTGCGGTGATTCACAACCACCGTGGCAAGAAAGGTGATAAAATCGAGCAAAGTTCACTTAGCAACTGTCTTGCTTAGCAATGGAAATTTGGCACTCAATTGTGGCCATAAGTCGAGGACTACCTGTATAACTTGAGACTGAAGGTATGTTTATATGTTTATGCGCATTACAATTTCTGGTTTCTGGTTGTCGAGAAAAACTGGGGAAAATTGGGGAAGGGGATTTTTGTTTTGGAGGGAAGGGAGAATTTCAAGATGGCTTTCTTCACTTTTCCAGAGGGGTGTGTGGTCCACCCACTCTACCCCACCCCACCCCCCAGCGGCCAGCCAGGCTCGACCCAAAATATAAGAACCGGTTCTTCTTGACAATGGAGCTTTTAAGAGGTTCTTGAAAAAACTTTGAAGAAAAGGATTGGAGTGGGATATGTGTGGAGATTTCATTTCAGGCAAACTGTAATTGGTACCTTTTAAAACTCAATTTAGTTTACCAAATGTTAAGCTTTTCTTCAGGCACTTGGAAGGAGGGCTGTAACCTTTTCAGTGATGAATCATACTCCCTACCGGAGTAGGTTGTGATGGAGTCAGAAATGCAAAGAGCGGTTCCATGCCACTTTTCTTGTGAAAAATGCAGTTTGTTCCTTAATTCATCGTTTTGCCAAATACACACTGTGAATTTGTTTAGGGGAGGAAAAAAAATCCCTTCCATTTTGTCACAGAAAGAAACACATTTTTAACTTCCTTGGTTCATTCTTTCTGGCTTTTCTCATTCTGTTCCTTTCTTCCAGGGGTGAAATGTTGCCGGTTCAGACCGGATCGCCCGATCCAGTAGCGATGGAGGCGGGTGGTTCAGAGAACCGGTAGCAAAAATCCCTGCCCCCCCTCCATGCCCAGCTGAGCCACACAATCATCAGAGGCTTTTTTTTTACTTTTAAAAGCATTTTTTCTACAACTTCGGCCAAAAAAATGCTTTTAAAAGTAAAAAAAAAAGCCTCTGATGATTGCGCGACTCATCAAAGGCATTTAAAAGAAAAAAAACCTTTTCTTCTTTTAAATTCTCTGACGATCCCAGCTGAGTTCCCTGATCGGCAGAGGCTTTTTAAAAAAGCCCCTCCCGATCAGGGAACTCAGCTTGGCTCCTCAGAGCCTTTTGAAAACATTTTTTTACAACCTCTTAGAAAAAATGGTTTTAAAAGTAAAAAAAAAAAAAAAAATTGGCCACACCCACCCAGTCACATTACCCCTGCCCCCCACCAAGCCACGCCCACAGAACCTGTATTAACAAATTTTAGATTTCACTCCTGCTTTCTTCCCCTTTTAGTATCCGTTCTTCAGGATGCCTCATTTTTAAAACAAAATATTTCCTCTCTCTCTCTCTCTCTCTTTTTTTTTTTACTGTATAAAAAAACCAGTTTTGGAATTCATAAAGTTGTTTTTAGCTGGAAATGTCTTAAAGGGACCTTAGAAATAATCGTGTGGGGGTAAAACAGTTATCGTGTAAGACAGTTATCCACTGATTCTGATGCGTAAAGTAACTAGGAAGGTAACTTTGTGGAAGCTGCGTTAAATGGTGAACTCCGAAAGCTTTTTTTTTTTTCTTTTCTTAAGTTTTGTTTCTGGAATGAGAAACTTTTAAATGAGGGAGAGGGGAGCATAGGACTCCAAGGATGGATGTTTCAAAAGTCTGCAATCTGGACCATGTCCCCCTAATCTTTGAGGCTGTAGATTGACAGCAAATGCCCCCAACCTACATCTTTGGCCTCTCCAGCTACAGTAGTGGCCACAATTGTGGAAACCTTTTGGGAAAAGTGTATTTTTGAGGCTTGATGGCTAATAACACCACTTTTTGGGAGGAGTTTCAAGATAATCCTATTCCACTGCTGAAATGGCCTGGGAATAAATAGCCCAGACCTTAACCCAATTGAAAATCTATGGAGCCGACTAAAGAAACTTGTTAGTCAGAAACAACCCAGCAATAAAACCCAGTTAATAGAAGCAATTATTCAACCTTGGTTTCACATGATAACTAAAAGATTTGGTTCACTCCATGGGAAGACGTTGTAAGGCCGTAATTCATGCTAAAGTTTACCCAACTAAGTATTAACCAACATGGTGATAATTTTTGTATATCTCGTTTTTTCTATGGTGATAATTTTTGTATATCTCATTTTTTCCTATGTGTTCCAGTTTTCTTCTTTACACAGTAACTGCTATTCTAATAGCAAATCCTTCATAAAAGTTATTGCATTACATTCTCGATTAAATTATCTTTCCATTGATATATAATTTTATGGTACTACTCCAAAAAAAAAGTGGTGTTATTAGCTAGTTTTAGAAAATACACTTTTCCCAAAAGGGTTCCACAATTTTGGCCACTACTGTAAGTAGAATGGTGGGATGGTTTACGTCGTTGCCCCCGGTTCGCACCGGTTCTATAGAACTGGTAGTAAAACTGGCGGGAGGCTCCGCCCACTTACCCCGACGTCATCAAAACGCTTCTGCGCATGTGTACGAGTGAAGTAAGCCCGCTGCGAACTGGTAGTAAAGGTAAGTAGAACCCACCCCTGATGTAAACCAAATAAATAACCTGGAAATCCATAACCAAGGCCCTTAATTCTTATGGACTGGCTACCTTGGTAGCCAAAACTGATGTGAAGAAACTGATGTTTATGGTAGCAACCCAGCAAACAGGCAATGCAATTTAACCAGTGGGAGTCTCCTTCACAATCTTTAGTTTTGAATGTAAGTGTTCCTCACCAATATGTATATGAGTAATGAGTGTGGTCAACCATTAGTTCCTACTGTAAGTATTGCCTACTTTACAGTATGTATATGATTAATGACTGTGAGCAATGATTCTCTTTGAAAAGAAAAGGTTCTGAGATATGTTGAATTCTCTATTGAGGAGTTGGGTTGGGTTGGGTTGGGTTGGGTTGGCATTGAGTTTTTGGGTACCTTCAAGCCTATCTTGACTCCTGGAGACTTCCTGGAGAAGGCCCTGAGTTTCCTTGGCAAGATATTTGGAAGTGGTTTGCCCTTGTCTCCTCCTTCCTGGTGGTGAAGGAAAAGGACTGGCTCAAGGTCACCAAGAAGGCTGTGTCTAAAGCAAGACTAGAACTCAAGTCTCTCAGTTTCTGATCTAGGACATTTCCCTCTGTGTATATAAAATAAATATATACAGGTAATCCTCGACTTACGACCACAATTGAGCCCAAAATTTCTGTTCCTGAGCAAAACGGTTAAGTGAGTTTTGCCCCCATTTTAGGACCTTTCCTGCCCCAGCTGTTAAGTAAATCACTGCAGTTGTTAAGTTACTAACACAGTTGTTAAGTGAATTTGGCTTCCCCATTGACCTTGCTTGTCAGAAAGTCGCAAAAGGGGATCACATGACCCAGGACTCTGCAACCATCATAATTACATGCCAGTTGCCAAGAGTCTATATTTTGGTCATGTGACCATGGGGAGGCTGCAACGGTCGTATGTGTGAAAAACGGTCATAAGTCACTTTTTTCAGTGCTGTTGTAACTTTGAACAGTCACTAAACAAGCTGTTGTACCTGTATACGACATAAATCAGCGAGCCTACACTTTTCCTGTTCACATGACCCAAAAAAACCTTGGAAGATGTCTTTTGTTATCTAAGATCTGCCTACAGTTTCTTAAAAGCATTTGGTCTGTGAATCCAAGCCCTGGTCCATCACATCATTAGAAGCATTATGGCAGTTTCTGGGTATCTTAAGTATCTAATATTATTTGAGTGACAAATGTCCTCATCTTTCCCGTTTCTCCCCCACTTCAGGCTCCTTGAGGCTCAACTCCAGGAACAGAGAAGGGAATATGAAGAAGAAATAGAAGTCCTAAAGGACCAGATGGAGACATTGAAGGAAGCGATGGAGAAACAACACGAAGTCTTCCTCCAGACGCTCCAGTTGTCCCCAGAAGCCCAAGTGGAGTTTGGCATCCAGCAGGAAATCTCGCGGCTGACCAGCGAAAACCTGGTATGGAGAAAAAGCAAAAACGCAGGGTTGTTTCTACCAAGGATGATAATTTGCCTTGTTTGAAAGATTGGTGCCCAACTCTTCAGTCAAAAAAAATACTCTAGGGTGGCCTTCATTCAGAGGTGGGTTTCAACAGGTTCTGACCAGTTCTAGTGAAGTGGTAGCAGAAATTTTGAGTAGTTCAGAGAATCGGTAAATACGACCTCTGACTGGCCCCGCCCCTGTCTATTCTCTGCCTCCCAAGTCCCAGCTGATCGGGAGGAAATGGGGTTTTGCAATATCCTTCCCCTGGAGTTGGGAGGGAATGGAGATTTTACAGTATCCTTCCCCTGCCACGCCCACCAAGTCATGCCACACCCACCAAGCCACACCCACAGAACCGGTAGTAAAAAAAAATTTGAATCCCACCACTGCCTTCACTGATTAGCCAGACCTGCTCATAGATGTAGAGCTCATAGGTGTATGAGAAGTTACTCATAGAGAAGAGCAACTAAGACGATTAAGGGCCTGGAGACTAAAACATACCAAGAACGGTTGGAGGAATTGGGTATGTCTAATCTTGAGAAAAGAGGGACTAGGGGTGACATGATAGCAGTATGCCAGTATTTGAGGGGCTGCAATAAAGAAGGGGGAGTGTTCAACCTATTTTCCAAAGCACCAGAAGGCAGGACACGTAACAGTGGATGGAAACTAATCAAGGAGAAAAGCAACCTAGAACTAAAGAGAATTTCCTAAGAATGAGAACAATAAACCATATAAATCTATGCATATAAATCTAACCAATAAATAAATAACCAGTGGCATGACTGGCCTTCAGAAGTTGTGGGTGTTCCCATCACTGGAGACTTTTAACTGGACAGCCACTTGTCTGAAATGGTATAGAGTCTTCTGCTTGAGCAGGGGGTTAGACTAGAAGACCTCCAGGGTCCCTTCCGGCTCTATTCTTCTGTATTCTGTATGTGCGGTGTAAAAGATGCAATATGCAAAATGGCGGCTGGGTGGGAGGAAGAAATATAAATGCAATAAAAGCATTTCATTAAGAACTTCTGGGAAGACTGTTTTGGAACTGGTGGAATCTCTGCCCTACGAAATCGCCTCAGCTTCTCAGAACTGCTTTTTGAACTTCCAAATATTCTCTGGAATATTTTGTTCCAGGGGGCCCTTATTGGTTTCAGTTACTGGTAATTTTGGGATGGAGCAATCTTTTCAATACTAAAAACCTTGCATTCCTTCCAGGTGTGTAAAATAGTGCATGGTTTATTATTTGATCTCTTTCCGTGTCCTAACTGTAGGGTTAGTTTTGAATTGATTTTTATTGCTTAAAACAGTCCGTAGAACCTGTATTTGTTTAGAATTTTTTGTTTTGTTTTGTTTTCGCCCTTCGAATCAATGTTGGCTCCTGGCAACTGCCTGGACAAGTCCCTGCAGTTCTCTTGGCAAGATTTCAGAAATAGCTTCCCCTTGCCTATTTCCCAGGGCTGAGAGAGTGAGTGAGTGAGTGATTGGCCCAAGGTCATTCAGCTGGCTTGGTGCCCAAGGCAGGACTAGAACTCACAGCCTCCTGGTTTCTAGCCTGGTACCTTAACCATTACACCAGTGGTGGGTTTCATATTTTTTTACTACCAGTTCTGTGGGCGTGGCTTGGTGGGCATGGCAGGGAAGGATACTGTAAAATCTCCATTCCCTCCCCACTCCAAGGGAAGGATACTATAAAATCTCCATTCCCTCCCCACTCCAGGGGAAGGTTACTGCAAAATCCCCATTTCCTCCCAATCAGCTGGGACTCGGGAGGCAAAGAATAGATGGGGGTGGGGCCAGTCACAATATTTACTACCGGTTCTCCAAACTACTCAAAATTTCCGCTACCGGTTCTCCAGAACTGGTCAGAACCTGCTGAAACCCGCCTCTGCATTACACCAAACTGGCTTTCTGTGTTATGGTTATACACATTTATTATGCATTGTCCTTACACAAAGCAGAACAAATCTATCATATATAGAAGGTTGGAGAGGTAGTTGACCTAACCAGTAGTCTTTATTGCCCCATCTAGCTTTCCTTAGAACATTTTTCCAGAAGTTTGGGCAGAAGAGTTTCCTACCACCTACAGCAGGGGTATCAAACTCAAGGCCCGCGGACTGGATCCAGCCTGAGGGTGCTTTAATCTGGCCCGCGGAACCAGCCTGGAAATAGCAAAGGACCAGCTCATGGTGCCTCTGCTACCGAAAACAAGGAGCCCCACACCCCATTTTGGCCAGCAGGGTGCTGCAGGAGGCTGTCCAGGCTGAAAACGGGGCGGGGGGAGTCACATGCGGGGGGCCCCGATCCCCATTTTGGCCAGCAGGGTGCTGCAGAAGGCATCCATTTCGTCTCACCCCCACCCCCCAGCCAGCCCACGGAGGAAAACTACAATGCTTATCTAGCCCTCAAACAAATCCAGTTTGACACCCCTGACCTGCAGCTTTTAACCAACAGCGCCCAGTAGCCAGTTGTAAAGTTTAGGCTGTACCACTGAGCTATGCCCTCCCCTCACTGGCGCTCCTGGAAAAAGTTTGCCTAGTACATCACGATTCTAACTTGAATTTCCCTTTAGAAGGAATGGACCGATCGCTCTGTTTCCAGACCACGTCAGTTTACCATTGTTTCTTTGATCCATTTCTCTAAAAGCAACAGCGATCACAAATATCAAACTTAAAGCCTGTGTTTTAATATGAATATTTTACGGGGGTTTCTTTTTTTAAGCCAAGACTCGAATTACAAAATTCAGAGACGTTCATGCACTAAAGGATGTTTATATTTGGATCCAGGTATTAGTCTGAGAAGTTTGCTCAGGTCAGTCTATTTTTAGATAACAAAATGGATAAAAATAAAGTTTCCCTGTGGGAATATGCTTAATCTGCCTTCTGGATAGAAAGGCATAATAGCAGCAGCAGCGGTATTGCCATGGTTGAGTAATAAGCCTGGTATGGAACAATTTTGGATGGATTTCCAGGAGCTTCTTCTGCATGTCGGGGTTCAAGGCGTGTTCCCTACTGAATACTGTTCAACAGCAGTACAAGTAGCGCTCGATTTACATTGACAATTGGGACCACAATTTCTGTTCCTAAGCAAGACAGTTGTTGTGAGTTGTCCCCAATTTCACAATCCTTTTTGCCACGGTTGTTAAGTGAATCACACAGTCGTTAAGCAAATCCAGCCTCTCCCATTGACTTTGTTTGTCAGAAGCTGGCTAGGAAGGTCACAAACCGGGATCACGTGACACAGGGCCTCTGCAATCATCATAAATACATGCCAATTGTCAGTTGCTCAAATTTTGATCACATGACCATGAGGATACTGCAACAGTCATAAGTGCAAGGATCGGTTGTCGGCCAAATTATTCAGTGCTGTAGTAACTTCAAACGGTTACTATATGAACGGTTGTAAACTGAGGACTATCCATAAAGGGCCAAAACATATCCTCTGACTAGCAGACCATCCTGTAAATAAATGTGAGGTCCTTCAAGAGCCATAAATTTACACGATCTGCTGAACTGAGCCGTTTATGCTGAGTTTAGTTTCAACCTGAAGCAGCCTCTTGTGGAAAATCAGCCGGCTCGCTTCATTTGTGATTCACTGTTATTGCAATCCAGAAAAAAGAGTTAATCCAATAACCAGCCAAAATGTGCTGTGCTAACACTGCCATGTTGAAACAGCTGAGCTTGTTCCTCTATGTGAAGCTCATGAAGAGCTGTATGCTTTAGATCTGGGGTGTCCAACCTTGGCAACTTGAAGGCTTGTGGACTTCAACTTCCAAAATTCCTCAGCCAGCCATTGTTCCCTAGCACTCTATTAATATAGACCATGGGTCAGAATTTCCCAGGCAGTCATTGTGTAAAATGCTCTGTCCTATTTTCCTCCAACAACTACCTTGTGAGGCACGTTGGACTAAGAGAAAAGAACTCTTGTCACCCAGCCAAATTCTGTGCCTAAAGGAGAACTAGAATTCCCAGTCTCCTGGCTTCTAGTCCAACACACCTCTGGTAAATTTAGAAGGTAGGGCAAATTTAGACCATCTTAAACTTTTTTTTCTCCTTTGATCTTGCTTCTTGTGATGGCTCAATCCATACTTCTCTGCCAATAGATATTACGTGTCCTGAAAACTAATTTGGAAAAGCTCACACCAGTTCTGTCTGACTGGGCGACTGCATTTAAGTACTGTATTCTTTGATTGTCCTCAAGGAAAGATTTATGCAGTCATTTACTTATAAGGCTTCAGTTATTGCAGACTTGTGGACTTCAACTCTTCAAGGCTTCAAGTAGCTAAGGTTGGGCATTCCTACTTTTGGGAGGGGAGCAGGTAAAGGTATGCCCCATCCCAAAGGAGATTATTTCTTCTACCTAAGAGACTTGATCCAGGTGTACAATGTGATTAAATCCCAATCTGGTTAGGGAAGCAAACAATCTAAAGTGAAAAACAGCCGCCTTGCAATATCTGAAGCCTGCTAAGTAAATGACTGCATAAATCTTTCCTTGAGGACAATCAAAGAATACAGTACTTAAACGCAGTCGCCCATTCAGACAGAACTGGTGTGAGCTTTTCCAAGTTAGTTTTCAGGACATGTAATAAATACTGCCAAAGAAGTATGGATTGAGCCATCACAAGAAACAAGATCAAAGAAAGAAAAAAAGTTAAGGTGGTCTAAATTTGCCCTACCTTCTAAATTTCCCAGAGATGTGTTGGACTAGAAGTCAGGAGACTGGGAGTTCTAGTTCTCCTTTAGGCACAGAATTTGGCTGGGTAACTTTGGGCCAGTTCTTCTCAGAGGGTAGTTGTTGGAAGAAAATAGGACAGAGCATTCTACACAATTCCTTGACTTGTACAAATAAAATGGGATAAAACAACACTTTCAAAATTATTTCCTCACCGCCACCACCCAAAAAAAAAATCCCCCAGACAACTTAACAGTATTTTATTGTTTCATCGGCTCCACTGTGGAACATTTTTCCCACGCAGACACACGCTGTAAAATAAATAACAGTAATATGGGTCCCTTAAACCTTGCCCAACGTTGCTTCTTGTGTTTACAGCTTTTATAAACCGGCTCTAAAGGCCACTGTATACATGCTGAAACCACACTGTCCCCATTTTCTTCGCCGAACCAAGTTTTCAGTAAAAATTATAGGTACGTTGAATAAGAACCCGAAGAGGGCGTTTCGAAAAGCAATGTGACAACTTGCTCTTTAGAGTAATTCAGGCTCGCCATAGCAACCTGACAAAATTACTTGACTCCCAATGTATAATTGATTGGCTTGGTAGAGATTGAAATAAACCTCCCGAAAGAGAAAAGAGAAAAAAAACAAATTCAGGTCGACCAAAGGCCCCCAGTTCAGTTGGGGTTGAAGAAAAATAAAATCGTCACCACAAAAAAAAAAAAAGTCCTCAAAAAAAAAAAAAAAACCCGGGGAAGGGGGGGGGGGGAAAGGCAAAGATAATACCAACAGCGATAGGCGCCTTGAGTGCAATCCCAAAACATCTGGAACATCACGTGAACACCTGTCAGCCCTGACAAAGTCCCCATCCATCAATTGCAAAAGGCAGCTTTATTAGGAACCTTTAATGCCTTTAATATTATTAAAGCATAAATGAGATGTTTACTTTAGTCTCACAACAGTTCTACTAGGTTGGGTAAGCTGAATGCTGGTGATTAATCACCTGTCATGAATGGACCGTGCTCGAGTAGAAAATCTCTGATTCACAGCATCTTTCTCCTCAGTTTCCTGCAGTTTTTTTTTTATTATTTTAGATGCAAATCCATAACTAACTACATATGGCCAGAAGGCTCTGACCACACGAGAGGTCACCCCTCTGAGACAAGCATCCTTCATCCTTTTGACACAGATGTCTTGAACCGCAGCATAGATTCTCTTGAGTGGGGAAAAAAATTGTGGAAGTGTTTTTATTTTTATGACCTTTTTTGCCACGGTTGTTAAGCGAACCACTGCCGCCCTTAAGTGAACCATGCAGTCGTTAAGTAAATCCCGCTTCTCCCATTGACTTTGCTTGCCAAAAGATGGCTAGGAAGGTTGCAAATTGCAGTCACATGACCCCAGGACATTGCAACCATCGTAAATACATGCCGGTTGCCAAGCCCCTGGATTTTTTATCTGTGGTGATGCTGTGGCCATTGTAAGTGCGAGAAGTGGTTGTAAATCCCTTTTTTCAGTGCTGTTGTCATTTCAAACAGTCACTTAATGGACGGGTGTGTAAGTCGAGGACTTACCTGTATTGCAGCTGTGTGAGCTGCATTGACTCTCAGTAAGCTTCTGAGTGCCATTCGAGGTGCTGATTGTCGCTTTTAAAGCCTTCTATGGCACAGGATCAAGTTTCTTATAGATCACCTCTGCCCAGTGGTTCCAACAAGATCTGGCACCGTAGGTATGCTCTGGGTCCTCTCTGTAAAACAGCACCCCCACCACCACCTTTTCGGTACCAGGGACTAGTTCCGTGGAGAAAGCCTTTTCCGTGGACCAGAGGGGACGTGGTTTCATGTTCTGCCTCCTATGGATGGGGCTTTGTTTGTTTGCGAGGCCTAGTTGTTAGCATGCCGTGGATTGGTGTCAGTCCACAGACTGGGGGTTGGAGACCCCTGCTGTAAAAGGGTGCACCTTGTGGGGCTTAGATGTGTGCCTATTCTGGCATGGCATCTGTCTTGTGGGACAGGGCCCCCCCACAGGGGTGAAATCCAGCAGGTTCTGAGAGGTTATGGAGAACCGGTAGCGGAAATTTTGAGTAGTTCAGAGAACCGGCAAATACCACCTCTGGCTGGCCCCAGAGTGGGGTGGGAATGGGGATTTTGCAATATCCTTCCCCCAGGGGAGGGAATGGGGATTTTGCAGTATCCTTCTCCTGGAGTGGGGTGGGAATGGAGATTTTGCAGTATCCTTCTCCTGCCATGCCCACCAAGCCACACCACGCCCACAGTAAAAAAATTTGGATTTCACCACTGCCCCCCCCACCCTTGAGATGCAGACAGTCAGAACCCTATAAACAATTGCTTCTTCCCCCAAGCATTGATGGAGTTCTAGTGAGAGTCTAGATTTGATTATGTGTTGATAATGTGCTTTTTTAGGGGCCTCAATCCAATTTCATTTTTGATTGGATTTGTGCACCTTGGTTTTATCTGGTTCCTCCCCTAATTTCCCCTGGGCAGCTCTGTACATTTGTTAAACAAATATGTGAACGCCTCTGCAAAGGAAAGTCTGTTTTTCTTTTCACTTCTTGCTGTTTTTAAACTGGTCTTGGCAAAATGCTCCATGTGAGCAGTGGCTGAATTTGATCTGGGATGTCTTCCTGTTTTTTTCAGGACCTGAAAGAGATGCTGGAGAAACTGGAAAAGAATGAGAAGAAGCTGAAGAAACAGCTCAGGATTTATATGAAGAAAGTGCAAGATTACGAAGGTAACCTTCACATCCCCTTCTGCCGCTGAAATTAATATTCTGTTCCATACTGACAAAATAGTTTATTTATTTATTTATTTAATCAAATTTCTATACCGCCCTACTCCCGAAGGACTCAGTTTAGATGGCTAAAAAGCTGGCTTGCCTTTAAACCAAGAGAAGCAAAGGATTCAGATCCGGGTATGTCTAGCTTAATGAAAAGAAGGACTAGGGGAGACATGATAGCAGTGTTCCAATATCTCAGGGGCTGCCACAAAGAAGAGGGAGTCATGCTATTCTCCAAAGCACCTGAGGATAGGACAGGAAGCAACGGGTGGAAACTAATCAAGGAGAGACGCAACCTAGAACTAAGGAGAAATTTCCTGACAGTTAAAACAATTAATCAGAGGAACTGCTTGCCTCCAGAAGTTGTGAATGCTCCAACACTGGAAGTTTTTAAGGAGATGTTGGATAACCATTTGTCTGAAGTGGCTTAGGGTTTCCTGCCTAAGCAGGGGGTTGGACTAGAAGACCTCCAAGGTCCCTTCCAACTCTGTTATTCTATTCTATTCAGTTCAAGTTTGGCAGCCTTGCTCTGAGATCTAAATAAGGCTTGAGGGAAGACTAAGTGCAGCTATTTTTCAAAGGAAGGGCGTACAGGTGATCCTCAACTTATGACTACAATTGAGCCCCAAATCTGTTGCCAAGCAAGACAGTTAAGTGAATTTTGCCCCATTTTACAACCTTTCTTGCCACAGTTGTGAAGCAAATCACTGCCTTTGTTAAGTTAGCAATAGCACTTAGACTTATAGACTGCTTCCCAGTGCTTTACAGCCCTCTCTAAGCAGTTTACAGAGTCAGCCTATTGCCCCCAACAATTTGGCTCCTCATTTTATTAACCTCAGAAGGATGGGAGGCTGAGCCAACCTTGAACCTGATGGGATTCAAACTGCCAAATTGCAGGCAGCCGGCAGGCAGCAGAAGTAGCCTGCAGTACTGCATTCTAACCACTGCGCCACTATAGCTCATGGCTCATAGTAACATGGTTGTTAAGTGAATCTGGCTTCCCCATTGACTTTGCTTGTCAGAAGGTCACCTGATCTCATGACCCAGTGGGGACACTGCAACCCTCATAAATGAGTCAGTTGCCAAGCATCTGAATTTTGATCATGTGACCATGAGGATGTTGCCACGGTCATAAGTGTAAAAACAGTCATAAGTCACTTTTTTCAGTGCCCTTGTCATTTCAAACGGTCACTAAATAAAGTTCTGTAAAACAAAGGCTACCTGCATTAGGAGCCATCACAATTCCTGGTTGTCCCAAAGGTGCTTTTTCAAGAGGCAGCTGGAATTTCTGGGTTTTTTTTTTCTTTGAAGACGTTTCGCTTCTCATTCAAGAAGCTTCTTCAGCTCTGAGCTCTAAGCTGAAGAAGCTTCTTGGATGAGAAGCGAAACGTCTTCAATGAAAAACAAAGAAAGCCCAGTTGCCTCTTGAGAAAGCACCTTTGGGACAACTATGACCTGGATGACTGAGAATCTCCATAGACAATTCCTGGTGGTTTCTCCCACATCCTTTGCAGGGCTGTGAGATGCAACTTAGCACCTGTTTGCAACTTCTTTTCTGGGGTCTAGCACAGTGGTGAAATCTAAAATTTGTTACTTCCGGTTCTGTGGGCGTGGGTTGGGGGGGTAATGTGACTGAGTGGGTGTGGCCATTTTTTTTTTAACTTTTAAAACCATTTTTTCTACAACCTCTTTTAAATGCCTCTGACGATCCAACCTGAGTTGCCTGATCGGCAGAGGCTTTTTTTCTTTTAAATGGCTCTAACGATCAGGCAACTCAGCTTGGATCGTCAGAGGCATTTAAAAGAAAAAAAGCCTCTGATGATCAGGCAACTCAGCTGGGATCTTTGACGATCCCAGCTGAACCGCGCGATTATCAGAGGCTTTTTTTAAAAAAGCATTTTTTCGGCCGAAGAGGTTGTAGAAAAAAATGCTTTTAAAAGTAAAAAAAAAAAAAGCCTCTGATGATTGTGCAGGCATGGGGGAGGGGCAGGGATTTTTGCTACCGGTTCTCCGAACCACCCGCCTGCATCGCTACCGGATTGGGCGATCCGGTCCGAACCGGGAGCATTTCACCCCTGGTCTAGCAGCTTCCTTCTTTAGCTCCCATATAATCCTAAGAAGGTTCAGCTGTTTTTTAAGAAGTGGGAGGCAGGTATTAAATTGACATACCTGCCTGTCCTGAAACATATTTTTGCATTTCAGAGAGCTACATTGTCCTTCTACTATAGTTGTCTTCATTGATTGGATATTTGCTCTTCTGTTTATTGAAAGGGGCAAGACTAGAAAACTTTAAAAAGTTTTTTTTTCCCCTGCTATGGTCAAATCTTCCTTCGGTCTTGCTATTTGCAGTATCAGGAGAATGTCTCCACCTGCTGGTTCTCATTGCTTTAAAGGTGGATTTTTAGAGAATGCTATATATTTGCAGTCATGAAGCAGCATATTAGAAATATATTCTTCTGATTTTGATGGCTTGACAGAGTGATTAGCTACTGCAGCTTGGATCCCAAATCCTGGTTCCCAGAAATCTGATCGTTAAATGAAATTCAGCCGAAGGATTTGAAGACTCTACTACCTCATGGCAACTGGCACAGATGGTTCTTGTCATTATAATTTATAGGCATGAAACTGACTGGCACAAAGTTACTTGAATTGTGTCTTCATATCCATTTTTTTAATACATTTCACCACTGCGGCATTTGTTCCCTGGTGAAGGCAAAGCAGCAGAAATTACCCATTATCTTTAGCAAGGTTATAAAGCCACAATTTGATTACCATCTTCATCTTCGTAGTTGAAGGTTATTTATTTTTTACATGTCAGATTGGTCTAATGCTTATAATGATATATGTTTTCTCTAAAACAGTCGTCTTCAAACGTGGCAACTACAAGATTTGTGGACTTCAACTCCATGCTGGCCAAGGAATTCTGGGAGTTGAAGTCCACAGGTGTTAAAGTTGCCACATTTGGAGACCCCTGCTCTAGAGCTAAATCCGGAGAGTTTTACTAAATTCTGAAAGTGAGGTTAGGTATAACAAACGATGCAATAGCTCTGGCAACTGCAGGCATTATACTTAAACCACTGAAATATGGTGAGAATCAGAAAAATGGTAAAATGGGGATAAGATTTATTCATTTCATTTCCAGTTCAAATCTTTTTATATATACAATTTTCATCGAATCTTTGAATGAATACAAGTACAAAAATAATGCAATTATCAACAAAAACTAAAGTAAAACATTTCATTTAAACTATTATTAAGTGAATAATATACCAAAAGATAATAATGCAAACTAAAAGTTAAAGAAGGGGATGAAAATGCAAAAAGAAAATTTAAAAAAAACCCTAAAAATCTTTTTAAAATTCCATTACTTTTCTATGATTGTGTATCGCATAAGTATATGGAATACCAAAAAATAAGATCCATGGGTCAATTACAATGTTTTAATAATGTTTGTGGAGAAAAATTACTGTATGCAGAAATGCTCAAAACGCCTATGTCAAATGATTAAAGAAGTGTTTAAAAGAAAACGATAAACAAAAGGAGCATTTAATGTGATTTCTGTAATGGATTGTTTATGGGTCTTGACTTTTGGTGCATATGTATGTCTCTACATGCATATATATATATTTTAGAAAGAACAGTAAAATCTTCTTTCCATTGAATAACTGATGAAAAAGATCCATTATTTGGACAGCCGTTTTTTCCAAACACGTGTGTTAGTTTCCTTCTCAGCACCAATGTTTTAAAAAAAATCTGTAGAGTGGGTTCTTTTGCGGGTGCTGGAGAAAATTCAGTAAAAGGTGGAATATATCCAAGATAGGTGTAATCTCCAGACCAGTGCAACAAGCTCTTTCAGGTAGCAGTTAAAGGAGAAAGATTTGGACATGAGATTCCCAGGTATCTGCTGGCAGCCTTTGTGGTCAAATGCTACTCCAGGGCTGTCAAACCCGCATCATCACCGTGGCGTCACATGACATATTGGGACTTTCCCTGCCTTCCCTAAACTGGGCGGGGGCGTGGCCAGCGTGTGACACATCTGTCCCATGGGCCGCGAGTTTGACAGCCCTGTGCTACTCTATATAAGACCAGGAAATGGACCGTATCTTCTAGCTTTCTAATATAGGTGGTTGCTAGGAGTAAAATACAACGTGATGTTTTATAATTAGTTTTCATGATATGAGACCTCAGTATTAATCATAGCCATTAGAGTACAGGTGGGCGGCTATGGTTCTATTTCAAGGTAATGCTGGTTTCTACCATAGAATTTACTCTGAAGAAGATGAGAAGGAACCACACAGTTCCATAACCTCCTCCTGGATTTTTAACCAGAATCAGAACTTTCATTTTATATCTGTGTTACCTCAGTTATCATTTTTTGTAGCTCCAATGAGCCGGGACAGACCACTGAGTCAACCAGACTTCGGAGGGGCCTCTGAAGAGTGTGGCTGCTTCACGCCATCTGTGAAAGGGACTGAGTTTGTTCTTGATTTGTCTTTCACAGCTGATCAAGCCGTTACACAATCTGAAAAGCGGAAACACGAAATCAGCCGGCATGTCGCCGTCCAAAGGAAGGAAAAAGACTTCCAGGGAATGTTAGAATATTGCGAAGAGGATGAATCTTCACTCATAAAAAATCTCATTACAGGTAAAACGGTTTTGTTCAGTTTCTCAATCTGGCTCTTAATATTGTAGTTATAAATGGCGTTTGTAATAGTTTGCTGCCAAAGTAAGAACAAATCTATTCATCAGAGTCATAAGACTGTAGGGTTTGAAGGGGACATTTGCTTACTGTAAGTAGTTCAAGTAATCTCCATCCTGTTCATTGGGGAACCCATGTTTAAAAAGGGCTGCCTATTTTCTCTTAAATTTGTCCAGTGAAAGGGAACCCAGCACTTCCCCAAGCATTTCCGTGTTTCCCCGAAAATAAGACCGGGTCTTATATTAATTTTTGCTCCAAAAGACGCATTACGGCTTATTTTCTGGTTAGGTCTTATTTTGGGAGAAATACAGTACTAAATGTATCTATCTGGCTGACAATCTTAACTGGGGCTTATTTTGGGGGTAGGTCTTATATTACGAGCATCCTGAAAAATCATGCTAGGACTTATTTTCCGGTTGGGTCCTATTTTTGGAGAAACAGGGTTGATTCTATCATTGTTATTCTTGTAAAAGGGGAAAGTCTTTATAACATTGAGAAGAAGCATAAATGTCATTTTAAAAGCTTGAAAAACCTGATTTACACATGGACAATTTATTGTCAAGCATTATTCATTTCCATTTTTTTTCCTTGGCATGGTTCTGCTCCAAAATATATAATGGGAATAATTGGATTGTTAAAAATAGGAGAGATGTTTAAATATATTTTATGCTAGAGGAATGAGATCAGTTAATAAAAATAATTTGGTGACTAATTTTGATTTAGGTAAGTGTCCAGGGCCCATCAGTATAGAGTTTATATTTAAGTTGCTAAGGAATCCTGTGGTTTCTTTCCTGCTCACAGATCTGAAGCCCCAAACGGTATCGGCCACTGTGCCCTGCTTGCCTGCCTACATCCTTTTTATGTGCATCAGACATGCTGATTACATTAATGATGATCAAAAAGTGCATTCGTTGCTCACCTCCACTATTAATGGCATTAAAAAAGTATTAAAGGTAAAAAAAAATTCCTCTTTCACAGGTAGACTTTGTTTGGTATATTTATTGGATGATGCATACCTTTGAGATGACTCATAGTATCTACGGAACAAACATATTTTAAGTAGGAGATAAAGGACGAAGTAGAAAGTAAAGTTTATTTGTAAACTGAGATTTTATGGAGTATCCAAGACTGGTTAGTTTTTATATTGCCTCCACTGCAGTCTTCAGAATTTCTAGACCACACAATCTAGTTCCACATGTAGACTGAGACTTAGCCAAAGACTGCATGAGAAAGATTCCAATTGGAAAGGTAGAAAGTTTTGTTACGATCAAATTGAAGATTTAATGTTGCAAGCTTTCATTACCCAACTAGGTAACTTCATCAGGGTATTTTTTTCATAGAAAACTAGAGAGGCAGAGAGCAAGACAGTAAAAAAAATAAGCAATTATTAGCATACAAAAAAAAAGAAAGATGATGCACAAGAGGGTGGGGAGGTGCCATGATAGCAGTGTTCCGATATCTCAGGGGTTGCCACCAAGAAGAGAGGTCAACCTATTCTCCAAAGGCAACCTGAGGATAGGACAAGAAGCAATAGATGGAAACTAACCAAGATGAGAAACAACATAGAACTAAGGAGAAATTTCCTAACAGTGAAAACAATTAACCAGTGGAACAACTGGCCTCCAGAAGTTGTAGGTGCTCCATCACTGGAGGGTTTTAAGAAAACATTTGACAACCCTTTGTCTGAAATGGTATAGGGCCGTGTTGGCGAACCTATGGAACGCATGCTGGAAGCGGCATGCAGAACCATCCCATGAGGGATGCGCGGCCTCGCTGGCTCCTCTGCCACATTCCTGTGCACACACATGGACTGGTCAGCTGGACTTCATGCATGCGGGAGTGCCGAAACCCGGAAGAGCAGAATTCTGTCGCGCATATGCGCGGTGGCACCTAAACTTCCAAGTTTCCATCACACATATGCGTGATGGCCAGCTGATCGGACGCACCTTCACGCCGGAAACCGGAAGTTTGGGTGCCGGTATACTCATGTGCGATGGAACGCTGCTGTTCCAGGTTTCAGCGCTCCTGTGCACACGAAGGCCAGCAAGGCTGCGCGGTCCAGGCGGGATGGTTTTGCTTGCCATTTCCGGCACCTAGAATGGCACGCGGTGAAGTAAAAGGTTAGCCTTCACTGGTGTAGGGTCTCCTGTTTGAGCAATGGGTTGGACTAGAAGATCTCCAAGGTCCCTTCCAACTCTATTATTCTGTTAAAGGAAGCAAATTAGAAGCATCTCTAGGGATCTTTATGGACCATTACTACATCTGCTCCTCTCTCCTTTAGGTCCTTCCTTTAGACTTCCTGGTCTATCTTTTCTTCCAGGGAGACCCCTGGAAACCCAGCACCAGGGGTGAAATGCTCCCGGTTCGGACCGGATCACCCGATCTGATGGAGGCGGGTGGTTCGGAGAACCGGTGGCCCCCACCCCATGCTTTTTTTTTTTACTTTTAAAAGCATTTTTTCTACAACCTCTTCTGAGGAAAAAATGCTTTTAAAAGTAAAAAAAAAAGCCTCTGATGATCGCGCGGCTCAGCTGGTATAGTCAGAGGCTTTTCAAAGCATTTTTTTCTGCCACCTCTTGGCCGAAGAGGTGGTAAAAAAAATGCTTTGAAAAGTCTCTGACGATCCCAGCTGAGTTGCCTGATCGGCAGAGGCTTTTCAAAGCATTAGAAAAAATGCTTTGAAAAGTTAAAAAAAAAAAAAGTTGGCCACGCCCACCCAGTCACATTACCCCCACCCCCACCCCACCAAGCCACGCCCACAGAACCGGTAGTAACAAATTTTGCATTTCACCCCTGCCCAGCACTCTTTTTCCAACACAAGGCTTGGAAATTTCAAATTTGATATTTCAAAGTTGATATTTCAAACAAAGACCTCCTAAGGGCAAGGATTCTTACTTATTATTTTATCTAATGACAACTCTTTGTATGCCACTTTCTTGAGAGGCTCTAGAGCAGGACGCTGCGTTTCTAGTTGCTCATCCTTATCATGGCATAACTGACCCAAGGAAAAGATTCATGGTATTTGTTTGGCTTCTCCGTAGAAACATAACGAGGACTTTGAGATGACATCATTGTGGCTATCCAACACATGTCGCCTTCTACATTGTCTGAAGCAATACAGCGGAGATACGGTGAGAGAACGGTTGCACCGAGGATGAGAGCCTTGTTGCTAAAAAATATCTCTCTTTTGATTCTCTCTAATGGATGATCATACACTACAGGTGGTCCTTAACTTCCAACCATTCATCTAACCATCTTTTGAAATCACAACAATCATAAAAATTTATTATTTATTTATTACATTTATTACATTTATTTATTTATTATTTATTTATTTATTTAATTTATTTATTTTATTTCTATACCGCCCTTCTCCCGAAGGACTCAGGGCGGTGTACAGCCTGATTAAAAGCACAAAGACAGACAAAATTTTAAAATTATTAAAATTATTAAATAATTGGCTCAATTATAAAACCCCCAAATTTAAAATCCCACATTTAAAACCAATTAAAATCTTTACATTGATAGCCCGGCCTGGCGGAACAACAAGGTTTTGAGGGCATAGCGAAATACATGGAGGTCGGAGATCTTACGTATTTCTGGGGGCAGTTCATTCCACAGGGCTGGGGCTATCACAGAGAAGGCCCTCCCCCTGGGTGTCGCCAGCCGACATAATTTGGCCGATGGCACCCTGAGGAGACCCTCTCTGTGGGAACGGACTGCCTGGTGGGAGGCTACTGGTGGCAGAAGGCGGTCTGCGCATCTCATTTCAAAGCGACTCTGGGCAGCTTAGCAGTATTAAATTATGACCAGTCCTCGCACGTACAACCGTTGCAGCATCACTGTGGTCGTGGGATCGCAATTTGGACAGTTGGCAATTAGCATAATTGACAATGGTTGCAGGTTCCCAGGGCCAGGTAATTACCATTTGCAATTTTTCCCAGCTGGCTTCCGACAAGCAAAGTCAGAGGGAGAAGCTGGATTCATTGAAGAGTTGTGTGATTCACTGAATGACTATGGTAGTAAAATTAGGCTTAACAGATTATCAACCACATCCAGGGGTGGGCTTCTGGGGGTTCGCAGGGGTTCGGGAGAACCTCTAGCTAAGATTCTGTGCAGTTCGGAGAATCCCCAAATCCCACTCCTGGCTGGACCCGCCCACCCCGCCCCTCCCAGGAGTCCCCACGTAATGTGTTTTGGATGCAGGTAAGCGCAGGGCGCATGCGGAAGCTCAGGGAGGGCAAAAAACGGGCCTACCGGAAGTTCAGAAAGGTCAGAAATGAGCCCGTTTCTGGCCTCCAGAGGGCCTCTGGAGTCTGGGGAGGCTGTTTTCGCCCTCCTGGAGGCTCAAAGAAAACCTCCGGAGCTCAGGGAGGGCAAAAACTCCCCCACCCTTGTGCTGAAGGAGGCCGACTAGGCCATGCCCACCCACCCAGCAACTGGGCAGAGAACTCCTTGCTAAAATTTTTGAAGCCCACCCCTGACCACATTGCGAAGTTCCTTTCCTAATTGTGGTTGTAAATCAAGGATTACCTGTATGTCTTGAGATTTCCAGACTACAGTGAATATATTCACGTTGAGATCGGTAGGAGTTTTGCTAAGGAGTTTTCTGCAATTTACGCATCTCATGTAAAGTACAGGTAGTCCTTGGTACTTACAACCACAATTGAGCCCAAAATTTCTGTTGTTAAGTGAGACATTTGTTAAGTGAGTTTTGCCTCATGTTAAGACCTTTCTTGCCCCAGTTGTTAAGTGAATCTGACTTCCCCATTGACTTTCCTTGTCAGGTCACAAAAGGGGATCACCTGATCCCAGGGTACTGCAAAGGTCATAAATATGTACCAGTTGCCAAGCCTTTGAATTTTGATCATGTGACCACGGGGATGCTGCAAAGATTGTAATTGAAAAATGGTCATAAATCACTTTTTTCACTGCCGTTTCAACTTTGAATGGTCACTAAATGAACTGTTGTAAGTCGAGGACTATTTGTATACTACACGATACCATTCCATACCAGGTCTGAGCTCTGATGGCGCAGTGGTTAGGAGACAATATTGCAGGCTAACTCTGCCCACATCCCGCAGTTCGATCCTGACAGGGTTTAAGGTTGACTCAGCCTTCCATCTTTCCAAGGTCAATAAAATGGAGACCCAGATTGTTGACGAGGCAATAGGCTGACTCTTAAACCGCTTAGAGAGGGCTGTAAAGCACTGTAAAGCAGTATATAAGTCTAAGTGCTATTGCTGTCTCTTCAGGATGGAAGAGTTGACCAAGAGGAAATTAATTTGCTATTAGCAGATCTTTTTGCCTCTTTTAAATTTTGGCTTGAAATTATAGCTACTATTGAGTATTTGCTGATGTTAGTGAATCATAGATCTGACTATTGGGCTGAACATGTAACTAGTTAAAAGAACAAGCAATAGTTTTGTTCTATAAACTTTGCAGTTTCCTGAACATAAACCTCATTGAACTCAATTCTGAGTTAGCATTCACAGGACTGCACCATTGGTGGTAGACCAAATGCCTGATCCCACTTTTTATCCGATTGCATGAACTAACATCAAAATGAAAATTAGTCTGAGGCAAGGAGAGGTGATGAATCCCAGTTTTCCTTTCTTGCCTCCTGATCTCTTTTACACACTTTGTAGGTGTAAATATTAATAAAACTCCACACTTCATTCTTAACTTCGCAAATGTTCACTAAGGTATCTTTGTCACTTGGAGAGAAGCTCTTGGTAGCAGACCTACCCTATGGGAATCTTCCTATACAAGTAACTGGAATACATGGAAGCCTGAAACATCTCTTTAAGCCAAGGGTATTAAACTCGAGGACCGCGAGTCAGATCCGGCCCACAGGGCCATCCTGGAAACAGCGAAGGACCAGCCTGCAGTGCCTCTGCCAGTGAAAAGGGAGCTTGGAAGGGCTGAATGCGGGGGGGGGAGCTCAGTTTTTGCTGGCAGAGGGCTACAGGAGGCCTTTGTGGCTGAAAACGGAGCTCGGGGGAGGTGCACGCAGCCCTCCCAAGCGCCATTTTTGCTGGCAGAGGGCTGCAGGAGGCTGTCGCAGTCAAAAATGAGCTGCCCATGCCCCCCCTGGCCACACACACCCAGCCCCCCGAGGTCGAACAGAACCCTGATGCGGCCCTCAATGAAATCGAGTTTGACACCCCTGCTTTAGGCATCATAAGAATTGTATTGTACCCTGTAGCCATCTTGGAAGTGAACCTTAAATGTGTGGGGTTTTTTTCTAAAATCTACCCCCAAAAGTTCCAGTTCTCCTCAGAATTTGCTCCACAAATGTTTGCTTTACCTACCAACCTTACAATACTTGGTGTTTTTCTCTTCATAATTGTAATCCAATCTGCTGTTACATACATTGCTGTTTTCTGTTGTTCTACCTTTGCAGGGTTTTATGACCCAAAATACTCCAAAGCAGAATGAACATTGCCTGAAGAACTTTGACCTCACCGAGTACCGTCAGGTCCTGAGTGATCTCTCCATCCAGATCTACCAGCAACTCATCAAAATTGCCGAAGGCGTCTTGCAGCCCATGATAGGTGAAAGGCATATTTAACTCAACCAAGTAGTATAATTGAATAGTACAATTATTGTATTTTTCGGAGTAGAAGACACACTTTTTTCACCCCTAAAAGTGGGTGGAAATTTCAGTGTGTCTTATACAGCGAATGTTGCAGCGGGGGTGAGGAGGATTGGTGCGGTGCTGATCAGCTGTTCTAGAATGGGCAGCGGGGGTGAAAGAGCCGTGACAAACAGGCTGCGGCAAATAGGCTGCAGCAAACGGGCCGTGGCGAATAGGCCGCACCAAATAGGTGGTGGTGAATGGGCAGTGGCAAATGGGGGCGGGGCAGTGAATGGGCCACGGCGGCAAATGGGCAGTGGCGAATGAGCCGCAGCGGTGAATGGGCTGCGGCGAGCGGGCCAGATGAATACCGGATGGATGCTGGGAGGCAGAGGCAGGATTTTTTTTTCTTGTTTTCCTCCCCCAAAAAGGTAGGTGCATCTTACAGTCCGGAGTGTCTTATATTCTGAAAAATACGGTATCTACAATGGGGCTGTCCAACCTTGGTAACATAAGGGTTTCAAATCCCAGAATTCCTCAGCCAGCATGGGGAGGAGAGCATGGGGCGGGGCAGGGAAGGCAAGAGACACTGATTGTGAACAATTATGAGAAAATTAGAATTTGCACGGCTTATGTTGCTCACCGTTTTGAGTATTTCTTTCTTTCTTTTGCTCTCAGTGACTGCGGTATTGGAAAATGAAAGTATCCAGGGCCTGTCAGGTGTCAAGCCAATGGGCTACCGCAAACGAAGCTCCAGCAGAGGGGACAGCGAAAACACCTACAGTTTGGAAGCATTCATCCGCCAACTGAACACGTTTTTAAGTATCATGTACGACCAGGGCCTTGACCCGGAGATCATCCAACAGGCCATTAAGCAGCTCTTCTACATGATCAATGCTGTGGCCTTGAACAACCTCTTGCTGAGGAAGGACATGTGTTCTTGGAGCACCGGCATGCAGATGAGGTAAGGTTCCGACTTAAAGGTCGGTGGTGATGCATTCAAGGCTGAGTGTTTTATTGGAGGAGGAAGTCCTGCTCCCTGTAGATCTGTGTCTCAACCTTGGCCACTGGAAGACATGTGGACTTCAACTCCCAGAATTCCCCAGCCAGCATGGCTGGCTGGGGAATTCTGGGAGTTGAAGTCCACACATCTTAAAAGTTGCCAAAGTTGAGACACACTGCTATAGATGGATGAAAGTAATACTGGACATCCATAGAATAGTGATATTCTCTCTTTGTGCTTCAGAATCTTTGGTTATTTAGCCATTGCAAACTAAAGGACTATGTCAAAAAGCAAGGGAGAAGAAATGGTAGATCAACCTAGTGTAAAGTTGCTCTCCCCAAGGGTGTGGTTGGCTTAGCAATAGCAATAGCATTTAGACTTATATACCGCTTCACAATGCTTTTACAGCCCTCTCTAAGCAGTTTACAGAGTCAGCCTCTTGCCCCCAACAATCTGGGTCCTTATTTTAACCACCTTGGAAGGATGGAAGGCTGACTCAACTTTGAGCCTGGTGAGATTCGAACTGCCAAATTGCAGGCAGTCGGCAGAAGTAGCCTGCAGTACTGCATTCTAACCACTGCGCCATAACATTTGAAGTGAAAGCAGGCTGCAATGTGACATATTACGGGGAAATGGTCTCTAAGGTTTGCTCTGCAATAATTTATTCATACTTGCAACACCTTCCTGGGTGCTGCATTCATAGGTTGATGGAAACACAGAGAGCTGCTTTATATCCAAGTATTTTTCCATCAGACAAGAGCCAGGTTGGTTTAGTGGTTAAGGCATCAGGCCAGAAACTAGGAATTGTGGGTTCTAGTCCTGCTTTAGGCGTGAAAGCAGGATGGGTGACTTTGGACCAATCACTAGGAGACGGTAAGTTCTAGTCCCGTCTTAGGCACGAAAGCTGTCTAGGTAACTTTGGACCACTCACCAAATACCATATTTTTCGGATTATAAAACGCACCTAAATTTAAAAGAGGAAAACAAGAAAAAAAAGGTTTTGGCCTCCCTTTTTTCGGGCCTTTTTTCAGGCCTTTTCCAGCCTTTTTTTGGCCCATTTTGGGGGCTTTTTTCAGTCTGTTTTGGAGAATTTTCTTGACCCATTTTTTAGGCTTTTTTCCACCCATTTTGGAGGCTTTTTTCAGCCCATTTTTGAGACTTTTTTTGGCCCATTTTTGAGGCTTTTTTGGCCTGTTTTCAAGGCTTTTTTCAGCCTGTTATCTAGGCTTTTTTGGCCGGTTTTTTCTGAAAAAAGGGGCCAAAAAAAAGCCTTGGAAACGAGCTGAAAAAAGCCCCGAAAACGGGCCGAAAAAAGCCTAAAAACGGGTTGAAAAAAGCCCCGAAAACGGGCTGGAAAAGGCCAAAAAAAGGCCCCAAAAAAGGGCGTGCCGAGCCCAAAAAACAGCTGGCGGGTGTGCAGGGCTTCGGCAATATTAGGTCTATAAGTCACAGAGACATTTTCACCCCCTTTTGGGAAACAAAAAAGTGCGTCTTATAGTCCGAAAAATACGGTAAGTTTTAATTCCGCCCGGGGGATAAAAGACAGTTGGGTGACTATGGCTCGGTCACATTCTTTCAGCCCATGATATCAAGTTCAGTCAATAAGCCAGTCAGTCAATTCCTGTTAGAACCAACGGATCTACACTCAGTTGATCCAAACAAAAGGAGACGCTAAACACACAAGAAAAAAAATTCCCATCAGTCTCGTTAATTCTGCCCAGTGGCTGCTCTCAAGGAGCTTGGAGAGACTTTTATTTTACTTTACTTTTATTTGATTTATATACCGCCCTACTCCAGAAGGACTCAAGGTGGTGAACAGCCAACAATAAAATACATACATACAAAATTTAAAAAGCAGAAATAAAATCGAATTAAATAGTTTGGCCCAGACAGATTTAAAACCCCAATCAATTTAAAACAAATTTAAACTTTGAATATTAAAAATACTAAAAAATATTAAAAAATATTAAAAATGTTTAAAAAGAGGGAGAAAGTTAGGCCAGGCCCGCCTGGTGAAATGAAAAGGTCTTAAGAGTGCGGTGGAAGGTGCGCAGATCCGGGATCCTCCATATCTCTGTGGGGAGCGCGTTCCAGATAGTAGGTGCCCCCACAGAGAAGGCTCTCCCCCTGGGGGCCGCCAGTCGACATTGTTTGGCCGACGGCACCCGGAGGAGCCCCTCTCTATGAGAGCGTACCGGCCGGTGGGAGGCTATTGGTGGTAGTAGACATCCTTTATTAACCGATCCAGGCACAGGCTGGTTGAGAACACTCTATCTTCTCAGCAGGATTCAGAAACATCTTGCCAATTCTTCTCCATAACTTGTCTCTTCATTGCGTTGGGTCCAGGTTTAACATCAGCCAGCTGGAGGAATGGTTGAGAGGGAAGAACCTGCATCCAAGTGGGGCTGCCAAAACGCTGGAACCACTGATCCAGGCAGCACAGCTCCTGCAGTTGAAAAAGAAAACACCTGAAGATGCTGAGGCCATCTGTTCCTTATGCACATCCCTCACTACCCAGCAGGTACACGTTATGTATGAACTCAGAGCAGCTGATAAAAGGTGGAAAACGAGAATAAGGTTCTACTTCTTTACCCCTTTCTTCTTCAAACCCTGTTCATTCAGGGTAGAACACGGGTGTCAAACGCACCACGTCATGTTGCCATCACATGACGTATCGTGACGTTTTTTTTCCCTTTGGGAAGCTGGGTTGGGCGTGGCCTGCGTGTGATGCACCTGGCCCATGGGCCGCCAGTTTGACACCCCTGGTGTAAAAGATCACCAGAGAGCTTCAAGGCAGAGTAAGGATTTGAACCAGGGGTGAAATGCTCCCAGTTCAGACCGGATCGCCCAATCCGCTAGCGATCGTGGTGGGTGGTTCGGAGAACCGGTAGCGATCCCAGCGCAAGACTCCGCCCACCCGCCTGGTTGTTGTTACTTCCTGGTTTTAACCAGGAAGTAATGTGTTTTGTACGCTCTGGGCATGCGCAGGTTTTGCTTTTTTGCTTTTAAAAGTAAAAAAAAAAAGGCTCTGACAATCACAGCTGTGCCTCGCGATCGTCAGAGCCTCTTTTTTTACCTTTTAAAAACATTTTTTTACAACCTATTTGGCCGAATAGGTTGTAAAAAAAATGCTTTTAAAAGTAAAAAAAAAGATCACATGCCACAGCGGCTCCCTCCCCCCACATGCACTGTTCTACTTACCCCATGCCTCCTTTTGGTGTGCACTGCACATGCACGCACACCTCGCATTTGGTGTGTGGTGTGCACTGCACATGCACGCATGCAGTGCGTATTTGGCGCATGGCGCGCATGCACAGTCAGAGAACCGGTAGTAAACCGGTTCAGATTTCACCACTGATTTGAACTGAGGCATCAGTGGACGGATTCAAATTTTTTTACTACTGGTTTTGTGGGTGTGGCTTGGTGGGCGTGGCAGGGGAAGGATACTGTAAAATTCTCACCCCACTCCAGGGGAAGGATAGTGCAAAATCCCCATTTCCTCCCGATCAGCTGGGCCTCGGGAGGCGGAGAATAGATGGGGGTGGGGCCAGTCAGAGGCGGTATTTACCGGTTCTCCGAACTACTCAAAATTTCCGCTGTTAGTTCTCCAGAAGTGGTCAGAACCTGCTGAAACCCACCTCTGTTAGGCATCCTTGCTTTGGGTCCAATTACAATGATGTAGTGCTGATATTTTGCAAATATTTCCCCAAAAACCTTTGCTTTGTCCAAGTCCAACATGTGGCTGATGAAAGTCATTTTAAGTAACCAGGGGAAGTACTTGAAAATATTAATGGATTATTAGCATATGATAACATGACAGAAGTAAATATAGACACACAATCTGCATAATTATATACAAAACGTCTATGGGTGTAAGGCAGCAGCTTCATAAATGGATGTCCAAGTCAGAGGTGATTGCCTCTAGACTAGGGATCAGTGGTGGATTGTTCCTGGTTCGGGCGAGTCGGTAGTGGTGATGATGTGACGTCAGCGAACCGGTTCTCTATGACTGTGAGCTGCCCCCGCATTAAACCTACCTCTATTTGTCAATTTTTAGCCCAGCTGATAGGCGCAGCAGAGTGGATTGCTGTGCCTCAGCTGGGCAGAAATATAATGTGCTTGCGCAGAGCGCAAGTTTGGTGCGCTTGCGAGCGCAGCGATTGCGCGCAAAGTGCGTGTGTGAAGAGAACCGGTGGTAACACCGGTTGGAACCCACCACTGCTACGGATGTCAAACTCAAGGCCTGGAGGCTGGATCCAGTCCTCAGGATGCTTAGATCTGACCCGCGGGGCTGCCCTGGAAACAGCAAAGGACCAGCCTGCAGTGCCTTTGCCAGCAAAAATGGAGCTTGAGAGAGCTGTGTGGAACCCTCCCGAGCTCCGTTTTCGCTGGCAGAGGGTTGCAGGAAGCCATCGCAGCCAAAAACAGATCTTGGGAACCCATTTTTACTGGCAGAGTGCTTGGGCCACCACAGGCTCCCCCAACACAAGTGACGTCAAGCTGGCCATGCCACCCTGGCCCCTGAAGTCAAACACAACCCTGATGCAGCCCTCAATGAAATTGAGTTTGACACCCGTGCTCTAGACATTGCTTAGTGCAGATCTTCTAGGGAACCAGACAACGCACATTGTGGTCAATCTTGCACAGTATGTACAATTGTGGATAAATGGCGCACATTCAGGCGCACCAGTTCTCTTGCAGATGGAGAGCCTGTATTGTCTTCTAATTCCACCCATTTCCTACGCTTGTTCTGTTGAGGACCTCTGATGTCTGTTTACAAGCTAGTGAGGTCATGGAACGTGTTGCATCTCCTCTGTAACCCTCATTTGATCTTTGCTCCTCAGATTGTAAAAATACTGAATCTTTACACTCCTGTGAACGAGTTTGAAGAGCGAGTGACAGTAACCTTCATAAGAAACATTCAGGTAAGTTTTCCATTAAATATAGGGAATTTTACATCTGCCACACAATTAAAAAGTTATGTCTAGTTTTTATAATGCATCTTTGGAGGTCTGGCTATTGAAACTTCAGAACTGGATCATAAGTACTCCTAGGGAGGTCCATCATAACTCAATCTAAGTAAGTCAAGGACTATCTGAAAACAATCAGCAAGCCTAATTCTCCTCTGCAGGGGTATTGTCTAGCCTGGTCATGAAATGTCTGTAGAAGATGACTGTCATGCCCCCGTTGGAGTCTGAATCTGAGACGGAAGACGAACAGCTGAGACAGAGTGGGAGAGTGGCTCCATTGGCTGTGGAGGAAACTGGGGAAGGGCAAAGTCAGGCTGGGCAAAGCAGGGGAGAGGTAAAACAAAGGAGAGGGAGTTCAGATGAAGACCAAGGCCACCCCCTTCTCATCCTACGGCGCACAGGGAAGAACACAGAAGAGAGCAACATGGGTTGCGTGGCTTACGAGGAAGGAGATGGTTCCAGTTCCCTTCACAAGGCACACCTGGGGATGGAGTTTAAAGGAGAGGCAGTTGGGAGGGGCGTTTGTCGGGAACAAAGGCTGAATTCACTCTCTGAATTCACTCTGGGACTCATTATCTTGCCCTGCTGGAGTAATTGATTGCAGTCATTCTGCTTACAGCGTTTGGAGTATCTGCAGCCAGCTGTGGCAGGTTTGTGAGAGAGCTTTTCTCCAGGCCGGAGAGTAAACGAGACATTGGGGGCAAAGTTAGTGCCAATAAAGGGACTTATACCAGTTCTCTGGCTGTGTTGCCTTCGTGCCACACCCCAGGTTATCAAAATGATTAGGCTGAGATCACCAGGAATCCAACAATTAAATCCTGAGCTGCCTGGAGCCTCTACCATTGAAAAGCAAACAAGTATCCTCCCGTTAGCCTCTCATCTATGTGTCTTCTAAGTAGGAATACAAGTAGTCCTTGACTTACAACATTTCGCTTAGTGACCATTTGAAGTTACAACAGCACTGAAAAATGTGACTTATGACCATTTTTCACACTTATGACCGTTGCCGCATCCCCATGGTCACGTGATTTATATTCGGATGCTTGACTACTGACTCACATTTATGACGGTTGCCGTGTCCCAGGGTCATGTGATCCCCTTTTGCAACCTTCTGACAAGCAAAGTCAGTGGAGGAAACCAGATTCACTTAACAAACCATGTTACTAATTTAACAACTGCAGTGATTCACTTAACAATTGGGGCAAGAAAAGTCATAAAACAGGGCAAAACTCACTTAACAAATTTCTCACTTAGCAAAATAAATTTTGGACTCAATTGTGGTCGTAGGTCGACCTGTACATAAGCTATCTTTAAATCAGTTGGTTGATCCAGGGAGTCTAGTATTTCCTATTTCAAATGGCAGCAATAATCTGTTTCAAGATGACTTTTTTTCTGATTTGATATCCGAGACCCATTTTAGAGGTGCTAAGAAACGGACTTGCAGTTTTATTTATTTATTTATTTATTGGTTCGATTTATATGCCGCCCTTCTCCGGAGACTCAGGGCAGCTTACAATGCGTTAAGCAATAGCCTTCATACTTTTGTATATACCTGCTTAGTAGGGCTTTCGGGGGCCCCTAAGCGGTGTTCTTTTTTATACAAAGTCAGCTTATTGCCTCCACAATCCGGGTCCTCATTTTACCTACCTCGGAAGGATGGAAGGCTGAGTCAACCTTGAGCCTGGTGAGATTTGAACTTGCAGTAATTGCAGGCAGCTGGTGCTACTTAACAGCACTTTAGTCTGCTGCACCACCAAGGCTCTTCTGTTTGTTCACATGAGGCCTGTACCCGAGCTACAGGTTAACTTGTTCCTGTTCTATCACATCCTATGCTAAGCACATTGGGCTCCAAGCGTACTCCCCAGTTCTTGGTTGCATTTAGTTTCCGATCTTCCCATTTAAGGTTGATGTTTTCAGATCGTCCCGAGATCTTTGGTGACAGGTTTTTCTTTGGCCTTCCCCTTTTTCTCCAACCATCCTGTGGTATCCAACTGATTGCGGTCGTTGCTGGACGTTGCAAACTCCTGTGGACCATGTGTCCAGCAAAGCGCATTCTTCGTTTTGTCACTATCTCAGACTCTTCTTTGTAGGATTTTCTCATTTGGGACATTCTGTTACGGCTAATAAAATGTAGTGAGATAGGACTCAATACTGCAGGGAGAACTCCAGACTGACAAAAGATAAATGCATGAAGAATAAGTAAAGATTGCCAAAGATTGGTAGGGCATAGAATTAAATTCCGCTTGGGTGTGCATCATTCAGTCACTGAGAATTGAGCAGCTACAAGTTTAAAATATTATGGTCGGTCTTACAATCACTTAGATGTCTATGCTGAATTTGGCATTTTTGCTCACCTATTATGCCCTACCCAAGGACCTGGAATGGCAGGTGCTATTTCATAGTGTTTCACAACTATGTGAAATCACAGCTACCCGTTCTGCCCCCCTGCAATTGGTTACTATAATCTTACCCTGGTACTCCAGGATGAAACGTTGAGAAGTGGCAGCTGAATTGTTCACCTTCACCATATCCAAGGTTAAACTAAAAACAGAAACAAAGCCCGACAGCTGTTGCTATTTAAAAACACTGAACAAATTGCCAGGTTATTTCCTCTGATTTACACAGTACGCCAGGCGGAGCCGTGGCCAGTCCTAGCTATGATCTTCTATTGCTGTTCTTGTGGGAAGATACTACAGCTAGATGAGGGGTGTCCAACTTTTAAGACATGTTGTTCTGACCTAGGCTTCACAAAAGCACGAAGCAGACTCCTTGTCCTGACAAAAGCCCTTTTTATTAAGCTAATGTGAAGTCCTCTCATTCACATCCAGCAAAGTCCCAGCAAACAGTCTTTCCAGGGTGAATTTACGACCATAGACCTTATCAGGCTTGGAGAGCTGCCAGGCTGATATCTTTCACACGCAATGCTGTTCATTGCTGAATCACGAACAGATCTTCACACTAATGAAATGAACTAATTGTCTCCTGCAAACTCCACTCCCCTTTTGCTCCTCTTCATTCCCTATGGCAGGGGCCATTCACCATCCACCTGTGCCTTTACTACAGAGTCAGCCCTTGTTCCTTAACTGTTCCCTTCTCCTGGCAGCTCTGCACATGCACACATTGGGAACAGGCTCCAGCTGTTCTTCAGCCCCACTTATCTCGACTCCAAAGGTAGCTGATAACTGTCGGCAGCCCTGGCCCTATCTCTGCCTCCGACGCAGAGCCCTCATCAGAGCCTTCCCCAGACTCCAGGACTGGCCCATGTTTCTTCCCGACCTCCTCACTGTCCGAGTCTGCTGTCAGCTCCACTGGCCACTGGCAGGCCACAACACCTATAGACTTCAACTCCCAGAATTCCCCAGCCAGGGGAAGTCCACCGGTCTTAAAGTTGCCAAGATTGGACACCTCTGAGCTAGACAGTGCCAGGAATGCCTGCTAATTTCCAGATAAACAAACAATCTTATGGTACAGTGCTATTAGGTTAGTTGCCACTACAAGACTGGGCTTTAAAAAAAAGACTCAGTTGATGTCTTACCTTCCTAAAACCCTTAAGTCCTATTCTAGAGAAACTCAAGACTCAGCTGTGAGGGCAAATTTGTGGTTTAAAACCACCACCTATCTGATTTTCTTTGCTAATAATTTTCTTCTGGTTCCTTCTAGGCACAATTGCAAGAGCGAAACGATCCTCCACAGCTGCTGTTAGACTTCAAATTCATGTTCCCAGTTTTGTTTCCATTCAATCCTTCGTCTCTGACCATGGACTCTATCCACATCCCGGCTTCCCTCAACCTGGAATTCCTTAACCGAGTTTGAAGACACAATATATATGCTGAGGGGAAAAAAAAAGAAATGAAAATGTAGCAGCTCTTCAAATATGGACCAAATAATGGTGAAAAAACCAGTACATGCCAATTAATCAGTGCTAAATTGTTTAGGATAAAAAAAAATACTTGGGTTAGATGCTTTTTGGTTTGTACAAGGGATTTTTTTGGGGGGGTGGGTGGGGAGATCTTGCAGTTGATACTTGAAACATAAGAAGGGGTTGAACTGTTTGATGCCATGCTAAAATATTCTCTCCCACTTGCCATCAAGGCAAATGCACTGATTAAGCAGGATGGAAGCTTTACTTTTGTGAATTATGTTTCTCAAGGACTTTTGTGTTGAAATGACAAAAAGAAGCCCAGATTGCCACTCATTTTCTGATTGTCCATGGTTGGTAGAGCAGGGATCTCCAATCTTGGCAACTTTAAGATTCATGGACTTCAACTCCCAGAACTCCTCAGCCAGCAGGAATTCTGGGAATTGAAGTCCACGAGTCTTAAAGTTGCCAAGGTGGAGACCCTTGTGATAGAGCTTGCTTTAATCTTTAGTTTCTCATTAAAAAAAAAAAAAAGTTGCTTTAGGTTAAAATAAAAAAATGTGACACAGCTTGTACAGATATTACTGGAGGTGCATCATTTGCAATTTGTACTGAGGCTGAGGAATGCCACTTTGCATATGAAGCAAGTTAGTCCCTGAAAGCGTAAAATATGGTTAAAAAAAGACAATATGGTGGTACATACCTAAGAAAGCAGACCAAATTTCAATCACACCATTGTGGCTGCCATTTTGACTTTTTGTTTACCATACTTGGTGGATACTCTGGTCCCATCTTTTACCCATCAGGTGCCTGTTGATAATTTTTCCTATCTATCACTAAGAATGTGAAGTTGTGGAACCATAAACCTCTTATGTTTGCTTCATGCCAAATTATAATTTCACTGTAAGCTACTACGGATTCATTTAGGCCAGTGACTGACAGGGGCCTACTTTGATTTACTGGGGAAGAAAATGCTGTACTGGCTACATTGACTCTGAGACAGATTCCTTGCCAAGATAGTTGAAGCATCCTTATGATCAACGTGGGACTGTGCCAGGACACAGTAGGGATATGTTGGCTCAGTTGTGTGTCATTGTGCAGTCAATATTTCCCCAGCATTGACAGAACATTTGCAGGAAATGGAATATCAGGCTGTGTTTCCAAGCCAGTTACAAGGACAATGTTATGCACTATATAATAGCCTATAAATTTGTTAGTATCTGAACTCCCAAGAGAAGCCTTTCAAGAGAATTATCATGGAAACTAATGCAGAAGACTCTGTCAGCATTTTTATGCACAGAACAATAGGTAAGAAATGATCTTTCTTGCAAAAACTAATAAGCACTTATTAAAATACCAGAGCGGTCCAGTCTCTCCTGTCCATATGGGGAAAAAAAATAAAATCTCCTTTCGTGTTCTAAATATGACTTTTTAAATTATGTCCAAAAGCCTACTACCAAACATTTTTCTCTGAATTTTATTTTTTTAAGCATTGCTCCACTATTATCCAGTGGCTATCATAGCCATTAAAGTGGCATTCACATAAAAAGGGAGACCGTGGGAAGGGACAATTATATGGATTAATAAAGACAGCCATATACAGAATTTGCTATTCTGCAATCTCCTATAATTGCACTTACCTAGATAAACCCAGTAGGGTTACAAGCAAAAAAAAGAAAGAAATGTGATTGAATGACCTTTTTGAACCGTGCCCAGATGATCTTGGCACTCTTCACTCTTGCAAGCTTGGCAGTTAAAATATTGGACCAGGAAGCTTTTAGTGAAATGAGCCCCATCCTTTTTCAAAATAATTGTGTTATTATAAATCAAGCACCTAACTTACAAAAGACACTCCTCCACTAATGGTTCAATCGTAAAAGACTCTAGTATGATTCGGAAAATAAGCAAAGAACGTGTCCATTTTTAACTGATAATGGTCTCCAAGACATCTGATGTCTAAAAGGGAAGCATTTTGTGCATTTGGCCATGGGTTGTGGTACTGAATATCTAAATCTCTTGATGCACAGATGGATGCACACAGGAGCATCTGCTATCTAGCTCCTCTTAAATGCTTGCAGTGCTGCTCCGAAGCTTCAGCACCTGAATATGGCTCTCCGTCATTAAGTGTAGTATCCAGGGAACCATTTCTTCATAATGCTAAATTCATAAAACGACTGCAACCATGTGGTAAAATGATAGCTGTGGCCACACTGCTTCCACATAATTCTGCAAATTGTGTCGGGTTTTTTTTTTTTTCTCCCTTGGTCCCTGCAGAAAAATTCATGCTTCCTTTCCTGGTGCTCTAGTTTTACCCGATGACACTTTATTTGATAGAAGTTTCTCTATTATTCATACTTCAGTGCAAAAGAAAAAGTTTTGTGGCAACATCTGCTTATTTCTCATGATTTTCTGCATTAGTGCAAACATGAATTCGAGGGTTCCCCCTTCCTCAAATTAAATATAAATTTGTACTTTGGCAGACCCCTCCTCCCCTCTAGAAGTCATAAACATGGAACAAAAAGCACAGATTGTTGCCCCTAATAGAACAAATCCCTTATTTACTGTCCTTTTTCTTTAAGTACCACTTTCCAGAGTAATATATGAAGTAGGCATTGGATTTTCTAAAGAACTGAATATCATAATTCCTGTGTATTCCTTATAAGTTTACTCACCATCAGTAAAATAATGTAAAAGTGAGGCACTTTATTGAAAAGTTACACTCGAGCTAAAGTGGTAGTCAAACTGCCACATAATTTTTCACCCATTGTGGCCAGTTTACTCCTGCACATTGGACCTTTTCTCTCCCGCAAAATATAGGTGTGAAAAGAGGGCAGGCATTTTGCCAACTGTGACCCTATCTGCCACCTTTTAAAAGTATACATGAAAAATTATTTCCAAATTCTCCAACATCCTGCGGAACTAAACTGGGCAAGTGGAAGTATTATGTTGTCATTTGGCAAGAAGCTTCAATTTCTGTATAAACTGTATGTTTTTAGAAAAAATTCCTCAAACGTTGCAAAGCTTTGAAATACGTTGGTGTATTTAATTCTTAGCAGGCAGGCTAAAGATGCAGAATAAGATGCAAAACCTTCTACGGTATCTTAGGAAATGTATTTATAAAGTGTGGCTAAAGCTCTACCTAATGGTAATATTTCTCTGCAGGACTGCAAGAAAATTTAATTTATATTATGTATATAATATCTGTACATTTTTAAAATATGTTAGTATAACAGAGAGAAATGGAATATTTGTAATTATCTGCAAACTTGGATTTACTGAAGGAACTTGTGTTTAAATAACTGATGTCTGTAACTTTTGTGATCTGTTTTTAAGATAACTTTTGACTTTTCTTTTTAAAAAGCCAACTCATTGGCAGTGCCATGCACAAATATGCTTTCTGTCTCTAATTGATCATTTCTTTGATTTAAAAATACTTTAGCACAGATCCAAAAAGTAGATTGTGTCACTTATTTCATCTTTTTATTGTTTTTGACTGAATTCTTTCCTTTGGCATTTGGCTTTCCTTTGGCTTTACATTTAACATTTGCAATCAGCATTTTCCTGAACTGAGTATTACAACTTGGGAGAAAAATTTAAACGTCATCCCAAATGACTTTTGAATTTGCATGAAAACTGATGAAATTGCATATGGATTTAGACATCTGTAAAAGTCCATAAAAAGGATCCAACTGCGGATTTGAATTTATTTTCTCCACAAAGTTTTAGATTCTCCAACTTACGTTTTTGAAGAGTCCAAATTGGGAATCTTGGGAGATTTTTTTAAAGACCTACAAAGGCACTAAAATATGAATAAAATACTTGATCACAGTATTGATAGCTATCCAATTAATGTTAACAAATGTGCAGCTTTACATATCTATTTGTTTAGGACAGTTAACATGGAAAGATTTCAGTAATTCCTGTTGTATTAGATTAATTTGAACTTTTTATAAAAAGAAATATATGGCCAACTCTCTTCCCCAATTAAAAACTGCTGCAAGAAATGCAGATCTATTCATATCGATTCATTGATATTAACTATGAATAACCTTTTAAATACTACACATCTCAAGTGTGCAAGAATTAGCAAGTCTTGTCTGTACATGGGGACAAGCAACCATTGCCAAATTTTAAGTTACAGTACACACACTCAAGTAATTTCTCTTATCCCAGCACATTAACTATATGGGCTTGCTTCTTCTTATTCTCACTGTTAAACTACAATAGAATGCAGTAGTCAGAATATTCTAGCATTATAGATGTAGCTGACTGTCCCATCATGCCAATCTACTGCATGAGCAAGCTACACTTTGTTTTTTATATATATATTGAAAGAAAGCTCCCATAAAACCTAGAGAATTATTGAAAGAATGCAAATGCTGGAACATAAAATGAGGTGTGTCTACCCCAATTTATAATCGCCCCGGCTTGATTAAATTTGCAAGCGTGGATGAAATATTGCTACTGATGAAAATATTTTTCCAGTTTGAACAATTGGGTCAACTACACCTGTTTATAGGAAAGTGACTGTAAAAGTCACCATCATTCCACTGTGCATAAAATACTGTGAAATAAATACTTTGGAATAAAAAGTTTTGCTTTCCTTGTTTTTCTGCATGCTGCTTTTATTTCCAACATTGCTTAGTGTTAACTTTCAAAGCTCATTCTAAAAGAGAGAAATGGATTTGTTTTATAAATGCTTTGCAATACATTTACAGTACATAGTTATTTCTTTCTGAAGTTCCAAGTGTCACACATAAAAGCTACAATGGTAGTTTTCAAGATTGCTTCTTAAATTATTGTAAAGTGTTTTTGGAAGCAAATATAGTTGAGTTGATGAATGTGTCAAACCCAAGTGGTCTGTTGGAAGAAAGTTTCTGAAATATATTTCAATGGATACCTACTATATGGGATGTGTACTTTAAAAGTTTGCATTTTTAATGGAGCATATAGGCCTATTTTAGCATGCCAACAGTATCAATTAAGGTAAGGTAAAAAGAGCTGCTGTGGTTAGAATGCAGTACTGCAGGCTATTTCTGCTGACTGCCGGCTGCCAGCAATTTGGCAATTCGAATCTCACTCAGCTCAAGGTTGACTCAGCCTTCCATCCTTCCAAGGTAGATAAAATGAGGAGCCAGATTGTTGGGGTTATTTTCCTCAACCTCTTTCTGCATGAATTAGATGTATCTGTCCACAGAGTTGATATGTTTGGTGAACACTTCCAAATCCTGTGTTTTGATCCTGATCCAAGTATCATCCTATACCAATGAGAGGGTGGAATTCCTATAAAGGAGTTTAGGGCTTTGGTTTCTACCTGTTCTATATAGAGATTGGCCACAGGTGAACCTATGGTGCAGCTGTGTTTTTGTCTGTGGAAACCTTCGTTGCATTTAAAATAGGTAATGGTCAGGCAGAGGTCCATATATGGCACATATATGGTCTGGGCTGACTGGTTCTGTCACCTAAGGAGCTGTCTTGTAGCAGTCGTTTCTTCACTACCATGAGAGTTTCAGTTGCTGGAATGCAGGTGAAGAGGGAAGTCACATCATAGGAAACCATGGGCTCATCCAGTTTTAGATTCCAAACCTTGCTGGCGAAGTCCTGTGACTTGTTGATGTGATGGGTGGTGTTGCCAACTAGAGGAGCTGATAAGGTGGTTGGATGTTTTGCAATGTTGTAAGTGACAGAGTTGATGCTGCTGACAACTGGTCTGACTAGAGTTCCTTCTGTGGATTTTGGGGAGTCCATATATGCATGGTATGGCTTCCCCAGGGTAAAGACAGTAGTATTGTGGCTGATCGGTCATTATCCTTTAGTAGTTGTTGCAAGAAATCAATGACCTTTTTCTTGTAAATGCTGGTGGGATCTCTCTTCAGAGTCTCATTCGTGGCAGTGAGCTTCAGAAGACTTTACTTTGGCCTTGTATTCATCTGTGTTCAGGATGACTGCATCTTCCTTTATCTGCTGGCAGGATGGTGATGTTTGGGTCTCTTCCTAGAGATGTCACTGCTCTCTTTTCTTGAATTATGAGGTTGGAAGGGGGTCTTTTGGCATTAGCGAAGGCCGCAGATCAGGGGTAGGTTCCAAATCCCGTGGTTACTGGTTCGTGCGCACGCATGGCGCTTCTGTGCATGCGCAGAAGTGTCCAGGCAGGTGGGCGGAGCCTCCTGCCGCCACCACTACCGGTTTACCCGATTCGGTGCAAACCAGTGGCAACCCACCACTACTGCAGATACCCACCACTGCTGCAGATACTTTTCATCCTTAATTGTTCTGCCAGTTTATTGTTTCTGATGGCCGACTCTGGTGCTGTGAGATCATCTACAACTGGTAGCTGTTCTGGTATGACTGCAAAATCCAGTCCTTTGGCTAAAACATTATTTTCTGTTTGGGTAAGCTCTGTCAGATAGATTTCTCACCCATTGGTCAGTTTTCTGATACAAGTCACTGTCCATCTGTGTTGATTCTTCTATTTTGTGTGGTTTTTCTTGTCTTAAAGCTGTAGGGTAGAAAATTTGGCTTTTTGTCTCGTGTTGTGCTAGTTGTGCCTTCTTCGTAAATTCTGTGACCTGTTCCAATACTTCCGTTGGTAGAAATGATTTCAGCTCTTGACGTTTATGTTCCACTCTTTCAAACCTCAACTGTAAAATTAGACTGTCTTATTCTTTCATTGAGAAGTTGCAGCTGTGCTTTCCGCAGGATATTTTCTGCCCTGTCTCCCTTCACTGTTGAACACAGGCGCAGGCTTGTTGGTGAGGAGTCTGTGTTGTCTGCATTTCAAACTGAAGCGCAAATGGTCTGCAATTGTTCTGGAAATCCATTCATACCTCCGCACCATTCGAAGGGTGTTCATCCCAAAGTGTATAGCTAGGTAAATGTTTCAAATATATTTTGGTTTTATGTTATACACCACTCGGAGTCTTTTGGCATTTAGGCAGGTTATGAGCACTGTATATAAGCAGATGAATTATTAGACACACTGAGAAGGGTTAAAAAATAATAGACTAGCTCAGAGTCACTTCTCAAGTTACATAATCGATGATTTTTGCAATCCCAACCAACCCCACTATGTGTACCATCATGAAGGCTTTTGCCCTGCTGAATTAATTTTCCTCCTGTGCCTCGGGCTCTGTGCATCAGCAACCAGGTAAGAACTATGGGGCTGCCAAAGCATTGGTCTCAGATGCCTTTGTTAGCACAAATTTCGTCATTCAGTTCCACACAGAACTCAGATTGCGCAGTGGGCTATTCATCACAGACCAGCAATGGCAGGAAGGGGCAACGCTCTCCAAATGGGACCATCTGTTAGGTGTTCGAGACAGAGGTTCCCTTGGAAGGCACATCAGACGTACAAGATGCAAGAGTCCCAATGGGCAGTGTCGGTGAATCCTAAGATATTCTCTGCTTTCTATGTCCAACCACTACTTTCAGGGCCACCAGTTGGCATCTGGATGCCTTCAAGAATCTGTTTGGCAGCACCTTGGCTCCAGAATGAGGAACCACCTTCTCTCTCCAATATCCATCTGCCTGTCCAGTCAGACCAATCTACACAAGGGTGTTACATGGCAGGACTTTAGAAACAGGCATTTTGGAACCTTATTCCTATACTTTGGAGATTCAGTTTGCTCCTTTCCTCCTGGATTTCAGGAGAGCTATTAAGACCTGGTGCTTCCCTCAAGCCCTGGAAGAGAGTGCGCAACATTGTGTTTTACGAGTGGGATTATTTATTCTTTTTAAGGGGATTGATTTATGAAGATCTTGATTATTAACCACTCAGCCTTTGAGCATACAAATTAAGTCTACTTGAACCAGATGAATCAGAAACATTATCACAAAGCAAAATGCAAATTGCAAATATCTGTACAGAATTGTGCAAGCAGAGTCAAGAATAGTCCATCATTTCTGCCCTGTGTGCACAAGTGTCAAAATGATTTTCAAGATTCAGCAAGCTATATGGGACCCCCATTCCAAGCGAACTCCATTAGCAAAACTGGTTAGAGAAATGCAAGTTACCATTATGACCCTTCATTATTGAGCATGCAATGCTTGCTATTTTTAGAGAGAACTGATAGCATCTTTATGTTCTTCAGTCATTCAGGTACTTTCAATTCTTCATAACCTGATGGGACATCCTTTTGCCAGGATTATCTTTGAGTTCTTGTAACAGTATCTTGCACCTTGTCTCTCGGTGGCCTCTTTTTCAATTGTCAATTAATTTTTCCAGGCATCAAGATCTTCTCCAGTAACACCTGCTTTCATATTACACATCCATTTTATTGACCGGTACTATAAATAAATCAGTTGTATCTTACCACTCTAGAACAATAGGTTTATTGTATTTCTGTAATTCCTGCTGAAAATAACAAAAGTTTGCAGCAATTAAATTCAAGTGACACCAGTTTTGAGAAATATTTTAGCCTTTTTATTTGAAAAGTCTCTTAATGATTTTTGATTAATAAATAAATTCACATTTGGCAAATGATAGCATTAAGTTCTCTTCAATTAATTCTTCACTTACATTTGACAATGCATAATCCTTGTTAAAAGTGCATTCTCCTACAATTCTTAAAAGGGAATAGTGTATATATTTCAAGAAATAACCATTCAAATAGGATGAACATTTCATAACAAAGACACATTTCAGATATAGTGCTGTGCACAGTTTTTAATTTTCTGAAAACATTGGGCATATTTTACAAACCGAGTCACAACCTTTTGCAATCAATTGCTGACTCATGTTTTTCCATTCTAAGATTGCACTCAACAGCTAATCAACTATTTTCCAGGTAATAAAACAAGAAATATTTTTAAAAATTGCACAACAGGCCATTGCACAACAATGCAACATTCCTCATCTCTCCAAATGTTGGCACCTACCTCATAAAATTCAGTCATTTTATTACCAGCTGCAGATTCTCTTGTATGGCTAACAGTTAAATTTTAATACTGACAAATTTTGACAGATTATATAAACCATTGTTTCTTCTTATATTTTTGCTATTAAGAGAGAATCTCCTCGTTTCCAAAGACAATTCGAACAGAAATAACAGCTGGGGAACTAAATCCCAAACTTTCCCAAACTTTTCTGAGTTATTGCTTTGAAAAACGAAAAATAATTGAACAGAGTAGCTTATTTGGATGCTCAATCTGTAGCTCATCCTGAAATCGTCAAAATATCAATTAGGTTAGGAAGCGCCTCAAGGTTGTAATGAATTCATGCAGAGGAAGAGAGAGATTCTGAAAACCTCTGCAGTTCCTTAAAGCAAAATCAGGAAAAAGGCAAAACCCCATTTATGGAGTTGCAAACAGGTCTCACACATCTTCCACAGCAGGCTCCAGTCTAGGTCGGTTAGTCCAGCCTTCCTCCAACCTGGAGCTCCGCAAACTAAGCTGGCCGTCCCCCTTCCCCACCTGGCTGGCCGGGAACGAAGGATGGCAGCCCCCCACGCCTCAGCTCTCTTGGCCGCCGCCACCAGCTCAGCTTTTGTAGCCCGGCTCTAAGAGGCCTGGCGAGGCCGCTTGGATTCAGAGGCCGCTGAAGGCCGCGTTGCCAGGGAGACGGGGCAGTTACAGGAAGCGCCTCGGCGGAAGTCCCGCCCTTTCCTGCGC